ATCTCTGGGAATGATCCTAGCATTGAAAGGTTTACACATCTCCAGTTCTAAAATAGGATTTAAAGCTTTCTAACAGATGCTTAGTGGTATCTCCAACCACAACCCCCGCTAAACGCACATAGACACTGATCAAATGCATTGGCCTAATTTGATAATTCATTAGCAGGACCAGTTAGTACAATCAGCCAGGGCAGAAGTTTGTAAGTAGATCTCTGTCCTCTCCACCCCTTCTATTTCTAAGGCTTTCCTAAGACCAACAGCTGACAAGAATGCTGGCAATCTTGACTATTTGCTTTAGTACTGCTGCATTCCATTCACATTTTTCTCATAGCATATTATTCTTCAGGAGCACACTTAGAGAGGCTCCACCAGTCCCAAGATACTGCTCTCAGGAGTGAGGTGGTCTTCCCACTAATCTATGACTATAACACTACTCTAGTTGCAATTAATTATATTACAAATATTGATCCTTTGCTAGTCCAATGTAATCTATGTATTTCTTTTACAAACATGCTGCTCTCTTCTTGAATTGCATGCTTGGAATGGTTTTTATGAATACACTCTGAATTTTCAAAATGGCACCCAAGCATCTAACATTCAGTTTTATGAAGTATACTGTACAAGGGAGGAATCTCTCTCTCTCTCTCTCTCTCTCTCTCTCTCTCGTTTGCCCTAACCCTAACAGGGAGCAATCTTGAGATGATGGCAACCAGTGGGTTCAAATCACAAGAAAGCAGATTTTGACTAAATATCAAGAAGAACTTTCTGACAGTCAGAGCTGTTTGACAGTGGAATGGACTTCCCTCGGAAGGTGGTGGACTCTCCTTCACTAGAGGTTTTTAAACAGAGGTTGGATGGCCATCTGTTAGGGATTCTTTAATTGTGATTCCTGCATTGCAGGAGGTTGGACTAGATGTTCCTTGGGATCTCTTCCAACACTACAGCTCTATGACTTTATGAGGCGACTTTTTGGTATTTAGTAGAGTTAGGGAAACAAGAGAAGAAATATAAATCACTTTTTAGAAGAACTAAAATTACATCTTGATGTTATTAAGTATCCTGAGAAGATGCTCTAAAAAAATAAATCCCCGCAACTGTAGAAACAATACTACCAAGCAAATTCCAGTTTATCCCTAAATTTAAAGTTATGTGGAAAACAATAATTTGAAAAATACATTTCATACATTTGCTAATGCCCAACACTTGGGAGGTCTATTATATATGTTAATGTATAAGGGTTTATGCATGCAGAGAAAAGGACAAGAAAGGATTAAGTGAGCCGGCATTTGGCCTTAACTTGAAGTGTTTTAGGTATTGTGTTCTCCTTTAGTGGGTTGGATGTGTTACTGTGCCTTCTGTGAATATGAATGTTTTAAGCTTTTGTTTTAGTTTTATATTGGCTAGCTTTTTGTAGTCTATTGTATAATCTGCTCTGGGTTCACTTTTCATTAAAAAGTGACTATTAAGTGCAATAAATTGTAATAATGATTGTTATTAGAAAATGCTTTCCCAATGAGGAAAAGCCACCATAGGATTCAATGTAGATATACAGAATACAGATAATACCAGTTCTTCTTTGGAAGGAACTGAACCAGCTGTGTCCTACTGTAGTTTGTTAGGTGCTTGACTAGCTCATCTCCCTGCAAATCCCATTGGCTTTAACTCATCCCCCCCCCATTTTGATTTTAAATTGTCATAAACCACCCTTAGTGGTGCATAGACACTAGGAGGGCAGAATAGAAACATTTTACATAAATAAATAAAATAAATGCCTAACATTCCTCACCTCCTGACCTAAACTGACAGAAGACCCCCACACCTTGGCAAAGAAAGTCTCTGCTCCAGCTGGTAGACTTCATCCAGCATCAGTTGAACCCTAAATTATTTCCAGTGTTGAAATTGATGCAGTAGATTACTGTTTGCCAACCTAGTTCCTGGTGGCTGGGACTGATGGGAGATGCAGACCAAATCAGCTGAGGAGACAGGCTAGCAAAGGCTAACATACATACTAGGCCTCTTTTGTGATGAACGCATAAACACAGCCCTGACCTAGTAATTGCCCTGTCCCTGTGCTGAATAACTGTGTGTGTGTGCATATCTTGTAGAACTGATTCACAACACAATGCAAAAGGCACACATCATCTGATGCAAAACTAACCCAGACACAGGAAAGAACAGGGCAAATACCATGTAGAATTTAGGAAATACAGCTTTATGATTTCTTCTGCATTCCCCAATAATAATCTACTGCAGAACCACTGTGGCTGCAATGTAATATTAAACTTGAAAAGAAAGAGTTTCCCATTCTATACCATTATGCTGCCTAAATTAAAATGAAGAACAATGGCTGCAGTTCTATACACACTTACTCAAGAGTAACTCCTATTGAACTCAGTGCAGCTTACCTCCAAGTAGAAATGCATAGGATTGCCCTGCATATTTATGAATGTGTTGGTTTTATTTGTATCTCCCTACACTATGCTAATTTCATGTTTACAACTGGCAAAGGAATTTTTTTTTATCAGAATAACATATTTTTACACTAATACTCAGTCCTGTGATAAACTGGATGTGATGAGACCTGGATGCTGTATAGATGTCTCTGCTGCGCTGGACACAGAGCTTTTCGCACAATAAAAAAAACAAAAACCCAGAAACTCTAATAAACCTTTCAAGGCTCTGCAACAGCAGATGATATAAGATCCAAAATGGCCCTTTTTTTCCTTCCAGAAGTGTCACTGAGGGATTGCTTCCAATCCTTTTATTGCTGCAAGAACAGTTTGGTTCATCCTGCGCAGGATGAGAGAATTTCAGAAAACAAACAATCATCAACTTGAAGTCTGGATGGAACAGTTAAATGTAAACAAGTATCTGCTGCATTTAACTCCCGGTCTGGTAAGGAGCACCAGTAATTTATAGAGAATTATAAGCATGCATTTATCATTTCTATAGCACTTTTAATATGAAGAATGCTTTACAATCCATACCTTATGTCCCTCGCTTTCTACACGCCATGTTAATTTCATATACTTCATAATTATTTGCAGCCAAAAGCAGAAAACTTGGGCAATTATTCTATAGAGCACTGTGCCCTTTTCTAAAGGGGGAAAAAGTGTCCTACCCTCTTTTCTGCAGCTTTTTTATGGTTCGGGGAATGTAAAATATTGGCTGGGGCCTTGTGTACTCCACTGTCCTCTACTGGATAATATCACAGCTACTGACTCAAAGTGCCCATGACTCATCATCTTTTCAAGCAAGTGTCCTACAAAGATGACACAAACAGCATCTAGTGCACATTCAAGTGAAGCCTCAGAGGGCTGGGAATGTAGATCACAGGCCTGTTTGTTCTGTTCTTTATGCCATTTACCTGTTCAGCTGGCATCTGTGGTATATTCTTGCCCATTTGTTTGTACAATATTAAACTAGTGTCTATAACTGCCTTCGGTCCCAACTGTGAAACCCCTTTTGCCAAGTACATTCTAGACACTGATCCAGGTGCTAGCCAAAATCTTCACAATCAAGTCTAGTCAATATATATGCTATATATGCCACAGAATTATTTGTGGGACACCTGGGGGGGGGGGGGTTATTTAGTGTGGGCTGTACCACCACTTGGGCTGCAGGTAGAGTATGTCATTTCTTATTATTATCCTACATTTGATGACAACAAAAAGTTCATTGCAGGTAAAAAACTAGCATATCAGGGAGCAAGGTTCTAACCGAGCTGTTCTAGTTTTCTTCTTAGATTATTTGTTCACACAAGGGAGCATTACAAAATGTGATTTCCCATCTGTTGTCTGAAGTCACACAGTCCATGCAGTCCTCCCACCTCATTCTGCTGCATATGTAGACCCAGCCCCATCCTGTTGTTTTGAACTGAGATAAGGTCCACAAGGTCTTTCGTTTTCATGTGGTCTTGGGAAAGAGAGTCTCAGGGTAGCAAATAGGCAAGAAATGAGTTAACAACAGCAATAGTATAATAAGCTGCGTAATAGCTGTGAGAGTGTAATAGCTGTGTAACAGAGTGAGAGAGGAAACACTGGCACAACTTGTACCTTACCTATTGAATGGCCATCTTTTCAAGGACATACAATAGATCAAGCCTCAAGATATCCACTTACGGAAAAGAAACAGCGATTCACTCCCTTAGGGTAAATGACAGAGAGAATAATGTATTTCATTTATAGGAGCCTGCCTATTAAAGTATCCCAGCTGCTCCTATAATAAAACACCTACAAGTGACTGACAACATACCACAATGATTATGCACATATTTTTGTGATGGAACAGACACTTCCACCACGAAACAATACCAGGCCAAACCCTGATAAGATTTAAACAAAAATGAAATCGGCCCACAACAGCTATAAATAATCTTGAGCATATCACCATTTCAGCATGAAATTGTTTTGCTCACATTACAGGGAGATGCTCCAGTGCTAAAGAATAGAATTTCCAGATAAATTACTGAACTTTCCATTGCATAATTTTCTGTGCAAGCCGGACTCGTCTGGTGCATGCATCTTAAAAAGTATAATTTCCGTGCTTTCACGTTTACTGAGTATCTTGTAAGATTATATCTCACTTGAAAAATAAATGCATAGTCAGATAAGGAGCAATGGACATAGGAAAGAGGATTCTGTACGTGAACTGGGTACAGAGAGAGAGAGAGAGAGGTGAACCAGTGGAGCAGGCAGACTACTCTGCAGTATACTGTACTGCCCGCGGTTCCTTTTCATTCCAGACCACAGGCACCTAATTTTGCACCCCACCCGCCCACCTGCCACCAGGGGGAGCGTGAACCATCGGCCTATCTATATCCACCGGCAGAAACGGCTGCAACAGATCAGCTCGCCCTCTCTCCGTACTACTCTCCCCATTGGACTTGGAAGGGATCAGTCGCGGTGCACCACGGGAAATGCTTTTTTGCTTCCCTTCCTTTCCTCTAGTCCGCGCGCGGTCGGGACTGCATTTCCCAGGAGGCGCCGCAAGAGGAGGTGGGTCACCTGACGCCTCAGAAACTCCGAGCAAAATGGCGGCGCCCGTGCTGCGGCGCTGCCGGGTTTGGCTCGGGGCTGGGCATCGCAGCGTCGGGAATGTCGCCGAACTGCGCGGCCCGGAGGGTCCGGTGGCCGCTAGCGCGCTCTGCCGGAGTGCGAAAGAGATGACAGAGAAGCAGAAACGGTACGACAGGGAGGAGTAGTAACCGGGCTGGGTGGAGGAAGGACTCCTGCCGCATATGCTCGCCTCCATCCATTGCAATGTTTATTTGTGCTTCATGCAGTTCGTCTCCCTAGGCTGATATTCTGCGTTTTTGTCAGCCTCCCCCGTTCTCTTTTTTCCCCCATTTCACGACGCAGAGTGATTTTTAATCTGACTGTTGCAAAGGTCTGGATAGGAGCGGTAGTAGAATAAGGTAACTAACAAACCACAATCACCGGCCTCCCCCCACCCACTGCTCCACACAAAAAAAGCTTGTTTCTCAAAGTTTAAAATAAAATGAAGGTTTATATAAATAGACGGAGGACCGTGTCAAAAAAGTATACATTTCTTACCCATTTTTTAAAACCCAATACTATGGTTTTTTTAAAAGTGCAAGTGTTCCTTTTACGAGTGGCACAAGTTTGTGGAGGGTGAAATGTGCATCACCTGGCCTAGAGGAGACTGTTCTTAACTCAATGGTAGAGCATCTGCTTTGCATGCAGAAGGTATTGGCTTCAAGTCTCCAGGTAGGACTGGGAATACCCCATTAGAAACCCTAGAGGACCACTACCAATTAATGAAAGTAGTACTGACCTAGATTGTCCGATTCAGTGTAAGGAAGCTTCCTATGTTCCTATGCATGCATCACAAAAAATAAATATACAGTATGTGCACATTGGATTATGATGTCTGCACATCTACACTGCCTTCTTTTCCTATAACTGCATAATAAACGACATGTTTGGAGCAGCCTTTAAATTGCAATTTCAAGCACACATGAGAAACTGTTGCATTAAAACCAGCTTGTTGTGGTTTTTAAGCTATCTACAATACAACAAAGAGACTTGTGGCATATTTAAAAATTAAAATATAGGCACCAGTTTTTTGTGGACTAGAGTTTACTTCATCAGATGTGTCACCAGAGTATCATTCAGTCAATAAAGTCAACTCCAGTCCATAAAAGCTAATAAAACAATAAATTTGTTGGTCTTCAAAGTGCCATGAGAGTCTTAGCTGGTGTTGCTGTAGAAACCACAAGCATGGCTATCCCTCTGGAAATTACACTAAGACAGACATCATGCCAAGATCATGGTGCTCTTTTACAGAAGGTACAATTTGGGATTCCTACCCCATCCTGTAACCCATGGGTAGGCAAACTAAGGCCCGGGCCCCGAATCCGGTCCAATCGCCTTCTAAATCCGGCCCACGGACGGTCCGGGAATCAGCATGTTTTTACATGAGTATAATGTGCCCTTTTATTTAAAATGCATCTCTGGGTTATTTGTGGGGCATAGGAATTCATTCCCCCCCCAAAAATATAGTCCGGCCCCCCACAATGTCTGAGGGACAGTGGAACGGCCCCCTGCTGGAAATGTTTGCTGACCCTTGTGTAACCTTTGTGGCAAAATATGCCATTTTAGTTCTAATGTTTTCTAAATGCATGTTGTTCCATAATTTATTCTGTGAAGTTATGTTGAATAAATATCACAGGGATGGGGAACCTGTGGCCCTCCAGCTATTGTTGGATTTCAGCTCCTATAAATCTGAGCCAGCCTGGTCAGTAGTCAGGGATGATGGGAGTGAGAATCCGGTAACACCTGCAGGGCCACAGGTACCCCACCCAGATATATATTTTTTGCATCCTTTTCCCCCACCGATATGTTTTGAATTTAAGCAGAATAGTAACTTCAAACAATATTCAACAATAACTCTTAATTACTTTTCATAATAAATGAGATGAGAATGGTTTGTTTGAATAATTTCATTATAGAGAAACAGAACTTTGGTCTTGGTTGGGGTTTTTAAAGTGTCTTAATGTTTGAAAGAAGCACTATATTTGATGTATTTGCTTAGAGCTTTTCTGCTTTCCTAATCTCCCATCTTGATCTAAGTACTTCTGTCATAGCTACGGCGTAAGCTTGACTTCACCAGTGAAATATGATATTTGTGTCTTTTCTTTGTACAAGTCCAGATAATTACTTCCAGAACCTGTCAAGCGGTTCAGGCAGTAAAGGTGACTGTTCTCTTGCTCATATAAAGATTATGGATGTGAGAGCTGCAATTACTTTTCAGCAGATAGGAAGGTGCTTGTTCTTCCTGTTCAGAGAACCATCTCTTGAGTTGAAAAGATGATTTCTCTATTGCCAGACTACTGATGTTTATGCTAATCCAGTACTAATAGTGCTCTGTAGACCCACCTTTCCCAGCTTGAAAGTGACCATCTGACAGCATATGCATAATTGAATATGCCACCTGTCTGTTGGAGATTTCTCATACATAGAAGGATATCAATTAATATTTATTTTCTATTTCATAATCTCCACTGGGTACAAAATTGGATACCTGTCCAACAAACCCTTTCTGGATAAAATTAACTTCTGAAATGCACTTTAAATCAATGTAAGGCTTTCAGGATGTGGGTTTCTTTTTGCCTTCTAACATGCTGCTGTTTGTACAATTTTCAGCTGTTTATGAAAACATTTCACAACATCTTTCGATGTTCATTATACAGCAGTTGTGGGCTTATAGTGTGCTCCAGCATACTGTTGAATTCTGATACTTTTGACATTTGTATTCTCCACCACACCACACCCCAGCTGTTTTAGAAATTTGAATTGCATCAACCCAGCTAGTGAATATTTCTTTTGACTTTCTTTTAGGAATGTTCCCTGGGCAGCAGTGGTAGGCCTGGAAATTCATGCACAGATCTGCTCCAACTCAAAGCTTTTCTCTGGTTCACAAGTCCAGTTTGCAGCACCACCTAACTCCTTAGTATCTTTTTTTGATGCTTCTCTACCTGGAACTCTACCCGTAAGTTTGAATTGAATGCTTATATTAGTATTGAATTTTCAACAACAACAAAGCCTGTCTTATCAAACAGGAACAGGCAGCCACCATTAATTCTTCAGGTTTTTATAATTATTAAGAGTCATACTATTTAAAAGGGATACTAGATGGTTGAAACACTTTTATCTAAGAAGGTATCTAAGAAGGAACAAGCAGCTTGCAACTGCCACTTAATTTCCCTCTACCTTTTCCCTCCACATTGATTCCTTTTTGTGTAATCTTGCCTTTTTAAATTTGTATCACTTTCTTTTTTTAAAATATTAGTATGAGCTGGTTCAGCATACAATATTTGTCTGAAAAGCAGGATACAAATATTGCCACTTCAGATAAATGACCATTATTAAACAGAGCACCATCAATGTTACATGTACTTATGAGAAGCTTAATAACAAAACAAAACAAAAAGACAACTGTCCTTACAGCTGGCTCATATGCACCCCCAAGACTTAATAAAAATTGTTCCTTTGCTTCTCCTGCTACAACAGGGAAAGTAATATGGGTTTGGTTTTCTGGACTTGGTAGAGCCACTGACTCCACAGGCTCTGATTTTCCTTCAGCTTTAAACACTGCTAGCCTTTTACGGCAAGGTGGTGTTTCCCTGCTGCCATAGCAATCTACAACATGAGCTTTGGGTAGTTTGCCATCTGAATGCTTACTTTGAAACTTGCCCTATGCCTGCAAGTGAGTGGAAGACCGTGAGCCTTCCTGACTGATTTCCTAACCAAACTACAGTATTTGGCCAAGCAGTTTGAAATTATTGACTTATTTTAATATGCAAAATTTGGTTCTGGCCTTTTAGTGCTCCAGCATAGGTTCTTTGGTGGGATGCAGTAAGATTACCTCTGCTTGTGTTTATCTGTAGGTATGTATAGCAACATAGGAAACTGCCTTACATCAAGTCAGACCATTGGGCCAGCTAGCTCACCATTGTCTGCTTGGCCTACTTTTCCCCAGTCCTCACTGGAGATGCTGGGAGTTGAACTTGGGACCTTTTGCATACAAAACATGTATGCAACAAGAGACTGGCATCTGCTGCAATGAGATTATTGGATATTGAACGAGTTGCATGTGGAGAGAGATACTGCTAGGTGTGGCCAATCAGCTTTCAGCATAGTGTAGTATTGTTATATTCCTTATTTTGGACAGACTAAGTATGCATGAAGAAAAAGCCTTAAACCTACTGGGTGGTATCCAATGGTGCCTTTTGCCTTTGCATAAAGTGCTTCCATTCATGTAAGTTGGGACACCCCCATCTTCAGCCGTCTCCCCCTAACCCAATTAAGCCAACTGTTCTCTCCCTTTGAGTTGTTATTGATGGTTGAACCCAGAATAGGATACAGCAGAGAGGGCTGCAGTAAGTAGGAGGGATTGGCAAGAAATTGGTATCATTTTCAACAAACCCTTTCTGGATTTAAGGGCATAAATGGATAAAACCCATTGATGGTTTTGTTGTACGTGTATGGCAGTTAAATGTAGTTGGACCTCTTGTGGGAAGCAAAGATGACCTTTCTGCTATTTTTTATTTGTAACGGAGCCCATGCTATACAAACAAAAATTCCTGGATGCAGCTCTTGATGTGTCTTGTAGCAGGGTCCTGGGTTATGACTGAGGAACACCCATCTGAAGTATTGTAGAGCTGTTGTCCATCAGAATTGCCTACATCAGGCAAAAATGAGTGTGTGTTGTGGTACAGTGTATTTTTGCTGTATCTATACCAATAAAGTTGTATGTTGTGAGCTACCTTGGGAGGGTTAATCCTGATAAATATAAACATACATAACACCTTAGAAGTGCCTAGATAAATAAATAAAGCAAAATAAAGTTACGTGTGAAGATTGTCCCTAAGCACACATGGAATATATGTGAGAGCAGCCTGCATGCATCTTGCCATATTCTTCTGGATTTCTGTACATTTTAAGTAGAAATGGTTGTTCCTTTTACAGTCGTTCCCTAGTGAGAAATCTTGAGCCTAAGCTGAAACAGCCTTCCTTTGAGATAAGAGCTCCTGATTAGTAGTCAGCTTGATGGCTAACCTAATGAAAAATTCGTGATCTGCTCTTGTTCACCTCCAGCAGAGGCTTTTATCTGTGCAAGGAGAGGGAAAGAAAAAAATATATTTTCCTTTGCAGTTTTTGTAGATAAGTTGAAAGTGGATATTTAAAAATGTTAGTACTTGAGTGTCAGAATGTGATACGAAATTCTATTTTTATTTATTAGTATTACTGCTTCATAGGTTTTATTTTATTTTACGGTTTTAGGCAAGAGTAATGGTACCTTCCTCGTTTTAACAGGGTACTTTAGTGTGCATGAACATCTTAATGGTTGCACAATTTAGTTAATGGAGTATTATTCCAGATGTGATTTGGCATCTGTTTTAGGCTTAAAATTCTGTCTGCTTTAAAGTTAACAGATGGAAGAAGTAGTCCTTTAGATACTTTAGTTGCATATGAAAATTTCAGTTGTTTTAAACACAAGACTGTTTATATTTATGCAGTAATTGCCAAACTTTCTTATAGCAGATTCATTTCCCCAGCACTGTTGAAGGTTGGAAAACAGACACCAGGAGATCTTCTAACTAATCATCTGTGGGGAGGACTTTTGGGGAGGTGGGCATTAAAAGCAGTCATGCAGGTGAGGCAATTGAGACTGATGCTGGGAAAGGTGAGATTTAACACTTTACCTGCATCATTGTCCTACTCTAGATCACTCATTCAAAGCTATTATCCCCATAGGAGGGGTGGGTGGTGAGGGAACATACATGATGCATCTCTTCTGCTTCGAACTTCATTGTACTATCAGACAGACTGAAACAAAATGGAGAACTCAAGGACACACAAGAAGGGATTATTTTAAGTGATTTTAATGCCTTTAATGTTATGTTATGTTTTAGTTTATATGGGTGGTTATCTTGGGAGGCATTTTTGCCAGAAGGGCAGCCCATATGTTTAGCTACAAATCTCCCAAAAAGTCATACAGCTCACACAGAGATATATGCCCACTGGTTGAGCATTAGTAGCAATGGTACACTGACGACGCCTGATGCACACAAAGTTGGCTGCATAGGGTTGGGGCTTGCATCCAGTTAGAGAAGATGGCCTTACACTTTGGGCTCTTTCAAAGAGGCAAACGGCCCCTGTGTGGCTCTCTGGAGTTCACTGGTGTACTCTTCCTAAAACCTGCAAGGAAACAATTCCTAATTACCACCTCACTATCCCACTAACATTCCGCATTAAAAATATTTCTGAAATCCTAGTTTTAAAGCGGGCACAGTGCATTTCTTGAGAGAGTGCTACAGATTGGGGTGTCTCCAGCTTGAATTTCGCTATGCCATGAAATTAATCCCTTGTTTGGCTACACTTTTACCAAGTTGGCTGTTTTGCTTTTTAAAAATTGCATATGGCCACTGGGCATTTGCTGGATGGAGAGTTTGGTCATTCGTGCCATGAATTTGATGTTCCTGCTTGAAGTAGCGAACAGGGTCTTTCATGAAATGGGTGTCTAATATTTAGCCAGCTTAAATCTACTCGCTTGGTTACTATGAATTTTATATTGATTTCAACTTCAGTAGGTGCCAAATGAGGTCAGCACTGAGACTTTTGCAATCCTAGTTGTGTGCCAACATTTTTTATAGCTGGGGAAAAGTTAAACCAGGAGAGTGTAGAGCTTAATTATTTTGAACCTGAAGTTCCATATCAATAGTTAATTAATTTAGATTAATCTGTCACCTGGGGAATGATGTCTACAGCTGAACGTTGAGGAAGAATCATTTTGTTTACTGGAAAAGGTCTTGTGTCTGCAAAGGGATTTTTTGTGGTCTTCATTATTCTGTACTACAGTATCTAAATATTTCTTTGATCTGTCTTAAATTAGTTTTGCATTGGCAGAATAAAAAATAAAGAGCACAGTTCATTATTAACTTTGGCAAATCCCTTATGTAATTATTAATGGCACCTCATTTGAGGTAGCAAGGGATTGAATGTGATGGGTTATTTATCTGGAAGAAGGATCCAGCCCATTCACTGAACTAAACCAATACATGCACATTGATGATTAGCACTGAGAACATCTCTTTTTCCAATTTGCGCTTTTAATGCAGGACTGCCTTTATTGAATTTCTCTTTTCCACAAACGCCAATATTTGAGGGCTTTATTATGCAAGAGCTGCTTTCTAACAACACAGTTGTGGTAGATTAGTGAATCAATAAACTTGTAATAGCTCCTAAACATCTATATTAGATTTAAGTTTCCCTTTTTTTGGTGTTTTAGTTTTTTTCTGTAAAACCATGGATTTTGGGAATCCCAAATTGGAAGTTCATCCAGTTTGGAATTAAAGATCTCCTCTCCACAGATACACAAACACACTCATTTAGCATTAAGCTACATTGCCAGAATAACCCACTGGCCTATCCTAAACACACACGTGTATAAACAATTGCATATTGTTGTCCTTCTTTTCTTGTAGGATCAGTATAGCAGCTGCCCAAATGTGCTTGCTTGTGCCACTAGCAGACATACTGTTTACATACCTTTTACTGCTTAAAAGGTAAAGGTACCCCTGCCCGTACGGGCCAGTCGTGTCCGACTCTAGGGTTGTGCGCTCATCTCACTCTAGAGGCCGGGAGCCAGCGCTGTCCGCAGACACTTCCGGGTCACGTGGCCAGCGTGACGAAGCTACTCTGGCAAGCCAGAGCCGCACACGGAAACGCCGTTTACCTTCCCGCTAGTGAGCGGTCCCTATTTATCTACTTGCACCCGGGGGTGCTTTCGAACTGCTAGGTTGGCAGGCGCTGGGACCGAGCAACGGGAGCGCACCCCGCCACGGGGATTCGAACCGCCAACCATGCGATCGGCAAGTCCTAGGCGCTGAGGTTTTACCCACAGCGCCACCCGCGTCCCTTTTTTACTGCTTACTTCCCCCCAAATTAATAAATCATGGTTCCCAGGGTTGTGTGCTGTTGGTGTGGAAGCACTGTTTTCACTGAAACCCACACAAGTGGTCAGAAGCTTTCTGCTAAGTTCTACATAAGTTTTACCCTTTAAAACTCTAGAAATACTTTTAAATAGAACAGTAATGAAACCCAAGTGGCAAAAAGAAAGGCTCCAGTTTCATGCAGATACTTAAGATAGCTGAACAGTTAAAAACCAATGTAAAATGCCAGGAGAGAGACAATTATGGATATTCTTTTATTTTGTAGAAGAGAAAATTTACAACTGACACCAGAAACACTTCCTGCATAGGAAACTATTATTTTGACACTAAAACAATTTAATACTTCAACAGTGTTGGCAATCTCTCATTTTGGTCTACAAGTCAGGACTAATTGGATCCCGTTCTGCTGCTCTTTAAACATTTCTGCTGTATTTTACGCATTTTTATTTTAGGCTCAACAGTTTTCTCAAATGTATAGCAAACACCCAAGAAGCCATACCAGTTACACAAAAGGTTTAACAGCATCCTAGTTTTTTGTTTGTTTGTTTTTTGTTTGTTTGTTATATGCCATCTTTCCTTCAAGTGTATGTATCTCATTACCTTACTAGATTCAGATTTTGGGTTTCTTCTGTTATTGTTTAGTCATTTAGTCATGTCCGACTCTTCATGACCCCATGGACCAGAGCACTCCAGGAACTCCTGTCTTCCACTGCCTCCCATAGTTTGGTGAAACTCATGCTGCTAGCTTCAAGAACACTGTCCAACCATCTCATCCTCTGTCGTCCCCTTCTCCTTGTGCCCTCCATCTTTCCCAACATCAGGGTCTTTTCCAGGGAGTCTTCTCTTCTCATGAGGTGGCCAAAGTATTGGAGCCTCAGCTTCAGGATCTGTCCTTCCAGTGAGCACTCAGGGCTGATTTCCTTAAGAATGGATAGGTTTGATCTTCTTGCAGTCCATGGGACTCTCAAGAGTCTCCTCCAGCACCATAATTCAAAAGCATCAATTCTTTGGCGATCAGCCTTCTTTATGGTCCAGCTCTCACTTCCATACATCACTACTGGGAAAACCATAGCTTTAACTATACAGACCTTGCTTCTAGGACTGAGTTAATTCTAAAGCCAAATCATTGAATTCCTTGGGGCAGGGGACTAAGACTTGACACATATCATAGCCAAGTAGTATATAACTCAGGAAAGATTTGGAACTGTGCATCCTATTTACAGACTGGCTTTTTGTTTGGAAAGGGCCATTGCTCAATGGTAGAGCATCTGCTTTGCATATGCAGAAAATCCCAGGTTCAATATTCGGTGCCACTGGGTACGGCTGCGAAAGTCTAAAACCCCAAAGAACCACTGCCAGTCAGTGTAGACATTATTTTATTATATGGACCAATGCTCTGACTAAATACAACACAGCTTTTTACATTTCTACACGTTGACGCTCCTGTCCTAGAAAGCACGGGCATTACATCCTCCACGAAGAAAGCCATGGCAGAGGGGAGGAGGAAAGAAAATGTTTGAAGTGGAGGAAGTTCCTTGCAGAACAGCAATAATTTCTTCATCTTGCTATTCCAGACAGTTATACTATGATGGAGCACAGAATAATGGCAGTTCAGCTGCCATTTGAAACCGGTGACAATAGGCACACTTTGAAGCTCCATATTAAAGGAAGCTTGGTGATTTCTTTCCATTTAATTTAAGGGAAGGATGGAGAACTTATGGCCCTCCAGATACAACGGCAACAGCGTTGGACCATTGACCATGTTGGCTGGGGCCGACAACGGAATTGGAGCGTAACAACATCTGGAGGGCTGCAGGTTCCCTACGCCTGACTTAAAGCTGTATTAACCTGGCCTGAACAAATAAAGACCCATGTCCTTATATTAGAAGAATTTTGGAAATCTGATTTTGAGCGTTATCAGATAGTCAGTCTGAGCATCCCCCTCCCCTTCCACTCCAAATCCTGAGGATTTGGAAGGTGAGTTGGCAGATAAATAAATTGACATCCCTTGGCATGAGAATGGAGAGTAGGGCCTTGCCCACAACATACACTGAAAGCACTGCTATCCCTCTGAGAATCCTGGAAACTGTACTTCAAGGGTGCTGAGAGTTGTCAGGAGGCCCCTCACAGAGCTACAGTTCCCAGCACCCTTAACAGCTACACTTCACAGAATTCTTTGGAGGAAGCCGTGCTTGATAAAACTGCTTTATATACAGTGGTACCTCGGGTTACATACGCTTCAGGTTACAGACTCCGCTAACCCAGAAATAGTACCTCGGGTTAAGAACTTTGCTTCAGGATGAGAACAGAAATCGTGCTCTGGCGGCGCAGCAGCAGCGGGAGGCCCCATTAGCTAAAGTGGTGCTTCAGGTTAAGAACAGTTTCAGGTTAAAAACGGACCTCCAGAATGAATTTAGTACATAACCAGAGGTACCACTGTATATGGTGTGAATATGACCTAGGTTTTGACACTGGATTTCACTTTTATTTATTGCATGTTGTGAGGCTTATCTGTGTCCCACGATCAGAAATGATTTTGTGCAGTGTCAGAAATTACACTTGCTTGCCTCTTACCCTCTGTGTATCCACACTTTTCCTTGCTCTTTCAAATCCAAATGACACAAAGAGAATGCTTGGAAAGATGTCCCATGTTGCTGTGGTCCTCAATTGCCTTCTGAAGCACCTGAGCTTTACTGTAGCACTATAGGAACCCCTTCCTGTGAGTTGACTCTTGCCTGTTTTTCACTTACATCAGTAGCTGGCAGGGGTGGGAACCAAAACCTTAAACCTGGGATGTGCCATATGTTCAAAGCATGTTTCTATCCCTGAGCAGCAGCTTCCACCCCACTCACTCTGGCATGGGAAGATACTCTTTTGCATAAGGCTCCAGCGCCTTGCTGCTGAGGCTGAGCTTCCCACGCACGAAAAAGACAGATAATGCTTCTTGAAGGCAAGCAAAGTGGAATGTGCGCTGTTTAAAAGGCATGTGTGGGAGAGGCATTTGTTTCATACTGGGTATCTGAGTGAAGTCATCTGTCATGTTTCTTTAGGTTCTCAACAGGAGATGTGTGGAAGCCGCAGTGATGACGGGCCTTGCGCTGAACTGCACCATAAACAAGAAGTCCTTGTTTGACAGGAAACACTATTTCTATGCAGATCTGCCTGTGAGTATGTATTGAGCTTTGTCCCTCAGCAAATCGGAAGAGGGGCAAGCCTGGAGAACTGATGGGGAAAACAGGCTGGGAGAAGAGATGGTTTTTTGTTCTCTGCCACTGTTTTGCCCATCCAAGCACTGAGCCCTGATGAATAGGCAGCTGTAGCCAGGCTCTTTCTGATTGAAGGTGATTGTCCTGATTGCTGACTGCAGTCCTGCGCCTCATGTTTCCAATGGCTTTGGATAATTAAATTGAGAGAAGGCGCTGCTAGGGCCAGACTTCCTCTATTCCCTCTAATTGTCTGTTAGGGTTAAGACAAACAGTCTGATATTGATCTTTGTGTTTGAAACAAATGTATTACAAATCTGCATTATGGTCCTGTAGACATCACAGGCATTGGTTTTCGTTACTTTATAGGATCTGAAATGCAACATCCTGTTTTTACATGTCGCTGATCGCAAAAGCAAATGAAGAAGACTTTTAAAAATCATGCAGTATTACCTGCTGATATTGCAGATGGCGCTTATATTAGGACCAGACTTGCTTTTTCAAACGTAATGAGGCAAAGCTCAGATCTAAAGCCGTCCATTCAAATTCATCAAACAGTCAGGATTTATCGTTTTAAAATTTAAATAGGGGCCTTTGTTTTTCCTTAAAGCCACAATTGTAATGCTAAAGATCCATGATAGTTTTTCTGCTCTCTGCAGAAAATCCCTGCATCAGGAGTAGAGAATCTCCAGCCATCCTGTGCCCACCTGGCCATTTTGGGGAAGCCATGACCCACCTAATACCATGTATCCATTTGAAGAAGCAGTTGGAATATGTGCACTGCAGTGCGCCTTCAAACCTCCATTTTGTGGAAGTTTGAAGGAATAGCACAAGGGCTCTTTGAAAGCCCTTTGTAAACATTCCTGCAAGCAGTGTGGGTTGTTTACTAAGGACTGTTTGAAAGTCCTGCCAATATGGTATTCAGAGGGCAGCATCACCTGATATCACTATAAGGTGAGGTGATTGACAAGTGGTTGGCCTCACCTAATTGGCAAATTTGGCCAGAATAGGTTCCCCACCACTGCCCCATATTCTGGGGATGGGATGCAATGGCAGGGAGGGAGTATCTCCTTAGAAGTGTTTAGCAGTGGTGCCCGCCCTGTGGGACGCCCTCCCTTCAGATGTGAAGGAAATAAGCAGCTATCTTCTCTTTAAAAGACATCTGAAGGCAGCCCTGTTTAGGGAAGTTTTTAATATTTAATGCTGTATTGTTTTTAACACTTGATTGGAAGCCGCCCAGAGTGGCTGGGGAAACTCAGCCAGATGGGCAGGGTATAAATAATAAATTATTATTATTATTATTATTATTATTATTATTATTATTAGTAAGAAAACCCTCTAATAAGTTGCTGTCATTGTTGACTTTTACACCTGTATAAAAACCTTTCAAGGTAGATTAGATCAAGAGATAGAGGTTGCCGAAGGTCACCTAGGCCAAACTAAACATGATGTGGGAGATCTCTAATCCGATCACCTGGCCTTTATAAAAGTATAAAATCTGCCATGGGGAAGGGTTGTGGAGCTGGGGAAAAGGTGTTTAGCCTTCTTTGCTATTCTGTTTTCTCAGTCAGAACTACTGGTCCTGAGGCTGATGAGGGCTCCACTGGGAAGAGGTGCAGTATGCACATGCAGAGACCACAAGTGGTTTTTAGCCTAAAAACAACGGGGGCGGGAAGCCATGTGGTTCCTCTTAAACCTTAACAAGTGGGTGGGGGATCCATGATTGTCTACTTTGACTGTTGCAAGTTTATATGTGAGTGGGAATTTGAAAGTGTGTTCATGGTACCGTATACAAAGACCGTATGAAAATAAACAACAAAATTCCATTCTGGGTGTTGATTAAAGAGAGGTTTACTGCTTATTATGTTTGTTATCTTTTGAGCATCTTAAAAGGGGTTCTGCTTGTGGTTCAACTTGAAATAGAAGAACTATCAAGCCATTCATTAGGGTTTGGAGTTTCCCTTTGAGGTTCACACACACAAGCCTTAATTTTAGCCAGGGCTCCCTATAATTTAGCCCCACAATCTGTATTCAGTACATTCACATATGACACACAAAAGAATAATAAAGTATTATTACACTGTAACAAAACAATAGAAGTCACATTTTGTTAGCTCAGAACACATGCAGTCTGCCCCTTTTCCCTCGCCATACAGTGTCTTAAGTGCACAATGCCCAGTTTGTTACGAGGGGGGAATGGGGTAGAACACTAACGCAGGGTGTGACTTATGTGAAGGGGAGAGATAGCAGGCGGGAGAGGATACTTGACCCTTCTGTCAGCCAGTTCAATCTTACTCCCCAAGGTTGTTTTTCTCATGCAAAACTGCCCTAAGCTAGCATTATCAGAGCCTGTAATGAGATTCATAGTTTTATTACACATGTAGATAAGATAAATGCTACTTTGGAGATCTTTGGACGGTTGGATATGAAAAATGGGGCTTCAGATAGAAAATGGAATGCCTGTTTCTTCTTGTCACTTGTCATCTGTTAGGTTTAAAAAGTAATCATTTTAATGGGGAATGGTGGAGGGGAAAGCAAAGGGGAAAAATTACACTGAGTCTTTAATGTGTATTGCATGAATTTGTTGTTAATAATTGCTTAGAGAAAAGGGCCATCTATTGGAATATAAAGTTGATATACGACCATTTTAAAATTGTTGATTGCTACAATTTTAAATGCAGGCTGGCTATCAGATCACTCAGCAAAGGCTTCCCATTGCTGTGAATGGGAACTTGTCATACATTCTGCGCATGGGAAAAAACCAGAATGAAATGGTAACCAGGAGTGTGAGGATCAAGCAGATACAGTTGGAGCAAGACAGTGGAAAGAGTCTTCATGATGATTTAAGGAGCCAGACCCTTGTGGATTTGAACAGGGCAGGTAGGTTTGATACTCTTTTGTCTATGTAACTATTATCTATATTTTTTAAAAGGAAAAAGGCAGCAGCATTCTGTGCTTCTGTCTGAGGCTGTCAATGTTACCTCCTGATTCAAGTTGTTCTACACACACAAACATAAACTGAAAGGCTGGCTTGATCAAGGCATCAAGAGAATGCCTTTCTCACAGCTGGTCTGCATGTCTGGCAGTAAATCCAGGGATGGGACTCTGGATGATAGTTGTGTTTGCCATTTTCTAAGGTGAAAGGTGAATCTGGATCCTTCATACATGCTCAGGCACACACAGAGAGATCTGTTCTTCAAGCCCAGGTTCTTCCAGCCAGGAGTGTGAATGGAAGAATGTGGATTTAGACATGAACTGAATGGAAAAGTGTGAGACGACGGATTGATACAATATATTGAGTGTGGCACAATATGGCCTAGATGCTGAACCATAACATCTCAGCCCACACATACATGCTTACTATTTTGTGTAGGGGAAAGATTGAGGTTTGTTGGGGAAAGTTTAAGCACCTTCCATCTGCTGGGTCTTGCTGCCAATTCTGTTTTTCAGTGGCCTGTGCTGCCAGGCCTGATTTTTTTTAAAAAAAAATTGCCAAACACAATAGAGAGGAATTGCTGTCTCTGAACCTTCTCCTAGCCCGAATTAGGAAGTGTCCTGGCAATACTATGGGTCGCTATGACTTTGTTGAATTTTATTACTTGATGAATTTGTTCTCGTCATTTGCTTTTATATGCCAATGTGTTTGATGTTATAGTGATTGCAATGTTTGTTTGTTTGTTTTAATGCTACTGCGATTATTGCGAGCCTCTTTGTGCTCAACATTTTGTTGCTGGAAAAGCGGGATACAAATATTAAATCAACTCAACACTGCTTTTGAGCTGTCTGCTTTCCCCTTGAAAAATGTTGGACCTCGTTTTTTCTCTTGGTGATAGAGGGAAATGAGCGTTCGTGTGCCGGTTCTGCAGATCCAAGCGTTTTGACAGTGATTAAATAATAAATGATTACCAGTTTCTCCTGGCACAAAAGCTTAAGCACTTTTCACGTGGGCTCTTCATTTTTAATGTCTGAACTGTTTACATGAGATCAAAAGCTGCTGTTCAGAATTTCTTGTCTGTCTCTGGTAGGAGTTGGCCTCATGGAGGTTGTCATGGAGCCCGACATGTGCTGTGGGGAAGAGGCGGCTGCAGCAGTGAGAGAGCTTCAGCTTATCCTGCAGGCTCTTGGGAGCAGCCAAGCAAACATGGCAGGTAGAGACCTAGGAGGGCATGTTTATCATTCCTCAACTGTAATTTTCTTCTCACAAAGGCACTTTCACGGCATCTTACTTACTTTGCCTTCCAGCTGCTTATCATTCGGTATTGTTGTGGTGCCGTGTTGTGTTTTGGTTCCTTTTTTCCTTCGTCAAAATCTTCTGATTCTGAATTAAGGTCACTTGCGCCTCTGGTGCCTAAGAGGGACCCAGCTGCCTCATCTTCAGCTCAGATTCTTTTGTACTCCTAGGCCTTTCTAAATTTTACATAATAAATCTTAGCAGGAAGGGAATGACTGATGGCTTCTGTGCTGCTTCTCCCTCCCCCCTCCCCTTGCCCGCTTGCCTTCCTTCCAAGTGATGCTGTGATGCAGAATCTTTGGAAGAACTGCAGTTGCAACCCGACTATTAATCTCTGGGCTCACCTCAGCTATGTGGGAGCAATCCTGGGAGGGTTTGGAGGGAGGATCAAGCGATGCGGGTAGCAGTGATGTTTGATATCAAACACTTAACATGGTAGGGTATATGTGTATGTATACATATACCAATTGCATATTAGGATTCGTCCAGCACCTCAGAATTAATTCTAGATCAAGGTCCCCACAAACTACTATATTGGAGCTCATGAATAAGCATCAACATCTCTCACACTCAATTCCTCATTATATTGTGTGCATCTTGGCACCTCCCCTTTTCCTTCATACTCTCGTCTTAGCACGCAGCCTCACACTTGCTGAAAGCAGCAATAATTATTTAGGAGGAAACACGCTGTCTGCTGTGGGCTCTGCGCTTCTGAACAGTGGTCAGCAGCGTTGCTTATTTCTGCCCCTCCTGTTCAGAAATCATCAGCAGAGAAAAATTGTAGCCACTTAAATAGGCCAGCTGCCTTCCAAATAAACCCTCAGTGGGGCATGGAGTGGATGATGGCGCCTGCCACTCCTTGTCAGTTTACTTGAGGTTTCCCTTGCTTTCTGCTGCCTTCTCTAACACCAATTCCTCTGCTTACAGTTGCAATAGTTCCTGCTGCTGGTGGTGTCAGTTGCTTCTAAGAACTTTTTCAGGAAAGCAGCCTTAACCTGGAAGAGGTTTCATTGATTTTTATCCTTTTTTATTATTTATTTGTTTCCATTTGTTTCCTGCTTTTGTATTGAATGGTGCCCAAGGCATCTTTTTAGGTATTCTTTGTGATGACTTCTTTTTTATTTTTAACACTTAACTGAAGGAGCAAGCACCCATAAGCCTTGACACGGAGCATATTCCTTAAGATATAATTTTCAGGGAATGCACATTAATTTGCATCCCTTTTTTCCAATGGCGGATTTTTGGCTGTGAAATTCTTGTGGGGCTTGCACCATTTGCTCCTCTGTCTGCTAGTGGTATTTTTTTCCTGCAGTCTTATCAGATTCAGCCACATTCATTTTTCAGCCAGTGATACAGAGGCTACTTTTGTATTATCTGAGCTATTTCTCATTGAGGATAAGTTTGCCCCTTCCTGCCTTATCTATCTTCCAATTGAGTGTGGAGACAAAGGCTGAATTCAGCATCCATCCTTTCAATAGCAGGTACCTGCAGTGTGCCTAGATCAGGTACATGGCTTCATTGCAAGATAATCGGAAAAGGTGAAGGCATTTGAGGGGAGATGCTAGCTGTCTGATTGCCATGCCGTGCCCTTGGGTCTAGGGGAGTCTCCAGGAGTAGATTGAGCACATGGTTACTACCTACAAGAGTGGGACTTTGAAGTCAACTAAAAATGAAGGTGAAGGTATGACCTGTCAAAGGGTAAGCAATAAGTAGTTCATCTGTAGCTAGGAGTCTAAGAACATGCAATTGCTTAATGGACACTTAATCCAGAAAGAGCATTGTGATAAAGGACATAGCAGAACCACAAATGAGCTGTGGGCCAAGGGAACAGGTAGTAGAGATTCACTTCCACTCAATACAAATACAATTTCAAGTCTTAGGGAATGCAGGCAGAGTTTCAGTTACTCTACAGTTTCATTATTGCCCTGTGGAATTTGGTCCCGGGCATAGAATATCTGACAATATTTGCCTTGCCTTTTTTTTAAAGAGAAATATTTCTAGTCCTCAGGATTTGAGGAAATGTACTTACATATAGCTCTTGCCAACCTAGCAGTTCGAAAGCACGAAGTGCAAGTAGATAAATAGGTACCACTCCGGCGGAAAGGTAAACGGCGTTTCCGTGCGCTGCTCTGGTTCGCCAGAAGCGGCTTAGTCATGCTGGACACATGACCTGGAAGCTGTACACCAGTTCCCTCGGCCAATAAAGCAAGATGAGCACCTCAACCCCGCGACTGGACCTAACGGTCAGGGGTCCCTTTACCTTTATTTACATATAGATATTTTGTAGAATCATAGGAGTATGAAATGTGTCTCAAGGACAAGATGCAGATTTTTTTGTCTGCTTGGTTGGTGCTGTGTTTGGGTTCCTGCGCTTGTGAAATACATACGCAACCACAGTATTGGTTGTGTATAGAGCTCTCAATATAAGCAAGAGGTCCAATGGCTTCAGTCAGTGATGTTCAGGCCTTCTGTCTTGAGGGAACCCTTTTCACATTAACAAGCCTACCGAGGAGCTCCTGTATGTGTTGGCTCAAGAACATCTCCAGATAGGCCTGCCTGAAACTATGTTGAGTGGACAATACTGAGCTAGGTGAAACTTCGTATCTTCTTTCATTCATAAATTAGCCAGTCAATTTATTGAGCCAATCAGTTTCTTGAGCAGTCTAGCTCTCTGACAAATGTGCTTGTTTGATAGACGTGCTTGCAAACACAAGTTTGTTGTATTCATGCTTTTTCATACTTCACACTTACAGTATACATACTTTACTATAATGTAAAAATCGTCATGTGTGAAGTATGCCAGAAGCTGTTGATCAGAGGAGAAACAGATCCATACCCACAACTAAACCAGCAGCATGCAGTCATCCATCATTCTGGCAATGAGATTTCCTTGCATCCATGCCGTGTTTTTCCCCCCTGGGGGGCGCAGGGGTACGCATGCCCCTAAACATTTTGTGAATATTTGTACTTTTTTCCATTTACTGTATTTACAATGTGAACTATAAAATTGTGATTTTCTTGAGTCAAAATGAGAGTACCCCCTAAACATTTTTAAAGAAAAAAACACTGCCTCCATGTACATGTGCTTTGTGAGACCACCTTAAAAGGAAGGGCGCTGTCCTCCAGCACTTTTCCTTGCCTTGTGTTCTTCACAAAAATATAGAATGGGAGCACTTGTGTCTTTGGAAAGTGCCCTTGAGAAGACTTAACACTGGCTGGACAATCAGTTTTTATCCTTTACAAATGCAATTCCTGTGCTGTTTACTGCATTGTGTAAATATCCAATATTTGCTTCACTTTAAAGGGCATTAACGTAAGTGTTGATAAGAAGGAAGATGCAAAAGTGTGTGTTCTGTGTCATTTAGCGGGATGGCGTTTATTGGGGAGGGTGTTATATTGGTTGCCAGACTGTTAAATACCTGTTTTTCAAAGGATGTGGAAAAGCAAAGAATAATAACTCGAAAAGGCTTGTTGTGGTGTTTCTACCCCAGCTTTCTCTTTTGCAGGAGATTGCCCTCTGCATCACTTTCTACAGGGCTATATGTATGACACTTTTTGGCAGCTGGGAAGGCTTCGAAATTGTATTTGTGGCAAAGATTACAGTTCCTTGCAGGGAAGGCAAAAACAGGTTTCTGACACCTGTCCTTGAGGCGTAAATTTTCAAGGACACTTCAGTAAATCTGCCCTGAGCAGTAATTGGCTTTGTGACAGAGCCATGTGAACTCCTCAAATGATAGTTTCATACTAGACAAAAGCCATATTCTGTCTTGACGTTTTGTGGTTTCACTGCTTGCCGTTAGGGACTTTGGTCAGATTTCTCTTCTCTTCCTAGGGAGGATCATCAAAGGACCTTCGTGTACAACTATTAGTTTGGTTAAAACCTCAAGAAACAAAGTCTGATTAAAAGAGGTGTCACATTGCAAAAAGTTTGCACAGTAGATTCCAAATGTTGTGCCGCAGTTCTCTGTGCTATGTAGTCTTGCCAGGAATTTGTATCTGAGCTACAAAACCTTAATGGGGGGCATGTCCTCTATTTTTTATATAAAAAAAAGACTATGGCTGCACAAATCCCATATAGCTCTGAAGCAATGACTTGAAGTCTATTCAAAATGAGTCTAGAAGCTTGGAAATGATGTAAGAGCTTCATTCCATTTGATTTCTGAAACGGCTGGGTATTCTCTCAATTGCTTCTGTGTCTTAAGATGTATGCATCTGCTATCTTGAGAGGGGTGTCCATGTGCTTGGTTCACAGCTAAGAAATGTCGACTTGGGACAAATCTCTAGAAGAGATTCCAGTGTGTGTGTGTGTTGCCTCTGACAGAACTGTCAATCCCTTCTTGTTAGATCTTCAGGCGTAGAAAGATGCAGGCATGAAGGAAAAAATGGCCCTTTGATTCTCTTCAGGGACAGCTAATCCATGTCCTGTCCCAAACTTTTTACTGGAAGCCCTGTACAAACCAATTGCAGATAATGTGGGATTAATTCCATTTGATGAAATCTCATTCTACTGCTGATATCTCTTTAGAGGGTCAACTGAGAGTAGATGCCAATGTATCCGTGCATCGCCCTGGAGAACGTCTTGGAGTGAGGACTGAAGTGAAGAATATCAACAGTGCCCGATTTCTTGCCAAGGCCATAGGTAAGTGAAGCACTTCCTCCCAAATGAAAATCTGGGCAGGGAGTTTGGAATCCCATGCCAGAAAAAACCACATCAGTTTCTGTTACTGGGCAGGTTATGCTAATAATATATACAAACCTGCTACCTCTAAGTTGCATGCATTGTTTTGATGTTTTTAGCCTAGCTGAAATCCATCATTGTGAACTGTAATAATGTTTTGCGTTAATAGCGGTCGCTGTGTGTAGAAACCTTTGGCTTTTGTGTGACTGGGGTGTAGCTTTTGCCCCTGGCCACAGATGGTCTAGAAATACAGTGATTGGAACGAGCCTTTGGGGGAGGAGACCTTGACCGGGAACATAACTTCTTTGCTGCCTTCCTTGTTTGGAATGGCTGCTTGTACCATCACTTCTGTAATCAATAGGACCAGGTGCCTGCAAACTACTTAAACGGTACTTAATTGGCTGAAATGCAAGCATGCTGGTTTAATTTGTTCTTCTTAATTCTGTTTTCCTTGTTTTAAGTTATTACCTTATATTGCATGTTAGCCCATTAGGTGTGCGCACATGCATGAAATGTGGTGTTATAATACAGGGAAAGTATAATTTCTTGGCTGGCAGTTGATTGGTGGGTTTTTGTTAGCAGGGCCTCCTCTGCAACAAGGAAAGCAAAATGTAATGGCTTGCTGTTTAGCCCATGGCAGTTTTAGTTCCATAGTAGCACGGCCACATTCCCTTAGATGACGCAAGAGATACAGAGTGGTGGTGGTGGGGAAGTATGTGAGCCACAGAGAATGTGCATCTGCAATGTGAGTGTCGCATGAAGAGGCGGATGCTGCTATGTTTCTATGCAACAGAATTATTGGGCTCAAAATAGAGAAAGGGAAACATGGGAGGGAGCCTGAATATTGTCTAGCTGAACCCCCTACAATGCAGGGATATACATACAGTGGTACCTCGGGTTACAAATGCTTCGAGTTACATGTTTTCAGGTTGTGGACCGCGGGAAACCCAGAAGTACTGGAAAGGGTTACTTCCGAGTTTCGCCACTCGCGTGTGCGCAGAAACACCAAATTGCGTCACGAGCGTGCGCAGATGCGGCGCTGCAGGTTACAAACGCTGCCGGTTGCAGACGTGCCTCCATCATGGATTACGTATGCAACCTGAGGTTCCACTGTACATCATTTTGTTCGTATGCTGCCTTTCCATAGAATCATGCTCAGGGCCACTTACAACATGGGGGAAAAACCATAGTCACAAAACGTAACAAAAATAGTCATAAACAATCAATAAAACATCAAAAAGTACACCACCAAATTGCTCAGTTTCCACATAAATCATAGTAAGATCTGAAACAAAGACTCAAAAATAGTAATATAACAGCAACAACCCCCCACAACAAAAACCCCTAAACAATACCTCAGCCCAAGAGTCTGTTCAGTAGCCTGAGCTTTTGTAGCTGGAGTCAGTCCCAGGCCAGGTTGGGAAGCATGTCTTCCAGGACTCAGTCAAGATTTATGAGTGCCACTATATGTTAGAGGAAAGGTTGTAGCTCAGTGGTAGAGCGCATGCTTTGCATACACAAAGGTCAGTCTGTGGCATCTGCAGGGAGAACCAGAAGGACTCTAGTTTAATCCTGGATTGTCACTGCCAGTGGTTTCACTTGGAGTAAGGCAGCTTTATTATATTTCTGTATATGCGGGTTATTTTTGCATCTTGGGGTGAGTCAAAAAACACAGAACTTGCTCTTGATCTCCAAAAGAAATTAGTCCAACAAAGGCCCTTTTGAATAAAGGTGGAGATAAAAGTGTGCAGTCAGTCTTAGTCTGTATGAGAGCAGAATGACCGTTCCAGCTGTATGACTTCAGGGTGTTTTGGAATGGGATTGTGTTGAAAATGTATGCCTTCCAAAAATGGTATAAATTAAATGTCAGAAAGCAATTCAGTTTATTTGTGATTCTCTAATATTTCTGTTAGGCTTACTTTGGCATTGATAAGCGTTTTAAAGTGTGTGTCTCCCCAACCCCCCAGGTTTGAAAATTTAAAATAGGCAAAGGTGCATCACAACTAAGCTTAATTTATTTTTTTTGTTAAGACTATGAAATACAAAGGCAAATTGAAGAGCTGGAGAATGGAGGAACTATTTTGAATGAAACCAGAGCCTTTGACTTTAAACGTGGGTAAGTTTTTCATTCTACCATTGGTGGGGATTGTTTGTTACATATTGGAAGGACATACCCACCTCCACCCCTCAAAAAAAAAATCAGATGAGAGGAAGGCAGCATTATTAGCCACAGAGCTACCCTGAACATATCTAATGCTCTGTTCCTAAACAAAATCATTTTGAATTATGGACCCATGGCCTGTTCATACAGCCACTGGACATGTGGTAGCTATGAGGGAAGTACTTTGAAATTCTGTGTGATGGTTCTTGCCTGTGGCAATCTGGCTTTCTGCCATATTTGTAGTTTTGGTTTTCTACACATTCTCCTTTTTGTGTTTAAATGCTGAAAGTCAAATTCTACAGAGGGTGGACTTGGCATACAACCACCAAAGCGCCTAGGTTTCTTCCCCCCTGCTACCTGTTACATACTGAGATAATCATGTGATTATGCCTCTGTGAGTGAGAAGATTCCTATGTATAGACGCTGAAGTCGGCAGATTAATAATAATAATAATTTATTATTTATACCCCGCCCATCTGGCTGGGTTTCCCCAGCCACTCTGGGAGGCTTCCAACAGAATATTAAAATACAATAGTCTATTAAACATTAAAAGCTTCCCTAAACAGGGCTGCCTGCTCAGGAGATAAGCATTTAAATTGCTAAGAGTACAGTAATGCCAAACTATCTGTTAGGGTGGCCATGAGGAACCTCTGGCCTATGGCCAAATTAGATCCAGCAGGCTGTTTTTCCAAACCATGACCACCTGCCCCCACACCTGACATCAGGTAACCATGAAGCTGCAAAGGACGAACTCGAAGCTTAAAATGCCAGTGAACCCCACTTGTCAAGGAGCAGTCAGCTAGGTTGGCTGCAGTAGGGGATTCCTCACTGTTGGCACCAGTCAACCAACCTAACTTTTTGTCCTTATTTTTTTAGGCTCACCATAGCAATGAGAGACAAAGAAGGAAAACAAGACTATCGGTAATTATCTTTAGATCGTTTCTGACGGAAACTCTTCATTGTAAGTTGCGATTCCCTTTTGGCTTCCTCAGAGTTGACAAGTCATTGGTGATGGTAATTACCTCAGAGTGATTCCTCGGAGTTGAGAGGAAGCTGAAGAGAATTAGTCACCTGCTGCCCTTCGGTTAGACTTACAACAGGTGCGGGGAGGGAGGATATTGTTCTGATGCATTTATTAATATTTTAACAGTGAAGTTTATAATTTGTAATGCTGCCATGTTCCACTGCCAAATCACATTGAGACTAGCAGGCAGCGTGCGAGAGGGCCTTCTCTGTAGCAGCAACCCTCTTTCTCCCAAGACAAGTTCAACTGGCCTATTCAGTAATGGCTTTTAGTCAAGATATGTTGGCTTCTGCAGACTTCTGGTGGATTTTTATTGTCAGTTTACTTTGGAATCATAGAATTGTAGGGATGGAAGGAAACCCAAGGGTCGTCTAGTCTAATGGGCAGGTGGCCCGTATGAACTCACAACCATGGTGTTATCAGCACCATGCTCTAACTGTTTTACTGTTCTCATTTTTATTGTACCAAGACTAGTGTTTTGTTGCTATAAATGTAAACGAGCTTGGAGGGCCCAGAGGGCTGAAAGGCAAACCAGAAAATTTTCTATAAATGATCCCAAGACAGACCACGGCTGAAAATAACATTCATTCTTGTTTGCTGGTCGTCAGTCAGGACTTTGCAATCTATCCCTGGCTGCTAGAAGACAGAGTTGTATTCCCAAAGGTAAACCCATTGAAATTAATGGAACTAAGTTAGCCATGACCTATGGGTCTACTGAGTAAAAGTGAGTTGAGAATATATCACACTCCAAGCTGGTCTGTTCTACTGTCAGATTGCTCATACCATCATGAAGTTCTTTCTAATGTTTACTCTTTAAATCATTTTTTTTCTTTTTTAAAAAAATTTCCCTTTTACTTTGAACCAATGGGTTTAGCTCCTACCCTCTGGAGCAACAGAAAAAAAATCTGATTTGTTGTTTTCTGACAGCCCTTCAAATATTTGAAATAGCTGCCACCTCTTTAGTAGTCTGTGCTACAAATTTTTATTACCGGCTGAAATTTGTTAAAAGCCCACTTCCAGGTATGTTCAAAGCTGCATAAATAGCACTTCCAGTTGTCCATCATCATTTGATCATAATATCCTTGCTACATGGATAAAAGTGGGTGTACTTTTTTTCAATAGAGTTTTGATTTTTCCACAGCTAATGCAGTTGAACACTGTAGCTAATGCAGTGCTAACCTCTTTAGACCTCATTTTCCTATATCGCAGGATACTGTGTGAGGAGAGGGCTGTGGCTATTTCATTAGTTCTTTACACATCTGCTAGCCTCAGCCTGTTTCACTGCTTCAACTGATGAACTTGAATGTTTTGTTTAAAATAAAATAAAAACGGGGAGAAAGAAAGCATGGATAAATCAATTCAAAACCTATAGTGAATTTTGCTTTTTAAACTGTGCTTTTGTTTATTGAAATCTGGATTTGAAAGCAGTGGGTGTAGCTTAAGTCTAACTTCTTCAAGGAATGCATCTCCGCTGTTTGCAAAGAGACATGGCAACGCTTTAATTGTTTAAGTTTGCAAATCCATCATTTGTTCGTGCAAGGCAGGCTCTTTAATCGCCATGTTTTTGTGGTGGCTTGAATCAGCCCCTTCTTCGGCGCAGCCCTTGTCATTTGATGTTGTCACTCAGATTTATTTGCCATGGCACCCCACTGAAGATGGCAACTTGGCTTTTAGCACGGTTTCCTCCTTTCATTGAAACTCCTCCGACTAACACGAGGGAGGTTGCAACCTGCGTGGAACACTGCTAGCATCTGGCTGTCATTCTTCCCTTTTCCTTTTGCCAGATTGTAGTCCCAGTTGGTCTGAAATCACAGGTCCTGTTAGGCACCGAGGACGATAAGCGACATCTGCATTTTGTTTGTGTTTTTTTGGAAGGGCATAAAATGGCTTAAATTTATTCCTTCTCCCCGTTGCTGGCTGTTGACAGCCAGTGGCGGATCATCAAAAAAAAAAAAAGGCGGCTTGATGCTATGCACCTCGGCACAGGGGCTTATCTGTTGCTGCTGAGAGGACTTGCACTCGGCTGTGGACTCTGTGGACTTTGGTTTGCTTACGTTAAGTCCCATAATTGTTAGGAGAAGGAGCAACTTCATCACAGGTGGCTGGGATGCAGCTAAAGGGTTTAAGTGAAAAGGACAGCAGAGGAGCCTCCGTTTGTTTTCTCCCAGGTTTATGCCGGAGCCGAACCTTCCTCCATTGATTCTTCGCGATTCTAAATCTTCGCCTGCTCACACAAGCGACCGGCAAGTGGTGAATATTGATTGGCTTCGGGAGAGGCTTCCTGACCTCCCCAGTGCGAAGAGAGCAAAGCTTGTTGAATGTTATGGGATTCAGCCTCAGCACAGTTTCACCTTATTGGTAGGTCTATTGACTGAACATTCAAGTAAACCAAGAAACTTCAAAAGATTCAGTGCTTCAGAAAACACTCCTAAAAATGTCATATTAGCCAGCTGTCAGTTCTCATAGATTTTTCTTACGTAGAAAATGAGTTCAACACGCTTGGCTGTTTCTGCTCAGATAATGTACACAAGAGGGTCTCTGAAACTATACCTGCTTTTTTGGGGGGGGGGCATGCGTCCATCAGCATCATAGTAAATTGAAATATATAGCCAGTTATTGTAGCCTCAAAACCCTTTTTGTCTTAAAAACATTCCTGTATTGTAATTTTTTCAATGTATTTGCCTACAACACTGCTATCTCTGGAATGCTGGCATTAAAGTATGTGCTCTGTGAGCCCAGTTGGTGCATCTCATCCTAATGTACCAGCTCAATCAATCTTAAGAGCTGGGCCAGTAGGGCTTTTTCCACATTATTCTTCAGCTTGTGGCTATATTCCGTGGAGTATCGCTGTCTGTAACATTGAAAAGTCGCACGCCAAGCAGTTTTAAATTTTTTGTTAACCTTCTCTTGGATGCATGACCTTTGGACCACCCTTGTAGCTTAAAGGGGGAGAAATTCATAGAACAGCACCATATGGCTTTATGACATTTGATCCATTATTCTACCATAAACTTACGTTAATGCACTCTAAATACTAGAAAGAAACTGTGACACTTTTCTGGAATTTAATCATGCATGTATCTGTCATAAGCCTACTATATGAACAAGCCCTTTCATGTAACATATATGCTGGCTCCAGGGCTTCTTTTCAGCAGTGGAAATAAATGAGACTGCCTAGCCTAACCTTAGATTCCTTTCATTCTGCTGAGTACTCAGCTTTGACTAATGTTAGCCTTTCTCCTGTGTTTTTTCCTTCCTCATCTCTTTATGTCTAATGTGTCTTTCTGACACTTAGACACCAGGCCTATTCTGGAAGCCTGTATAGGTGAGCAGAAAGTAACTCAGGTGCTTATTCTGAAGATGGTACCAACCCACTGAGCCAACCCATTGAGTACTATCAAAGTTTTTGGTCCAATAATGACTCCCTGCCATCCATTCTCTCTACATTTAGGTCTTGGGGAGGGGGTATTGTTCCACAAACACGATTTCTTTTCTTCTGATTTACTGAGAGTCCAGCCAATCTAAATTCACCTGAGACATCTAGTTTCCGTTGGTGTTTTAAGCCTACATCAGGAATACATACAGATTTCTAATGGGGAGGATGCATAAATCTAATGAGCAGTCTTTCAAGTTAGAGTGCCCAAGCGTGCTCATTAAATAAATGGCATAGGTACTGGGACACCTTCAAAATGCAAGATCCACGCTCCCTGCCAACTTGTTAGCGGAAGCATTGTGCAGGGGAAATTGCATTAAAATAAAGTCATACTTCAGTAATGAAATATTATTATTATTCTTTGGTTAGTTCGTGTTGCATTAATCCTTAGGGGGATTTTGAAGTATGTATTCTAAATTTCCACCAGGCTACATTAACTGTAACGAGCCCCCAAAAATAAAATAATTAGAGCCTGCGCATAAAAATAGGCAGGAAACAAGCATTATTCAGCAAAGGCAATAAATTCAGTGTTGTACATGTAGCTGAAGCAGGGTATGGTCCAAGAATGAATAAGGCATTGTATGGTGAAACACAGGTCTAAATAAGGGTAGAAGATATAAAGCTTCAATGTATGTATATAGTTTGGTATCCTTTGGACTATGTTGCTGTTCCACCAAGACCTCCAGCATCTTCAGTGAATATAAAAAATACATAAAAGGACCTCTGGTTTTGCTCGGCTCACAGTAAGTAATTTGGCTCCCAGTATTTTCAGCAGTGAGAAAATCCCACACTTCCCCAAACCACTGAAAAATAGCACCTTTCGCTAGTGAAAAGTGATACCTACTTTCTGAAGTTTAGCTTATATTGCTAAAATTTCACCCAATGCTTTTAATTTCACTGAGCTGTTCACATACTTTTGCCTCTGCTTCAACAATAACAGCTTTTTATACATTACATATGATAGTTACGGCCTTATGGGATGCATTTGGTGTCTAAATGTGGGGCCCCCTTTGAGCTCGAGGCCCTGGACCAAATGGCCCCCCTTCCGATTGGTTCTGCCTGCACACGGCTGGTAATTGCTCTGAGCTCCTGCTGAAATCTCTCCTTTGATTGAATGGACACTAGGCATGTGGACTGCGGGTTAGTGTTGCTGTGGGACCAGGGTGTTATTTCCAATACATCCCGAGTATTCTCCCCAAACATCTCCTGACATCTTTGACTTGCATGCGAGTGTGTGTATGAAATTTAAAATGGCAGCAGTAGTAGACAGATCCACATCGGTGTACTTGTTAAATATGTAGGCTTTCTACCAGACTGAACATCTCATCAAGCTCTTAGGAATATGTGTCTAATATATGCAGTAAGAAAATTGAATCTGCTGACAAACTTGCTTTGAACTGAATGGGACTGGATAAGGGTTAGGATTTTGGAGACGATTTCACTTGGCACTGGATATAAGCAAGTTCCGTTCAAGGGTTGCCTTGTGTGTGAGCTTATTCCCTAAGCTGACAAACTGTCTGAGAGAAAAATATTCCTCCTGTGAGTCATAGGATTACTCCAGCCTTCTGTGCTGAGTGAGTGCTGGTTTGAGTCTGCCATGCATTTTGATCAACTTTCCGGCAGTAAAAGCTGTCTGGAAGCAAATGACTGCTCGAGTCTTGCTTGCAATACAAAAACTGCAAAAACTAGAAGGCAAGGATTCGGCTTGTCACTCAGGAGGAGTTTTGATTCAACTTAAAACACACACTCGCATTTGACAGAAGCATTTACATTGTGACTAATGATGCTTGCTGATCTGCCTTTAATTACCGGGTCTCTATATAATCTGTTTAAAGATTATAGAGTTGTGTGTTTTCCTCTTGCTTTGTGTTTGTCTGAAATTGATTCTGACTGTATGTGCCAGTTCTGGTTCAGATGTTGGATGGGTTGTTGTAGCCATATCTATTTCAGCCATTTTAGAAAGCATCAGTATAGAGTATTATGAAATTGGACAGTAAGCAGGGCGAGTCCTGGCTGATCTTTCATACTGGGTTAACAGGAGTTTTGCCAAGCTCCTCCTTCCCCACTAGACTCAACACCTGTGCCTTTCTTTAACTGCCTAGTGACATAGATACAAATTTTTACCACCTGTTTACACATCTCTCCCTTGGGACACTCCCTTATAATGTGAGTGCTTACGTGCTTCTGTGATGTCATCAGATTTCACAGGGAAGGGAAGAAAAACTATGGTATGCTTTCAGGGTGGGTTGTGCCGTTCTGATTGTGTATGTATTTGGTGGTCTCAGAACACTAAAAAGAGCAGCCTAACTTTGAAAACATACACACACAAGCAAAAAACTTCATGAATTATAAGGGTATACAATTTCTGCAAAACTAGCAGTGGAGAGGCTAAAGTCATGCCTATCTTGCTATTCTATTGAATACTCATGCAGTGGCAGTTTTTGGAAGCATTGTGAAGTTAACTTGAGGCATGTTGATCAATTGACTGTTGCGAATAGCTGAGAAGCCAAGAGGTTAAGAATATTCCACATGTGATAAGACCCGAAAGCTCATGGATATGAGTTTTTATTTTTTGGTTTTGGTTTTCTGGTGGTATGGATAGCTGGTTCGGCTGCTGCCATCTTAACACACCATTTTGTCTCTGAGCAGAATGAAGATGGATTAGTAGAATTTTTTGAAGCTGTGGTGAATGCAACAGGAATGGCTCCCAAAAAGGTCGTTGGCTGGATTATAAAAGATATTCTTGGCTATTTAAAACACTATAACCTTGAAGTAAAGGAAAGGTGAGGCTTTTTAATGTTTATACTTTTGCGCAAGCAAATATGTACACAAATATTAGTCTTCGATAATGGTAAATAATGTAGTCCTCTGTTACCACATGGGCATCTGAATAAACTGTTCAGTGATTAAGGATGCCACAGTAACCTTCAAGGTTCAGTTTCTTACATAGTAGTTACTGTTGTTCAACTGATGCATAAAAATCATACTGAACCTTCTTTATCTGATTCTGCTAATTTGCAAAAGGAAGAGGGGTGAGATCAATGGGTGAAGGAGAAAAGTATTTTGCAAGATATAGGTGAACAGCGAAGAAAAGAGGGTGAACATCCATTAGAATGTGCAAATGACTACAGATGTCAGCCAGCACTACAGTACTCTCAGTGGGATGCGTGTTCCCATTTGCAACTAGCACATCTCCTCCTGTTTAAAATTGCATGAACAGAACTGGATTAGGATAGTCATGGGGAAACCTAATGTACAACCCAGGCAAAACAGTTGGAGCCTTTTGCTCAGATGGTTTTCTGCACATCCCAACTTTGATACAACCATATTAAATGTGATGAGTAGCTTGTGCTGTATTTCTACATCTCTGCTTATTTCAATTCATTTTATGTGGTCTAGTCCAGTCAGTCCTCTTCTTTTGGCTGAACTTCTGAACCTTCTGGAAAGCGGAACGATTTCTTCCTCGGCAGCCAAACAAGTGAGCATTCCTCTTTTTAACATTGCCTTTTGTTTTTCTCCATGGCTCGCAAAATGGCTGGCATGGGGGGGAAGGACACATTTTAGAGCTGAAAAGCTGCCAGAGTTCATATTCCCCTAATGCTAGTTTACTATTGGAAACTGTAGCCTCAGAGGCCACTTTAAGTGAAAATAAATTATTGATGGGGTTTGGACGTGGAGAAAACTATACAGGATCATTACCATGTGTACTCTAAGCCTCAGTCCCATATAAGAGATATGCAAGCTTCTTCAAAATGTTTTGTAAATAACTTTTCGTTATTTTGTGGTTTGTTGTTTGTAACCCTCCTTTGGGAGGTGGGATGGGATATAATTGTAATTAATAAATGAATGATGTAAAGCTAATAATTTAAACATTTTTATACAGCATGTGTGTGTGTGTTTGGCTTGTTTGGCTACTTTTCCGAGCACAATTCAAAGGGAAGGTAAACTGTTTTTCCGTGTGCTCTGGCTTCCATCATGGTGTTCCATTGCACCAGAAGTGGTTTAGTCATGCTGGCCACATGGCCTGGAAAGCTGTTGGTGGACAAGCACTGGTTCCCTCAGCCTGAAAGCGAGATAAGTGCCGCACCCCATAGTTGTCTTTGACTGGACTTAAGCATCCAGGGGTCCTTTACCTTTACCTTTTACCTGTTGGGGGAGGACTGTTTAGCTTTCATCTGTTTGTAACAGAACTCGTATTCTCTGTGTCTTTAAATTAATAACTTATTCAAGATTTATACCCACCTCAAATCCAGGGTAGGCTTCACAAATGCTATCTAATAACCAATATAATCAAGACACCAACTAACAATGTCATTGTTTGGCTATTATTGGTTAATCCTGTGAAAAACAGCATCCTTGCTACATTTAGAAGAGGACATTGATGGGCTAGATGTCTGAAGAATAACAAATGTTTCTAACGATTCTCAGCAGTAGGCAGGGAGATTGGATGGCCTGAGGGCACAAATAGCTATATACACGCACACAACAGTGAATGAATTGCTGCATTTGAGAGTGGGGTGATTGAACTGCAGCACTGATGGGCTAGGCAAACTGAGACACACGCACACAGGCAACACATGTACACATTGTTGGAAGCTTCCAGCAGGGTTATTGCTGCTGCTGCTGTTTCTGTTTTTGTTGTTGTTGTTGTTTATGCTTTCTGCAGATCAGGAAGCTCAAATTGTGAAGGGCTGTGAGCCTTATTAGAAATGGTATGTTCTGTGGCCATGAGAGGAGGAAATATGGCTGCATTGTGTAATTGCAGCACTCCCAAACAAATCTTTTTCCAAACCTATGCACACAGCAACCAGAGAATCTTTCCAGGTGTGAGCTTGTTTGCTTACTGTATAGCCAATTAATTCATAGCTACACAACAGAACCTTTCAGGTGAGACGTGTTTTCCTTGATTAAGAGCTCTGACTGGGAAGCTGCACAAATCCCAGCTTTTAAAGATAGAGAAGTGCCTCACACTGAGTAATGTCAGTGGTCCATCTAGTCGCATGCTATATATTGTCAACCCTGATGAACACAGGGTCTTTATCCTATCTCTTCCCTGCAAAAGATTCTGATATGCTTACTTAAATATATTTAACACCATCACATGCCTTGACTGTCTAAGGAATGAGACCAAGTTGCACAGTGGCTACATGGGATTGCTTTCTTATTGAAAATTTTGTGGCCTCCGACCAAACAAATGCAACTGCAAGTTAACAGCTTGAAGACTTGGTACAGGGCAGATTAATTTGAAGAGGCGCTCAAATAGTGTCAGTGTGTAGTTTGCCACATACCTGCACCGTTACTTTGGACCAGGTGATCTTGTAGCCCTGGGAGAAATTTCATCCGTTGTGGCGGAAGATTTGTAACTTTGTTAGTTCTCCCCCATCTTGTTTTAATCTTGTTTTGTGTAAAGCAATGCTAATTGTGCTGGGGAGCGTTACATTAAAAAGCACTTCCATTTTCTTAGCTTTGGTGAATTAGTAACATGGAATTTCCAACATGACAGTCATTTCTGCATTGGCAGATTGCAATTGCCCAAACATGCAATTATGTCTTCAGTGCAGGAACGAGCAGAAGCAGCTGTTTTAAAAGGTCTCTTTCTCTCCTTCTGCACGCTCTCTCTCTCTCTGCCTCCATCTCTGAAATAAGAGCAGAGGGAATACAGAAAATGACTGCCCAAAGAAATTGCTTTTTTATAAATAGCCCCATTCTCTAGGGTTTTTTCCAAGGTATCAGAGCCCAACTACAAAGCACTGTAACTTTAACTAATAATTATTCCAGACAGACACTTAAGTTCATCCAGCTGTGCTTCACAGTGATGGATAACTGGGCTAGAGCTGCCACAGGGTTCTGCACTATAACCTTCCACACCTCTGTGGTCTATGACCTGCCTTTATGTAGCTAAACTCCTTTTTCTCCCACTGACAGTCAGCAGAGTAACAGTTGCCTGGTTAAATGGTAACTCTACGGGAAATTCAGAATCATAGAATTGGAGAGTTGGAAGAGACGCTGAGGGTCATCTAGCAAAGTGTCCCCTGCAATGCAGGAATCTCAACTAAATCTCATTTTGCAATTTCATTTATCCATACTCCATGGAATAACAGATAGGGTTCAGATGGTGTGCATATGCAAAGATCACACCCTTAATAAATATTACCAGCTACACAGTCCCAACCCAGTGTGGTATTCACAGTTATGGTCAAAATCATCATGGTACGTAGATGAGCAAGCATTGAGGGGCAGGGAAAGAGATAAAAAAAACACTACCTGGAATATGTATTCAATCCATAGTATTAGACACACACTTGTACACACCAGTTAGTTATAACCAGTCTGCATTAGTAATCTTGACTTTGTACAGTACATTTGAGAGCGGACTTCCACTAAGAGCCCCCTTTTTTTAACCAAAAGGAAGATGCTGCATTTTACAGACTTAAAGAATGGACATGTATTATCCCTTATAAAGGAAGAAAATATGAGAGAGATTTTCCACCAAGCCTGATCAATAGACATTTTATTGTGGCACATTATTGAACTGCGATAAGCCCAAATGTGAGATGCTTTATTATGTGGAGCCTGCGAACAGCATTAGGAGCCAGGAGAAGTATTCGTTCAGCCTAGCGTTACTGTTTTGGGCAGTAACTACAGTAGTACTGGATACCGTAGACCCTAAAGTGTAGAGGTGTTTGTGTTCAGGCATGTGGGACAATGGGACTCTTCTAATGATGCTTTTTTATGATTGGACAAGGGTCACCAAAAATACCTTCTCAGTAGGATTGTGACATAGCCTTGCATACCTGTGCCACAATTAAAAAATACCTGCTTGGCACATGAGACTAAATATTCCCCTGCTTTCTAGGAGAACTAGAAATGCAAGTCCAGAAAGAGGCGATCATGATTTTTCTAAAGAAACTTACCTGAGAAATAGAAAACTTTACATGCTTTGCACATCTAGATATGGGATGTCATCAGTAGATTGATTTCTGATTTTGTGTCAGAATGGGAGTCATTATGCCTGTTAATACGTCTTTGCCGCCTTCTTATTGCAAACGTCATCCTTGCCTTCTGAGAGACATGTTTCAAGCACTGATTTTCCTTTATCTTGATGCTGCAGGTGTTGGAAGTGATGTGGAAGGGGGAAGGGAAGACTCCATCTCTGATTGTTAAAGAAGAGAAGCTTGAACTGTTGCAGGATCAGAATGAGCTTGAGTGCATCTGTCAGACTGTGATGGGAGCCCATCAGAAAGAGGTGATATTGATAGCAACCCTGGGAAATTGGGAACAAGAGACTTTGACTCTTCAGGGTGGGTGGTGGAGATAAAAGATTTAAATTGCCACCTTCCTTTCATGTTGCCCTTTTGTTTGGAAACTCTTCAGATAAAATGGGAGGGAAATTGCATTGTGACACATGAAGTGGCTGCAGGAGATGGCAACTTAAATCCATGTCCCCTTGACTCCAGGTACTCTACACTAACGTGAATATTCTGTATAGACTGTATGCTTGCAAAATAGCATTTGCATGGAATAATAGGAGCAAAGTAGAAAATATCTCCACCTGAAGCTTCTAATTTTACAGTTAATTTTTTTTATTAAAAACATCCTTGCAAATTAAAAGAAATCCTTCCAAAGATCCAGAATTAGCTTTATAAAGAGTAAGTGCTTTTGCGTTCTCTCTAGAGCACAGATTGGCAAAGCAGCAATGAATGGCTTAACGTTAAGTAAAATGTTGTCTGGTTACATATGCAGTAGGGAAAATGCTAACATCTATCGAGAACAATGCTACCCACGCCCATAGCTCTTCAGTGGAGGCTAACAGCTTTGCAGAGAGCTTTTGATAAATAAAATGAGCGTGTGCTAGGTCTGTCTGACCTTCATCGTGCTAACTAATTTGCAGTGGCTGATGAAAGTGCCTCTGTATTTTCCAGCTGGTACTGAAGCGCAAGCAGAGACAGTCTGAGCATTAGAACAGATCAAGGAGCACAAGTGTTTTTTGTTTCAGTAACAACATGGATTTTGAGTATTTAATTCTTTAACTAGTATTCTAGTGGAGGCGGGCATGAAAAATCAAAGGCTGTTTTGATTCTGCTTTTCTAAACAATAAGACACTATTTAAATTGGTGACACTATGCTCACACTACCATGAGATCTTATGTATGAGTTAGGACTTTTTCCAGATAGCTAATCGAAGTATTTGCCACAACTTCAATATCAACAGGATAATCCTGCAAGCCCTTTTCCAGGGCAAGTAAGACTGTGTCCAATTCCTGTATAATAGACAAAACACCCACCGCTGGGACCATAGACTTTTTGCAGAGAGAGAACTATTGAGTTTCAAGAGCAAACCAATCATGCCACAAAATGGCAGGACATAGCTGGATGTTTGGGAATAGAAGTAGGGGATGGTGAAAGACCCTTTTTGATACATACTGCCACGTAGCCCCTGTAAGTGATTTTGAAGCAATGTTTATTTTAGAGTCACAAAACAGGATAGGGAGAGTTGTGTCGTATCACTGATGCCACTGGGACCATCCAGCAACCTTCTATGTGCTATAAATCTGCAACCACCTCCTCTGTGGCTTTGGCAATCAGATTAGAAACTGCAGTGCTAGCCCTGAGGAAATATGTTATTTTGCCCCAGCAACAGAAAGCTATGTTTTGGGTGCTGGGAAAATTAGATTTTCCCCTCAGCAAGCAAGCATTATCTGAAGAGAACTTACTTGGTTTTCCAATACTGTGGCAATAACTGTATTGTTTATAGAATTATTTGAATAAGCCCTTCAGTTTTGGTTACACTTGTTGACAGAACAGGTATCTTGCTTTAATAATAAGAGCTTTTAACTGGAAGAGTGAAAGAATACCTTACATTCTGAATGGTTTTGAAAGACCGCTTCTCAGTTAAGCATAATAATAAGTCCCATAAGTCATCTGAAAAGTGTCTGGGTGTTGCCAGAAGCTGTGCAAGTGTTAGAGCCACAAAGCAGATGCCATATCTCATAGTACTACATACTAATTCAAGTGCTGGCTAACACTCAGTAGTGGTGTGTTTGGGTCGGGCCCTGGAGCTCCTCTCCTGCCACAGGCACTGCTGCTACTTACCCTAGATGGGAGGTGCCCAAGATTAGTGGCTGTCCCCGTGCCACCATACAGCCCTGTCGGCACCCTTGCCCAGGTAAGCAATGAAACCAGTGTTCACAGGGCAGCTCTACCCCATCACACCTTGAATTAGTGTATAGTTGTGAGATTCAGTAGCTGCATTTTTTCTTCTTAGTCCAAAGATTACTCCCTGTTCAGCCTAAAAGTAGGATGCAAGTTCTGAATGCACTGCTTCCCTTCAATCCAGTCCAGTGGTACTAGTTACGATGTCTGCTTGCAGCTTCCAAGTTCAGAGTCAGGATGCTACTGAATACCAGCTGCTGGGGAACAATGAGAAGGCTGTTGCCTTCATGTTGTGCTTGTGGGCTACCCAGAAGATCTGGGTGGCCACTGCCATCAACAAGCTGATGGACTAAAGCAGCCCTTCTCAACCTGTGGGTTCCCAGATGTTGTTGAACTACAACTCCCATCACCCCTAGCTAACAAGGCCAGAGCTCAGGGATGATGGGAGTTGTAGTCCAACATCTGGGGACCCGCGGGTTGAGAACCGCTGGACTAAAGGAACCATTGCTCTGATGCAGAAGTGGGATTCATATGACCCACCAAGCCAAATGCATCTCAGCTAGTGGGTTTATAGGACTCTTGTCTTCGCTTACCTTACAAGACTAGGAAAGGCTGTAATTTCTTTTGGCGGATCACAGTACATGGCTGGTGGGCTGTGGTTGACAAAACAGTAGCAGGTTCTACAGACCTGCTTTATTCTTTCCAAGACTTTCATTGCTGCTCTTTTAGTGTTGAGAGCTTCCTTTCAAACGAGTGGGGCCTGTAGTAAAATGGTAAAAGCACATCCCGACTCTCTAGTTCAGGCCTAGGGAACATGTGGTCCTCCAGAGGATGATGGATTCCAATTCCTATCAGCTCCAGTCAGCACAGCCAATGGTCAGGGATGATGGGAGCTGCAGGCCCACATCATCTGAAGAGCCAAAAGTCCCCCATATCTGCCTTAGCAGCAGTGTTCCTGTTCAGGGTTCAAGCCAATCATACCTCCTTCTGGGATACTGTTAAATTGCTAGGCGCTCAACTTGTTTCAGAATTCAGAAACGAACAAACAAACAACATACATGGGTTAGTGTGTATTTTTAAATCGGTGAAATCACTTACTGCTCTTGAAAAACACCATGTATATATCTTAAAAAAAAAAAAGTTAATGGAGAAATATCTGCTCTACTGGTGAGATAACTTGTTGGCCCAACTAACGGAAAGTTATGCACTGCCTCTTGTAACTGACTCCATTATAAGCCTGCTGTAGAGTGCTGTAATGTTGCTTCACCTCATTAGTGGTGAAGACTGATCGGTGCAACAATCTAATTTCACAATGCATGCTCTCTACACCAAGCTTGCTGTTAGCAAAAAAGGAAAGTCCAGCTTAGCTTGCCATTTTGTGCTGCACAACAACCTTGCTTTGCAAATGTAGAATCTTTAAATCCAGGTGGACCTTAAGTTTGCTCTATAGAAATGTGAGAAAGGACACAAGAATTGTACTATTTAATATTACGGTAATGAAATAAAATCATTCTAAGCTTCTGGGTTGCTAAACTGTCACGTTTTATCAAGAACAGAAAATAACCTGCCAGTTCTCAAGGTTTGCTCTGGCTTTTCTGGTTGTGAAGACTAGGATTTAGCAGCAAGTGTCTTCGGTGTATTTTTGCTTTAGTTCGGTGTGTTTTTGCTTTAATTCTGTTGCTCAGAATTGAGTTTTGTTTTGTAATTTTTCTTTCAAGGTGGCAGACATAAAGAAGGGCAACAAAAAAGCACTGAATAAGCTTATTGGACAGGTTCAAAGAACAACAAGAGGACGCTCAGACCCTGTCCTGGTGAAACAAATACTAGAGAAGCTGCTATCGTAGGAGCCTGCGGTGAAAATTCCATATCTGATATTCGCTGCTGTTATCAGAGTGGTAATTACTTGATACTTCTATCTTTCACAATCAAGCCATTGTACTGATTTCATTCACTTCTTGCTTACTGTATCAAGTTAACTGCAGCCACTTTCTGCAGTTTTTCAGCTTTACTCAGGCCATCATCCTCTTAAGCAGGGGTAGGCAACCTAAGGCCCGTGGGCCGGATGCGGCCCAATCGCCTTCTCAATCCAGCCCACGGACAGCCCAGGAATCAGCGTGTTTTGACATGAGTAGAATTGTGTCCTTTTATTTAAAATGCATCTTTGGGTTATTTGTGGGACCTGCCTGGCATTTTTACATAAGTAGAATGTGTGCTTTTATTTAAAATGCATCCCTGGGTTATTTGTAGGGCATAGGAGTTCGTTCATTATTTTTTTTCAAAATAAAGTCCGGCCCACCACAAGGTCTGAGGGACAGTGGACCTGCCCCCTGCTGAAAAAGGTTGCTGACCCCTGCTCTTAAGTGGCTGTCAAACTGGAACATAAGGTATGCAAAGAAAGAATTCAAATGGTATAATGTGCAAGTTTTTTGTATGAAAGCTTCTGGTTTTGAAACATATAATGAACTCTTTCTTCCAATTTATTAGTAATATTTTTCAGAAGTAGCTTAAATACTTCTTAAGGTATTTTCTTGGTGATGAAAGCAGAGCATTCCTAAGTTTGTAAAGTACTCAAGAGACTTAAAACCCACAATTACTTGTATGGACAGTTGTTCAAAAGCAAGCCTTTTGTTATAGGAGTAAGGGAATGTAAATAATATATTAAAGGCATTATTTCAGTATTGATGTTTCATTAAGCAGACCAGACATGTCTTCAAACTTCGTTTTATTGGGGGGGGGGGTTATTTTTTACTGTAATAAACTATGCCCTCTCTGAGGAAGAACTCTTTTCATTCTAATGTAATTTTCAATAATAATAATAATAGTAATAATAGTAATAATTTATTATTTATACCCCACCCATCTGGCTGGGTTTCCCCAACCACTCTGGGCGGCTCCCAACAGAGTATTCAACAGAATAAAACATCAAACATTAAAAACTTCCCTAAACAGGGCTGCCTGTAGCTCCACAAACAACTATAGAATGAGGTGGTCAGTTCTTTTGATTTAGAAAATAAACAAAACGAAGAACCTTATTAAAAAGGGGGGGAAATTGGCAATCTCTTATGTTTAGAATGATCACAGTTCTATATATTTGGGTGGGGATGGATAACTGCCAAGCAGCTCAGCTGCCTGTTTCTGGAATTTTAAGCTAAGCCCTCCTTAATGACCCCTGACTCTAGGCTTCAACCTAGAGTAAAATTGTTTTGCTTTTGAAGCCAAAATGATGCTCTTCAAACAAATTTCAGGGACTGCAGGTTTTCCCCAATATCTAAGGAAAATAGCCTGGCATTTCAAGACACTAGAGTAATGAAGATTTTAACATTTGTACATAAGAATAACTATTTATCAGCAATAAAAAAGTAACATTTAAATGGACTTATTTTTGCCGGGGAGAATTAAACCACCTTCAACACTTTTTAAAAAGTGGGTTGTCAAAGGCTGCATTCATATCACAGAGATGCATGGCTCCATGAAGTCAAGTATTATAAGCAACAGATGTTGCTTATGGTTTGGAATTATATGTTTTTGTAATAGCAGGTGGCCCATAGTGCCTTTTGCGGTTGCCTTTTTGTTCTATATTGGTTCAGCTGAGATGTAAGCTTAAGTGAGTAAACACACATGAAAGATGAGATCCAACAGACCAATGCTTCCAAAAGGTAAGAACACCAAATGCAAGTTATAGGGGCAATGTACACCCATTCACCATTTCACCGTTGTCCTCAGAATTCAGCACAGTCTGGTCACTGCCTTAAGGTAGAAGCATTAGTTGTGATGGTGATGACCTGACAGTGGACATGAGTTTATAATCCATCAATTGCTGCCAAAGTAGGAACCCAAAGTAATGAGAATGGAAATTGTAGAAGACACTTCTGCAAAGAAAGCTTTGTGTTTTAATGTCTCTTGGTTCACATTACATTTCAATTAACAGTGTGTGGTTTATACAATTTCCAGAGGGGTTCATGTGCAGCAAAAAACAAAGTCTTGTGGCACCTTAAAAAGACTAACAAATGTTACGGCATAAGCTTTCATAGACTAAATTCTGCTGCATTCTTTGCTAGACGCATGGCGTATTTTCCTCAGTTGCAGGTATATAGGTTCATACAGTAGCTGTAACAGGGGTTATAAAACAACACGCTCAAAACAAAGATAGTGGCAATTAAATTCCAGATCAAATGTATGAGAAAGAAAAGCACAGTGGAGTGGTCATTTATGTCGACAATCATAGGTGATATAAAACCTCATTTGACTCATAATACCAGACTCCTCTTTGTTGTCTTATATTATATAGCCCGTACCCCAGTCGCCTTTGACTGGACTTAACTGTCCAGGGGTCATTTACCTTTTACCTATTATATAGCCATTTTCATGCTGTGTCTACACCATACTGGCTAGTTATAATAGGGCATCACAGTGTCAAAATTAGAGAAACCATAACACTTACCAAATTGAAGACAAAGCCTTTTGTGTCTTATTTTTTAATAAAAACTAGGTACTATTCTGTTCTATAGAACACCTGTCTGTCCCTGTAGGTATTTTGTACTGTTTTGAATAAAACTGATGGAAACCATCATCCAGTGTGCCCTATGTATACTAGCAGGCTTGTGTTGGGTAGGTGATTCAGATGTACATCTGAATATGTATCTCCATCCTAGGCAGAAGGCTCTTTTCAGGTATCAATAACTATCTGAATGAACATTCCTATATGAGAGTAGCAATGAATTAGGAATATTATGCATGGTATCAAAACGTAACAACGCTATGCATTCAATCAATCATGGATAGATAGATTTGCCAGATTTTAGTGTTTGAATTACCATTTTCAATACAACTCTGGCAATAGGTGCTTTGGCTATACAGTATAAGAATAATTTGAAACAAGTTACTAGAATTGAAACTGAACTTCAGCATCAACTCTTCTACCAAAAGCAACCAGTAAGATTCATAAGCCTCTTTTTGTCTGTCAAAATCTGTGGAAAAAGATAGCGTAGTTAACAAGCAACCAGGTTTTTTAAAAAGCTAAGAATTAAACATGTCGCTTTGTTGTTTTTCTTGTTTGGTGTTTGACCAGAAACTGAAGTGCTGGCCATCAACTTTGTGTAGAGGAAGTGCTTGCTTGGAATGCTGTTTTACAAGTTCCAGGAGTTATTGTACCTCGAGCTAGTTCCAATCTTGTACCATCACCCTGGTTCCCAATTGTGTTACTAAATCTTGTAGAGGTTACTGACCTTATTACAAGGATACCATGTGCTTAACTGCCATAGACACCACATTGTAAATACAGTGTCCACGGTAGTAGAAGCTTTGGAAAGAACCACTTTTTTTGCAGCTGTAAAAATCTACTATTTCAAGAGTATGTTTGGGGTTCTGGAAAGTTAGCATAGGCATGATGTGCCTGCATGATGTGCATACATCATGCCTTGTCAAGTCTAGCAGAAGTGGATTTTAGCAAAGGTCATTTAACAGCATTAATTCTTGAGGGAAACAATCCTCTATCATAAATGGGTTCTTCAGAAGGATGCTGCTTTATCCATTAGTAATAAAAGTAATAATACTTTGTAATACTTATTCCTGTATAACTAAACATGCAGCTAACTTCCCTAGAAAGGAGACAGTGGATACAGGTGTGTATAATTGGCTGTATTATTCTTAGTTAAAGACTAACATTCAGCCTCCCCTTTTTAGAAAAGCTACTGAAGCGATAGCTGAGCAAACATGCTTGGATATAGTATCCTCACTAAACTTCTTCCCCTGCAAATTGTGGCCTAGCTGTGGGACTCATTACTGTGAAGGTGGTATTAGTGAACTTAATGGGTAATCTGCTTCTGAAATTAACAAAGATACTATCTCACTGATGATTGAGTTGGTGCTCTCTGCGGCTCTAATATCATAGATTAAATTATAGCTAGGGGACTCTAGACAAGACTCTAATGGCTTGTATCTTTTCTATCTCACCTAAGTCAACAGTAAGTTAGTAGAAAGACTACTTCAGTACTATAAGAAACTGACCTGAAGTGTTCTGAAAGGCTCTGGTTTATTGGCATTGCAGTTTAACATTGTTGCGTAGTTTCTGGAGAAAATCAATCCAAATTTAAGTATGGTATCAATGAATTAGAGGGACGCGGGTGGCACTGTGGGTTAAACCACAGAGCCTAGGACTTGCCGATCAGAAGGTTGGTGGTTCAAATCCCCACGACGGGGTGAGCTCCCGTTGTTTGGTCCCAGTTCCTGCCCACCTAGGAGTTCAAAGGCACGTCAAAGTGCAAGTAGATAAATAAGTACTGCTCCGGCGGGAAGGTAAACGGCGTTTCCATGTGCTGCTCTGGTTCACCAGAAGTGGCTTAGTCATGCTGGCCACATGACCCGGAAGCTGTCTGCTGGACAAACACTGGCTCGCTCGGCCTATAGAGCAAGATGAGCGCGCAACCCCAGAAACGTCCGTGACCAGACCTAACGGTCAGGGGTACCTTTAACTTTTTATCAATGAATTAGAAGCATCCAGCTCTACATTTTATTAACTAGGTACCCACAGATTGTCCTTTTATTCTGGAAGCAGCAGCAAGTGGATGAAAAACTGACACTGAGTCAAGGCAAGAAGGAGTAATCCCACCAATCTTGATCATTGTCCTGTTTGTTTTTAAAGGCGAACAGGTTTGGAGCCTGACAGTTCTCCTGGACAAAGTGTGAGTATCCAGGAATACATTTTCTTAGCTGTGTAAGTTCTGTCCCCTTTTAGAGGCATGAGAGTAATATGTTGGATGCAAGGCTGCCCTTGAAAGATGACACAGGAATTGCAACTGGGGTGAGATGCTATAATTTGCCTTGTAATGAAGAGGCATAGAGAAGAAAACATATAGCTGTCTTGTGATAACTTCAGCCTTACCTTAAAAGCCTGGAAACAACCTACTATATTTTGCATGGCTTCTTGCCAGGAATAGGCATGGGCCATAGGTGGTGTTGGTGGGCCAGAGAATGTATTTTGTTTTGTAGAAATCATTAACTGGAGAGTGGGATGCAGAGAACTGTGAAAGGATATATCCAGATATGTTTGAACCTATGCAACAGGGAGACTCTAGAGAACAGTAGTTGATGTAGCAGCAGGTTGAGGAGCAGTATATTCATAAGTTGCTTTGTGATGTAGGGAAATGTCTTTAAAGTGCTTAGAATAGAGAAACTAAAGACAACTGAATTCAGATTCATTGTATTAAAGTCTTTTTGTGCTGCAAATAAATAAGCTGGAAGAACACACAAATGAAACCCACAAAAATTGAGAGTATAGTCCTCCTCATTTTCTACAATTAAGGAGATAAGGTCTGTAAAGAATATTATAAGTATATTAAAAATTACATTGTAGCAGCAGATAGGCCATAGTATGCCACACACTAATCTTGGTGCAAATGCAGGAAGCACATTAGAGACTTACTTTTTTCCTCCTATAATATTGTAAGATTGCTGAGAGGCAGTAGGGTGTGTCATTTTAGGGGATGAAACTTAATTTTTGCAAATTTCTTCAGTGAGGGGTCTTAAAAATATGTTTTTGGGTGTGAAAAAAAATCAAATCGGCTATTAATTTTGTGATTGGACAACATTTAGCTTGGTAAATCTATGTTTGATTAAAATGCACCCAAAGTGCTCTTGGAAAACAAAAGAATGATTAAAAAAAAATTAGTTTGTCTGCGTACAGCATCTTTGGGTTAACATTCCTGTATTCTGCAAGGAGTAGAATTTGTCAGTGTTTAAAAAAGTCAGTTTTCACATAGTCCAACTAATTAGAGTAGCTGTGGCACCTTAACGACAGATAACGTGACGGTGGCATGAGCTGTCAATTGTGGGAAGAATGTACTTCATCAGATGCATAGAGAGAACTGTAGAGACAGGGCAATGGAATATATTCTACTTAAGACTAAAAGTGTTGTTGTTGTTTTAAAGCCAAGCCTGAACACAGAGGTCTCATGTGAGTGTTAAATCAATGGCCACAAAGATCCAGTCACTTTAACATATGCACAACAAACCCTAGTAGAATGGTAGTCAAATCAGCAAAATGCTTAATTTGAGCCGACTTAAGGAAAGCTGTTAACTATTCCCGCTGCAGAAGTATTTTAGGGCTAGCTTGCTTTCTAAATGCCTTTTTGGGCTAGTACCCATCACTAAATTATTCCAAATAGCTTACTTATGCAAAGCAATCCAAAGCCACATTAAGCAAGATGCAATTTTCACTTTCCCTGAGATGGCATTTATATAGGAATAATTACAACACTACAGCTTGAATTAGTGCTATAATCATGGCTCGGATAATTACACCAGAAGACTGCAGCACTCAATTTCAGAGATGTTTGGAGGGGTGGTTGTTTTTTTTTAAAAAAAGATTTGGGTGCTTTTTGACATGAAACAAGCCAAAATAGCAAAGTCTTTGTATTTTGTACTCCTATGTGTCAAGGATCATCAAGCTTGCCAGCAATTTGTAGCTGTCATTTTTACTTATTTGTCTATATCATTCGGTGGTTTTCTATTACTAACCCTCCAAAAAGTCACTGTAAAGACTGTGTATAGTAATTCTCCAATTCATAATTTTTAAATTTTATTAAAATCCACAGAGACCAAATAGCCTCTCTCTACTCTCAGCAAGAACCTAACTTCACAAATGTTAACAGTGGCTTACATAAGAGAGGCACAAAGTATCTCCACTGAATGCAGCTCAGAAGATTGGTGAACGGCTTGAGGGCAACTTGACTTAATAAGCAGAGTTTAAGACAGGAATCTTTCACAGTCTTACCTGGAGATGCCAGGGATTGATGCTGCTACCTTTTTCATGGAAAGCACATGTTCTGCCACTGAACTATGGCCCTTTCCTGATTAATATAAGATGCCATATCCTGGGCCTACATTTCACTGACTGACCAACAAGTGGAATCTGCCCTTCCTGCTGTAATCATGATTCAAACAAAAGATGAATAGTTTCTAACAAAGTAATCTGTTATACTTTTCTATACCACTATTAAATGCTCTGTTAAGCCTTGAACCAAGCCTAAACATTGCGAGGGTGTGTGCATATGACTGCTCCCTTTCAGCAACAAGCATGTCAAAATTTAATGAAACTACTGCATAGTCCATACTATGGTAGCCTTGCTGGTTTTCAAATGTGCAACGTTTTAAATGTCTGATTTTCAAATGCAGCAAATATAATCACATTTTATGTGATTAACACACCCACGTTATTTTAAAAACCTCACCTATCTTAACTTTAAATAAGAGCATGAAAATACAATGTCTTTTGAGAGCAATTTTTTAAAAAATCTGCTACAGTTAACACATACACAATTAATCAGTCAATCAAAAGGATGGATCGCTTCCCACAGAGAAGGTAGCAGGACTAGAATTATGAGATCATTTTATTTTTTATGAAGATGTCACCAGACATGGGGAACGGGCCAAGTAACAGGACTGGCAGATCCTTCCCTGCGTAAGATTTTTACAGCTTGCAATGCTTTGAGAAGCTAAAGGAAGAAGCTCTCCTCTTTGATTTCTATGGCCTGCAGGATTCTAATTCCGTCCATGGATGATGGTGGGAGAGGAGACTAAGCAAATGGACCCAGTCACAGTAGACCAGTGGAGCAAGAAATGGGACACTGAAATCCCTCTCTTGCCATTATTGCACTTCTAAACAAATATACACACCATTTTAGGCAACCCTCCTGAAAGGTGTCTGTGAAATTCCCATTTGCTCAGGTGCCATGTTCTAGCAATAGAACATGCAAACCCCAACTGCTACTGTTAGTACCTCAATATGGAATTTACAAAGAGGAGCAAAGTCTTGTCTTCAGATACTGTTTTCATTGGGTTTGGAGCAGTTTGTCATATTCACCTACTGTAAAAGAAAATGAAGGCTTTCAAGCACAGAGCCACTATTAACACAAAGCCAACTTCAGCACTGGAGGAACAATTACTCTTACTAGCACAAACTGAAATGCAGCTGTAATGCAGCAATTCATCATGTTTGGACCCGTTCTAATGAGTCTCATTACTCACAAAAGAAAATGTTCTTAAGCTATTGGGCAGCAGCTGCAACAGGTTCTAGTGTATCTGTCCCAAGTAACATCCTCTCCTCTACTACTAGGGAGCAAAACATTTCTACCATCCTTCAAAAGTGCAATGTTAGGACAAGTCAACATACATCATAAATAAACAGCTAGTGTTTTACAATACCACAAAGCTTTCCTTGAACCAAAGTAACATTTTAAGCTAAAAAGAAAAAAAAACACAGCTTATAAAGGCAGGCTATTTTTTTCAATTTTGTTTAAAAAAATAGTACTTAAAAAATAGATAGTAACAACTCCCAGATGAAGGTAACCTTTTAACACTACTCAAACAATAACTGGAGCATTTGTGTTCAGCTTATCAATAAAAGTGTACAAATATGGTCTACCAAAAAAGGCTACGGTTTGCATAGAAACATTTCATTGTGTGCAAATATTACTAAAATTTAAGGCTTGAGCGTTTAGTTTAGTTTAGGTAGAGATCTAGCATTTTCAAAGAATGCTGAAAAATGGCCGGGGGGGGGGGAGGAGGGAATTCCATACAGTCTGCACTCAACATCCATTTACTCATTTCATTTAAACTTCAAAGGAATCAACAGCTGAGAGTGTCAGACTTGTCCACAGTGTAAGGCAATATGGTATGTATTCAGCACAGCACCTGCTTCTAGCAAGTCGCAGGCTTATATTTGTTGAATCCATTTGGATTCACAACTCGCAATGCAGAAAGTAGGGGAGGAATTGCGAACCTCCCCCGGCAAATAGATACCTTAAACGTTATTTGCATAAAAGGCTTATCAGATTTGACATGCTCATCCTGGTAAGCGCACTCTTACGAAGCAACCAACTTTCCTAGATAGGGGGAAAAAACAACCCACAAAAGCAAATCACCTTTCAGCTGGTTACACAATTGTGCCTTTTTCCCCCCAAAAGTGTCTATAGCAGAGTTTAAAAGAAGGGATCTTGAGGTAAGGAAGTTCAAGGGTGGGAATATGGTAAAATAAGAAATCATTCCATTAATACATCAAGTGTCTATGCTGCACACTAGGAAATAAGGCCCAACATAAAGGTGTAACAGTTTCTCCCAATCAAGTATTACCAGGAACATAAAGTAGAATTTTCCTTTATAAGTAGCTCTCTGTGGTTTTTTTTAAATTAAAACATCCTTTTTTTAAAAGTCTCAAAACTAATAAAAATTCTCAAAGTCACCAAATACTTTGTAACAGAGTATGGAGTGTTCCTGTGCAAGAGCAGCCAACTCCTTGAGAAATTCTGGGAAGAGGGCAGCTGCCAGGATGGCATTCCGGATGTGCAGGGGGGCGCTGGGAAGAGCCGTTCCTTTCTTTGCCTTGCTTCCAAAGAAAGGTTGCAGGATGACCTGGGAAGCCTCAGAAACGTTTCTGCCTTTGCCCAAAGCATGGTTGTGCTGTGCATTGTCTGAAAAGGAGAAAGAGAAAAATAAATTTGTTTTGGTGCAAAAGTGATTAAGACAACTGCAACCTAAGTTTAGTACAGGGAACTCTAGCCCAGAATCAGTTTTAAATAATTCCTATAGCACTTTCAAAATCTGCCAGGTGCTTTACAATTCTCATTTTCTTTCACCCACACAACCACCCTAGGAAGTTCAGTTGTAAGTATTCTTATTCCACCAATAGAGAACCAGGACTGGTAGTCTCTGAATTCTGGCTTTATCACGTCACAGTGTTCTGTTGTGCCAGAAGCGGTTTAGTCAGGCTGGCCACATGACCTGGAATTATTATTATTATTATTGTTTATTTATACCCCGCCCACCTGGCTGCGTTTCCCCAGCCACTCTGGGCGGCTTCCAACCAAATATTAAAAACAATACAGCATCAAATATTAAAAGCTTCCCTAAACAGGGCCACCTTCAGTTGTCTTTTAAAAGTAAAATAGTTGCTTATTGCCTTGACATCTGCTGGGAGGGCGTTCCACAGGGCAGGCACCACTACCAAGAAGGCCCTCTGCCTGGTTCCCTGTAATCTCACTTCTCGCAGCGAGGGAACCGCCAGAAGGCTCTCGGCGCTGGACCTCAGTGTCCAGGCTGAATGATGGGGTGGAGACGCTCCTTCAGTTACACAGGACCGAGGCCCAGAAAGCTGTCTGGGGGGACGAGGGACTTCCGGGGTGGCGCCATCGGTAATGGCAGACTCCCTCTGATCCGGAGGGACTGGCTCCACGGAAAACGGGTCTGTTCCGCTACGGCGAAGCGGGGACCCTTCAAAAAATCACAGGCGGAGGAAGCCTGTGACCATGGGACTCGGCGGGCACCTTTCGCGCCCCCCCCCCAATCCGTAAAGGAACCCAACTACGGGCTTTGTAGTGAAGAGGGGCTAGTGGCGCGGTGCTGAGAGTCAACTGCTTCTTCCGTGGAGCGAAAGGTCTAAACAGGAAGTCAGCCTTCCGTTTCTTGTAGATAGATTAAAGCAAAGACATGGCAAACTAGAGTTCAGAAAATTGTTTGTAAAGGATCAACTTTCATCATCTAAAACTACTGAACCCCCTTCGGAAGCAGGAGAAGAAGGGGGATTTTTTCCGGATTGTTTAAACTTGCAGGAGAGAGTGTAAAGAAAAGTAATTTTCCACCGTCTTGAACCTGGGAGCGGGGTGTCAGGACAGACAGTTTTGGGAAGTTCATTGACTATAGACAAATGTTTTTGACAGACAGTTAAAAGAAGAGAAACATAGTGATTCCATTGTTCTCTTTCGCATTTTAAAGGAACAAATATTGACAAAATATCTGAAAAAGGAAACTTTGTTGTTAGATCTGCTGTTAAAAAAGAAGAAGAAGAAGAAAAGAGATTGATACAAATAGAAGTTCTTCCCCTAGAGGGAGCTTGTGAAATTGTTATTAAACTTGAACTGGGGAGCTTCGAAGCTGCAAACAGATTAAGATCGTGGGAACAGACTTCTGACCTTGCATAACAATGTATTCAGAGGCTCTGGTGCGTGCTTTCTGTAAGACAAGTGCTTTATTGGAACAGTTACATGAGAAGACGGATTTGATGACTGTTGCGATTAGAAATTTTGGACAGGTAGTGGGTATCTATATAGAACCCACCTAGGAATCAACTCAGGAGGGTGCTCTGACAGATCAGATGAGGGAGGAGATTGTTGTTGGACCTCGGGTGGCAGAGATGGAGGGAGCTGTGGCCCAGCAGGAACATGAGCTGTTGGATTTGACAAATGAACTTGGAAAAAGCCCAATTTGGAGAGATAGAGTTTTGTTGGGCTTGGAGATGGGGGGCTGGATAGACCCCCCTATGCAGGGATGTCTTGACTTTTCAAGTCTGGCAATGGGCCGTGAGGAGTTTGGAGATGTGGGGGTCCTCAACTCTGGAGGGACCTTGAAACATGCTTTTAAATATCACATGGAGTTCAGTGTGGACTATGGAAAAGGGGCTGATCTGTCGAGAAGGGACAAAAATACTGTCAAGTTGGAGTTTCCACGAGTGAAAGGACCAGGAGACAAAGTACAGGTATAAATATGAAGAAGATCTGCGGAAGGGACATGGAAGAGACTTAAGGGCCTCGGACATAAGATTACCAGGTTAATGAACTAGATGGATGGGACAGAAAGGACTGACAAAACCCGGGACCAGGAGGAAGAGACGTTGGATGAAGATTGGAAGAAAGTTTTAAAAATTTTTTACTCAGGATTGTTTTGTAAAATTAATGAGTATTAGAAAAATGTTGGAACGAAACTATTTGGCTCTAGCAGAAATGTTAAAAAGAACTATGCAAGAATATGTTATGGTTATGAGAAATTGGTATAAATAAGATTTAAGTTTTAAGTTTTAGGGTCTTTTATAGTAAGATAAGGTTAAAATAGATTAAGGTAATTTAATGACAGAATATTATGAAAAATGGGAAGGATTTGCTGTTATAATTAATAAATGGTATACATAAAAGGGAGGTGTGAGGAGGTCGATGAAATAAGGCAATGACAGTTAAGGATTTGGGAATATTGGATTTGTTTTTAAATGTTTGTGGTTTACTTTTGTTTTTTGGATTTTGATGTGTTTTGTTTTTGTTTTTTTATTTTTATTGATTTGTATTGTTTGACTGCTGTTTGCTTTTCCCTTGTTTTTTTTTTCCTTCTTCTTTGTCTCTTTGTTTTTTCTGTAACTTTAAAATGCTTAATAAATATCATTTAAAAAAAAGAAAGAAGAAAGCTGTCTGCGGACAAGCGGCAGCTTCTTCGGCCTGAAGCAAGATGAGCACCACACCTCATAATCAACCTTGACTGAACTTAACTGTCCAGGGGTCCTTTACCTTTACACCTTACAATATAGCTTTCTAGTCTCCAGTAAATACATTTCCTACATGCACATGTTTTCTGTATGCTCTAATCTTAAACAAAATCGTCGTCATTAAGGCTGAATATAAATCCATCGGTATTCAAAATGTAAGGTGGTGCCAAAAAAATTCCCCGTATACATATACAAACCACATTTACTTTACAGCTCGAGGAAGAAAAGTGTTCATTTTATTGGTAAAATTGGATCTGAGCATTCCGCCATAACCTAGGCACAGTTCAAATAGTCTTGTATATACCATTACCACAGGCCATTTCTACCTTATATTCCCTAATTGACATAATGATACAAGTTGATGGACAACTGGCTGCAGGCACTGCAATTTGATTGCTGACATTATGAGCTTGACTAAGCGCCAAACTTGCAGCTATCCAGGCATTTGTTTATTCTATAAGCCTTAATATGGTTGTGCATGTTGTGGGGGGGGGGGGGCAGCACAGGCAGTGACTGTAGCCTGTGTTCAGATATATTAAAAAATGTGCAACATCTTTGCAAATGATCAATCCAATTTTTTTTAATAATAAAGGTGTTGGGGTGTGGGGGGGAGAGAGATGAAGAACTAAATAATATGAACCAAACTATAATAATATTCACTGAATATTGGGACTTGTTCACACAGCATGAATAAGTGTTTTGGCTAGATGAAGCCACGCTAAGAATATGATAGGAAAAGATCTCATAGTGAGCCCTAAGGGAAGACCTAAAATGGGAGCCAGGATCCAAAGAAACATAAATATAATTCTATGTCCTCGAGGGAGTTTGAGGCTTGTTTTTCCCCTCTAAAAGCATTCCTCGTGTCCCCATTAAGTCTCATTTTGAAACCTAGGCCTGATTCAGATGCAGTTGATGATATAACCTAGGAGTCAGCCATAATGGAAGCCATAGGCAGGAACCTAAGCAACTGTTGATCCCAGTCATTGGATGTTGGGTTTCAAACCCAAAATCCATAGCTCAAGCTACAGTGCCTCACAACAGCAAGCTTTTCTGTAGTAGTTATCTGAAACAGCTTCCCAAATCCTATGACCTCTACTAAGCATCTTATTTACTGCACACACCCATGATAGGATAATAATACATTAAGAAGCAGGCAATGATCTTGCAAGCTCCATAGTATATTAGAAGATGTCAGTATGTCAATTATAAATGGAGCTACATTAAGATGAACCCTCAAAGGGAGGGGGAGGAGACATTGGCCTCTGCTGCTTCCCACAGCACTACTGAAATGCTTCAAATTAAATCAAGCAGAAAGGCAAGGATTTTACTTCCCAAAATAAGTGACTTCTTTACACATACTACTGGTAAGCAATTAGTCACTATGGTTACTGTGCTCATCAGATTCTGCACATTTCCCCATTACCCCCTGAACATAGCTTCTAATGAAAATTTATACCCACAAGAACAGTGCTCTGATACAGTGATTCCAGCAAGATAAGAACCAGGACTGGGGGGAAGGGGCAGGAATTTAATTATGAAAGCAGAACACAGACCAACTTCAGTCTACGGAACATCCACATTACTTCCAGATGATTCAGGAAACAGAGGTATATTGTCTCTGAAGACAGAGGTTCCATTTAGGCATGGCTGCCAAACCTATTATCTATGCATTGGTCTAAGAGCAATCTACCACCACATCTGTTGGTGGTCATTATACCACATCAGCTTGTGATGGTCACTGCATACTGTGTGAAGTAGTGCTTTGATTTGTTTATCATCAACCTATAACCAAGCAGACATCATCAGTGAGGTGTAGGGAGAGGAGAGATACCCTTTCCCCACATTCTTCATAGTTTTGTAAACCTGTGACTTGCTTCTTCTTGGTCATCTTTCATCTCAATTAAAAAAACCTCCTCCAACACAAGGACATTCTTTATAGAGAGCTCTTCAAACACTGCTTGGGATGTCACCATCCTGATTAATTTGGGGTAGGCAAGAAACTGTGACAGTCATCATCACCTCTGACTATGCGTCCTTTGTGAATAAGTAAAATTGCACCAGTTCCAACAATCCTTGAGGAGCCTCTGCTGTTTACTTCCCTTCACTTTGAGAACTTTCTGTTGATTCCTACCCTTTGCTTAACAATCCATAAACAGATCTCGCTTCTTATCCCATTACTGCTGGCTGCTGCTCTGTAGTACTTTTGCAAGGGACCTCACCATCCCTATTTGAATAGTTTGCTGACCCCCTCAAACAAATAAGCAAAGGCTTTTCTTTCAATCAGCATGGCTTGTTTCCAGACTTAGTCATGCTTAGTACAGATCCATTGAAGCCTATGGGTTTATGTTAGTTAGGAAAATCTGATATCTCTGTGGCAACAGCTCTACCTTGACAGGTGACATCCAAATCCTAGTACGACAAATAGAACTACTCATTCAGCACACTAATAACTGGGTGACAAGGAACTCAAAGTCCCAAATTTAAGAAGCAGTTTGGAGATTTGGTACAAGAGCTGTTTAAAGGAAGTGACCTCTAGTGCACATGGATAGTTTTATCTCCCAAGTTTCCTTTTAAACAGCTTTTGCACACAAAAAAACCTCCGAGACTGCATGGTTGTAAGTAGGCAACCTGGGAATTCTCTGCAAGAAGGTCTGGAGAAAGAATAACAGAAAAGGTGCATACCTTTCTGTCACAGGTAATACACTTTACTACTCATGACCCTGCTTGTGCTTCGGTCGCAGTAATAAAACTTGACTGGCTAACGCATGAGAACTGGTGGTAATATATTCAGAAGGCAGCTGCAGATGGGGAAGCTGTTCCGCATGATAAGACCAAACAACTCCTCCCCTCACCCCCAGGGAGTTATGGAAGGACTTATTTTTAACATGGTCAACTCCACTTGAGAGAGCACATTCATGAAATGTTGGACATGCTCATCTCTCACGACAATGCATAAACTGCAGAGGTTCCCCCCCACCACTAGGATTCCTAAATGAATGTTTGCAACCACACTCCCCATCACATGGTCATTCTAAAAATAAAACAACTCACACACATATTACCAGTTACCCTTCTGCTAGTCCTGAAAAGAAGAAAACATGGTTACTCCCTTCAGGAGTTAGAAGTTATAGTGAAAAGCGGCCGTGCCCTTACAGAGATATTTTAAGGGAGTGGGGTCCATTGTCATAAAGATAACTGGGTCAACCTGGGCAAGTTACCTATCTCAACCTATCCTACCTTGGTGCCTTGTAATGAGAATTAACCAAGACAACCATGTACATTGCCCACAGCTGCTTGGAGGAAGAGGAGATGAGGAAGGGGAAGAGAACACACCTCCAATGTATAGCACAGGCTTTCTGTGCAGGAGATTCCGAGTGTAATCAATGGCATCACCAGTTAAAAGGATAAGATAGCAGGGGATGGGGAATACATCTGCCCCAGATCCTGGGGAGCTGCTGCCAGTCAGAGTAGACAATACTAAGCTATATATGCAACTAAGTCTGCCCTAATAAATATAAGGCAAATTCTTCTGTTCCTGTAAACCTAACAGGGTATCTAAATTTTGCTCTTGCAGACAAGGCAAGATTGTTGCTTCACCCTGCTTCTACAAGAAAGCAGCCACAGCCTGTATGTCCTTTAACCAGGTCTCTTATTATAGGATAGTTCTGCAGACACCTTTGATACTGTTCCATAGATCTTCCTGAAAGGCTCAGCGCAGGCACCGCAGGGCCCAGTGTGGAGTGGCCTGTACTCCCAGCGGTGCGACCACATAGTGAAGCGAACACTCAAAATATTCCAACCTTCTCCATCTAAAGGAAGGGTGGGTGGGATGTTTCACATTGTATTTAATCCCAATATATTAAGACTACCACATAGTTAAAGCAAACCCAAAACATGCTTTCATAGGAACATAAACATAGTGAACATCTTACTAATTTGAGATCTTGTTAAAAATAAGTAATAGATAGTAATACATGTTTTTTAAAAAATAATTTTATGCTTTTAAGAATAGTAGTCACTTGCCTTTAGTCAATGACTCCAGAGGAATATCTGACATGTCCACCCGTAAAAGCAGGTATTGCTGGGCTTCTATGAGTAGTCCAGGGAAGTCCTTTTCAATGGAAGCAAACTGCTCAATTTTGTTTTTCACAGATGCCAGCACCTGCCAAAACAATAGCAGCAATAAATCTTTATATTGTCATTTGAGTTGTGTCCCAACTCATCTGTTTACTGTGTCCCTTGCTCTCAAAATCACATTAAGGGCAGCTGTGGTGCCAAGCTCTGCCCAACAGCATTATTAACGCATCAACTTTAAGGCACCATTCAGTGGCAACTAAAGAAAAAGATCAGGGTAAAGTATTTTGCAATTCTTTGTTTTTAAAGGAAGGGGTGGCACAGGGCGTCTTATTCTACTGAAGTGTGATTAGAAACAATGGAAATTCACAAGGGAGATCTCTAGATTTCTCATTGCAGCCTTGTGGAGTGAGGCCCAATTAGAGTTAAGCTGCAAATAAAGGTAAAGGGACCCCTGACCATTAGGTCCAGTCGCAGACGACTCTGGGGTTGTGGTGCTCATCTCACTTTATTGGCTGAGGGAGCCGGCGTACAGCTTCTGGGTCATGTGGCCAGCAGGACCAAGCCACTTCTGGCAAACCAGAGCAGCGCACGGAAACACCATTTACCTTCCCGCCCAAGCAGTACCTATTTATCTACTTGCACTTTGACCTGCTTTCGAACTGCTAGGTGGGCAGGAGCTGAGACCGAGTAACGGGAGCTTACCCTGTCATGGGGGTTCGAACCGCCGACCTTCTGATCAGCAAGTCCTAGGCTCTGTGGTTTAACCCACAACGCCACTCGCGTCCCTAAGCTGCAAATATGCAGGGCTATAAAGTGTAGAACAAACTGACGCTAAAACCCAACCACATTTGCTTGCATTCATTCCTTATTCCCTTTTCCTCTTAGAAGGATGACTATAAACTCCTTGGAGCAAGGACCTGGCTGTTGCTTATGTCATTCTGCCATTCTAGCATTCATGCATAATGATGTTACTATATACCGAGAATGTTTAACAAAAATTATATCTTCAACCATATTAGGACTTCTGTCAAACAATCATGAAGTACCTGGTACAATGACCGCACACTAGGCTGGAACACCATGTTGGTATTGAGCAGAAAGGAACGAAGGAGGGGCTGTGGGTAACTTGCCAGATGAGTGACAATGCCAATGAGCAGCAAGTTGACATGCAAGGAGTTCTCCAACATGTTTTCCAGCTTTGAGAGCACCACACTGATAAATGGACCTGCAGATTTAAAAACACACACACAAGTGATTAATTGCTAAAAGAACATAAGACTGAAGAAAGGAAAGGTGCTGTAATGATAAGAAGCATTGTTTTCCAGCCCATTTGGGCCTTTGGGTAAGCTCACTTTGTGCTAGTTGTAGTGCTACCAGGGCAGACTGTAGTGGAGTCCAACAATGGGCCATCTGCTTGCATCAGACTTCCACAGAAATAAGCCAAGCTCCTTCTCCCAAAAATACTGAAGAAGTATCGCTTATTTTCCCTTTCAATTAGCCCCCTGCTTAAAATCCTCTCCTTCCCACCCATTCAGCCTTCTTCATTTGCTCCCATTCCACTTATTGGGCTGACTGGCATCAGCCCTCTCGCTCCAGCAAGCCACAGAGGACTCCCTTCTCATCTCCAGCAGCTGCCCCCTGGGGACAGCAGTTTCTACAGGGCTAACACAATGTCAAGTAGCCCTACATTTCCCACAGGCTACATTGGCCTAGCCTAACATGCTTCGGAGAAAGGAGAGACTCTCCCTGCAGCTTAACATGACCTGCCAAGAGGGAAGGGGTCAGGAAGGGAATTCTGCCCTGTTTTCAACCCAGCACAATGGGCACTTCCTGTCTCCTCTACCTGCTCCCTGCTGTGGAAACAAGGGGATTTTGACTTGGAGATCAGCCACACATAGCAATGCTATGAGGGGCTGCACTAATGCAAGGCTGCACTGCTCTAAACATAGAACTCCCCCACCCCTCGCTCGGGAGGACACAACTACCACCAGCACCCAGCCCAGGAATTGCACAATGACATTCTTACACATATCCTTTTCCTAAGCTTAGGAGGGAGTACAGACAGTGACAGCCTCGTGCTATTTTAGCATGGTCTTGGAGCTCTGGCATTTCACAGTGTCTACTTCATAGAGGCTTGACCAATTAATTGATATAAAAGGGTTTGAAATGGCAAGCAGGGCACAGCTGGACATCGCTGCCCCACTTGCCATGCCTAAGATGCCACTATGCAGCATAGCATTAGAATCAGGTTTCTCAGCCTTCCTACACAGCAGTTAAAATCCAGGAAGTCCATCAGAGAGGACTGTGACCTTTTAACCTCTGCTGCGCCAAGAAAAGTTTGCGTTGCCAAGGAAGGGTATTAAAAAATCAACACCTTTTGTTTAGCATAGCCATGTTGCTATATGCACAGTGCACAGGAATCATAGAACTGTAGAGTTGGAAGGGACACTGAGAATCATCTAGTCCAACCTCCTGCAAAGTAGAAATATGCAGCTGTCCCATACGGGGTTTTGAACCTACAACTTTGGCATTATCAGCACCACGCTCTAACCAACTGAGCTATTCTGTGAAAGGCTGTGACTCAGAGGGCGAGCGCATGCATAAGGTCCCATGTTCAATCCCTGGCGTCTCCAGGTGGAGCTGGGAGAGACTAGCAGTAGGATTGCTTGCAACCACTGCAAGTTCTCCCGTGCAATCTTGCAATTCTTAATAATTATGGAGCTTCTTCTTATTTAATCCCCTTGTCCTACTGGAACACTCTTTTTCAGACACTGATGATTACTGCTGACATGATCCAAGAGCAAAAGCTGTGCGAGAGATTAAGAGAAAAGTATGGGGGTGGTAGATACTGAATGGTAAACTATTCTGGAAATACATAAACGGCTTTAGTTGCAAAAGGGTTCTTGCTGCAAGATGAGTTGCTTCCAGAGACTTAACCATGGTACATATAAATGGCCCTGTCATCACTAAGCTAGCTTCAAGCATCTTGTTAGATGAAGAATCTCAGGTGACAAGTGGAGGTTTACAAGCTTTGCAAGAGGAGTATCACGGACTAATTAGATCAAAATTAATGATGTTATACAAAACTCACCATGCAGGCAGACATAAAACTAATTGGGGTCCTATTCATAATAAAAGTTTTATTTGCCACATTACATTCCCATTACTAAAATACTGATTGTGTCCTTGTCGGTGGATGAATGACTTGGGATTTGAATCGCAATAAATTATTAGAAGGAGCGCATGCTATTTTTTTTCTCAACGAACACAAAACATTAGTACCACATACAAAGATCAGTTCATTGTCCACCTTGAGTTCTGAACAAAAGAAATCCTCTTATTCCTTGACACAGAAACTATGTTTCAATGCTACAATCCTATGGGAAAGGAGGAATTAACAGAATTATTTATGCTGGCTGTGTTTCGATGATAAAATTGTGGTTAACACACCAGAATATGGACAAGCTCTCGGCATTTACATGCAGCTCCTTCCTTTACATAAACGGGAAAACAAGCCAGGAGGCCCAAGGCTTACTGCAGCTCATCCTAGTAATGTTAAAATACGGTTTACTGTTACATGCCAGCTGGGCAACTGAGAAGGAAGATGCCACTCAAAGAGCTGAAGATGTATTAATACTGCAGTAATGTAAAATGTTAACTTTTCTTAATTTGACTGACCCATGTGGGTTTTGGAATATCAAAGTTACCACCAACTGCTACTGTTCAGAAGCCACAAAGCTCCTGGTCTTTTAGCAACACAAACCCAACTATTTATGAAGTTTTTTTCGCTAAGCTGATTATTTTTCACAGTGGCCAGACAGCTGCACCAGTGGAAAGGAAATTATTTCCAGACCAGAATAATAAATCTGATAGCAATATGCTTATTCAATTGCATTACTCAGTTTAATTGATCGATGGAGTTATGTGACATCTAGCCATATTTAACATTCTCTTCGTCCCCACCCTTTCCCTGAAAAGTATTATCCGGACAATTTCTCAGTTATGTTGTATTGCCTGGATCCTTATGGGAACAGAAAAGTGCTGAAAAAATACCATTTTAAATTAGTAAGTAACAATAAATGGAAGTTTGCTTTAGTTATTTGCTTTTGTCATTATGAGCACATATTTGAAATTTCCCAGCCATTTTACCACCATCATTTCCGCGCCCCCCCCATAGGGTGAATATTCATATCATGTCATTCAGAGGAGCTGAGATAATTCAGAACAGATTGTGTTCCAAGAGCTACCAAAGTTAAATAAATAACAGTGTTTTTAAGCCCAAATACAATGTGTCCTGCTAACATCATTACAATAAAATCCTTTTAGGGAAGTGTGATATTGAAAACAGGATGAATTCAATTCAACAGTGCTAAACGTTTCACAATTGGTAGGGAGCAAATGTCTCAATGTGCAGGTAAAATGGGGCAGATGCACAGAATGGCAGCAGAGCTGCCATCTAGTGATCAGAAGTGACTAAGACATTTGCAACTTTAATTTTGCAGTGAATAAACAAGGTGTTGTTGTTTTGTCTTATTAGAAATAATTGTTGTTGTTTAGTCATTTAGTCGTGTCTGATTCTTTGTGACCCGATGGACCAGAGCATGCCAGGCACTCCTGTCTTCCACTGCCCCCCGCAGCTTGGTCAAACTCATGCTGGTAGCTTCGAGAACACTGCCCAACCATCTCGTCCTCTGTCGTCCCCTAGACAGAGGATGAGATGGACTAGAAATAATAGCTATTGTCAACTCTTTCTGTGGCAATTGCTCTTTAGCAGTGCCTGCTGTAATAGTTCGATTATCCCTTTTCCTAAACTATGTAGGGATATTTTCTAGAATTATGCTGCTATCAGAGAATTTCTGTACAGGATATAGTGAGAAGTATATTGGTCTACTTAAGATTTCATTGGTATGAAATCCAAGCCAAGAATATATCTACACTTAATATTCAATGTCAACATAACCAATAAGTCTCTTATTCACATAGCCCTCTCCCCCACCAAGAACATTATTGTTTAAAAGAGTTTTAAGTGACTTGTTTAGAAAATTTCACCTGTAAATGGGATGCTCTGGGTCCTTGCCGGATTGCCAGACCATACATCTTTTGGTCCAAAAGGTGAAGGCATACTTTCTGCTGACGGTGTGTCGGCTGAAAAATTTTCAAAGTCTTCTTCCTCTTCCACGGGAGAGATTGGTTCAGGAATAAGCAATTTAAGTTCTACCAACTCTGTAGGGGTAGAATCCAACTCTTTAATGATGTTATCACACTGGGAAATAAAATCCTCACTTTCGGGGCTCAGCAAGCTCGTGTTAGCATTGTGGTCTTCTTCTAGGCAAGACAGCTTTAGTTCCAAGTCTGGCTGCGGGGTTTCAGCAACGCTGTCATGGATTTGTTTGACTGTTGCGTGCTGCGTCAAGTTTGAATTTTTCATATTGTGTTCCTCCAAACTGGAGTCTGTCTGGGGACTTTTAAGGGGACCATTGGCAGGGAGCAACTGCTGATCATCTGTGCTTTGAGATTCTGACACCGAAGCTTCCTCCTTTACGCTGTCTGCTTCCTGAGCATCCTTTTCAGCACATAACCTATAAACCATGACATCATCCTGAAAGTCTGATTCTTCTATATATGACCCTTTGATCAGCATGATTGCATTTTTCTTCATTTCTTGAATGTGCTTTGGTGGCGCTGCAGGTGGTTGTGGGTCTACATTTCCTAAAGCATTATCATGCTGTGGAGAGCCCGAATCAGATCCAGGAGAGATCCCCGTATCATAGCTATCATCCCATTCCAGCTCCAGCTGCAACTTTTCTCCCAAAGGAGTTATCTGAGAGGAACTTGTATTACTAGGTGTTCTGTGCTGAAATCGGAAAATGGGCTGGTCTAGGTTTTTACCATCCTCGTCAGCTAGGGTTTGGATAAAGGTACGTGGATCAGGGCTTTCACCATCATATGGAGCAGACCAAACCTGGCAGTCTTTCATACAGTGGAGTATGAGGGATTGAGCATCCCAAAGGTACTGCAGGTAACTGATATCAACAGTCTTCCCATATTCCACAATACATGTGGAGTCTGCAGTACCTCTGCTGCTGGACTCTTCAGTTGTACCTGAAATGCAATGGCAGGGAGTCACAGGGTGTCGAACAGCAACACAAACATACATAGAAAGATCCTATGAATATGCTTGTAACTTATACCTTGGTTACACAACTATCATAGTCACGTGGCACATGAGTAAATAGCACTATTCCACAAGCAGGCAAATTTACAGAGAGAGATGTGGCTATTTAGATTAGGCCAAAGGAAGAAGATTTGCCAGTTTCCCTAGACTAGATAGTCCCGTTTTATGCAGACTAGTTCAATGGTCCTTAAAACTTGGAAATAAGCTCCTGAACAGCAAGATGCTATCAGCTAACAAGCTACAATGGTGCAGAAGTGATTTATGCAACTGCTGCAAACTCACATCCTATCCCTGCAAGTGGGGCAAAGGGAAGGACTTCTCCCACTTAATTTTAACAAAACTTTCCAAAGCAAATTAATGTTGAGATATGTTGCTCCTAGAGGCTGCCAGATTCCACAAGATGCAGTAGAGAGAAACCTGCCCTGTCCTGTCCGTAATGGCACACAGTTTTGTGCTTCTCAATGGTCCAAGAAACCAGGTCACTTGCCAAGCCTCTTCTAAATCAGTTCACCATAGATGGTTGAATGAACTCTACTGAACACTACTACTGAACTCCTATTTCAGATCTTGCTCTTATTATAAGCTCAAGGGAAAATCCTCCTGCAATGATCCAGCTGAAGTTTAAATGACTTAAGGAAGCTCCATGTATTACAAATCAAACAGGCAGTACTGAGCAACAAAACAGCCAACTGATTGAAATTTTTTATAGAACAGACAAACAAATGTGGAGAAAGCCTGAATTTGGCAAAATTGGTCTGTGGTGTGGAATGTCCTTTATTTTTATGGATGGCTCTAAAACATTTAGCACAACAGTTTGCCTTGCAACAAGAAGTTCAATGAATCCCCCCACACACACACACACACAATAAAAAGGTGTATTTTTTCATTGGCATTGCAATACTTCCTCGATCTGACTGAATTGTCAGCCATAAACACAGAAACAATGAAGTGTTAAAGATCATGTCACTGGTCACCGGAAAGGCAATTTCCACCAAATTTCCAATAAATTTGTTCAACTGACCTATGACCAAGATGTCCTAAGATATTTATGATGCTCTTGTAGACAAAATACAAAAGTTTGGGGCAATCGATTCAAGTTTTATTAGGTTGCATAGTTGACATTTCTTTCCAATGGGGAATGGTTTTACTTTTGATGGATTTGAAAGAAGGGGCAATGCTCCCATCTCAAAAACTCCAAGTGTGTTATAATACATATTTAGCTGCATTTACTATTAGAACCACCTCCGAGAGGCAGGTTAGGTTGAGAAACAACTGCTTGAACAAAGGTACCTAGAGAGGTATGTAGTTGAGCATGGGTGTGAAACTCTGGTTTCCTATGTGCAAACAAGGGATAGGGGGGAAATTTGCTCAGTTTTCATTTTAATGCTAACTCACTAAAAATGGAGATATGCTTCAAAAGTTGCAATTCTCCAAATTTTGCAAGGCAGCTCTGAAACCAAATATTGTCTACAAAAAGCATTTATTTTTGGAGAGTGTGCACAATAATGCTTGTATTAGTGAAAATAATGACAACAATGTGTTGAGAAAATTGCTTGCGTAAATGCATATATTATGAGAAATGCACACAATTATGTATTGTTTTTCATGAGGAATTCTTTTTGACTTGCTAAACTGATGCAGAAATAAGACAAACTGAAGTTGAGGCTGGGAAAAAATGAGAAACTGAAATCAACAGCCGTCTATTCCTAGTGTGAACCCAGTAGTAATGTGGACCACTTGCTGATACAGTGGTACCTTGGTTTAAGAACAGCCCTGTTTACGAACAATTCGGTTTACGAACTCCGCAAAACGGGAAGAAGTGTCCCGGTTTACAAACTTTACCTCAGTCTAAGAACGGAATCCGAATGGTGGAAGGGCACCGGCGGCAGGAGGCCTCATTAGGGAAAGCGCACCTTTCCCTAAGAACGGACTTCCAGAACGGATTAAGTTCGTAAACCTAGGTACCACTGTACTTGCACCTCTTTTCCTGTTCTCTCAGAATATTAAAAGCCACCACATGGCAAAGCAACTGCTTACATAAGGTAGGAAGAAAAGACAAGGGTTCCCTTCCCCCACCCACCATCTTATGGTGGACATTGGAGATATCTCCTTGATTACAGTATGTTCTTGTATACTATTTGCATGGTGTGTCAATGTAAATTACTTTCATTCACAGTATCCTGAATGCTCTTATGGGTGAATAACGCAAATACAGTCAAGATGTCCGTAACAGATCTTGTTGTTTATAAACTGTAAATAAAAGAAAACCCTTTAAAAAAAGGCCTTTCAGAAGAGTTTTCCATATTTTTCCAAACAGTCTGCATGTTCATGCACACACACATTTATTCCTGAAACTTCCTCCTCCTTATTCTAACTAGCGGTAAGGAAATCCACACTTAATAGTGTATGGTGTGTGTAATCAGAAACTTAGCATCCTACACACAGGTATTAGTAGTAGTAAATAATCAGCTCTTCAATCCAAATTCTGACAAGAGTAAAGAGGTTTTCACAAAATCTCATGAGACTGGTGTAAGAGAGAAGGAAGCATTTGCCTGGAACACAGAAATCCTGCACTAAAGTCCTCACGCTGCTTTAAGTGCATAGCGTGGGTGTGATGCAGGGAGGGTGTGTGTGTGTGTGTGTGTGTGTGTGTGTGTGTTCTTTCGTTAGTCCAGCAGAATATGAATCTAGCCAAATGTTACACATGGGAGAAATTAAGAAACTTAATGATAATCATGAACTCAATGCCACTGAATACGCCACAAGGAACGAAAGAGGAAAAACAGCCTGACGCCAACTTGTCCATTCAGAAAACAGGTGAAATATTTACCTGCCCTGTGTATGTTTTTCCTCCACAGGATATAATCTTTTTCTTGTTTTTCAAAAGTCAGAGTAATCCCACTAGAGCAGCAGACTGGAGTCAAGGCAAGCAATCTAGCAGCAGATACAGAATACCAATCTCGTTCCCTCACAGCCCATCTTTGGCTGAACATGATGTGATTACAGGGTATCAAGTACCTAGGAACAGAGGGTTTCATTAATTAAGTGCCATGACATAGCTCTTATAAAAAAGTTATTCTCCAGCCCTCATTTATTCCTTAAAGCTAAATCACATAGATGAGCCAAATTTTATAATACCAGCTGTCTCAGGTCTGATGACTGAACTGACGAGTTGTTACTTGTCTGCAGGATATGGAAAATACAACAAGGATGGACTGCGGAAGAGTGGACTCCAGTTTGTACAGGATGGTGAAGGAACCAAACTGGTTCACCATCATCATAGGAATACTAGCAACTGGCATAACACTACCCAACAACCAGGTACTCAAGCTGCCGATCTTACAGGGATGTATCTGACTGGTAAGTTGTTGTGAAAGTGCAGTGCCAAGCCATCTAACTCTCATTAGGCTTCCTCAAAACTATTTTGCAAAAAATGATCATATTCTTCCTAAAGCACTCACAAATCCTAGGAAGTACTGAACCTTTTCAGAAACAAGACACATCACTCTGTATGCAGAAGAGCCTCTGTCAATTTAGTCCGAATGAATGTAAATTCCTTCACTCAGTCTGCTAAATTTGTGGAAAGTCTACTTTCATTCTTCTAAGTGGCTTGTGATTTTTAAAAAATTCTTGTTTTTCATTTTTTTCGGCACTAGGTGTCTAGGATTGACAGTGAGCTTTCTGTACATCCTAAAACAGAAGTGTGTGATCTTCACCCACAACAGTGTAACACATACATCTCCACCTACTCACACCATGCACAGCATGGGTAAAACAACAGGTATGAAGCAATCGCAGGATACTAATCATCAGGGAGGAAATAGCAGGGCAACATCAGGAGAAAGAGTGAGCGAGTCTACCTTAAAACTAGCTGTAACATCACATCTTCACAATGCAAGCTGATAAGTGTTCTGAACAATGCCAGGGACACCACACAGAGCTAAAAAAGAAAAAGATAAGCAGAGTCAAAATCTGTAATTCTCCATGCTTTCCTAAGATAAAACATTTATTTTGCATTAAAGCAGCTCACAACCTGCATTTTTGAGAGAAGAGAGGTATGTTTTAGTTCACCTAGATAACATCGTCTGACAAATTAATTTAGCATGCCCCAATAAAGCCAGATGTAAGCATAGATATATACTATAATCCTTTCAGTAATGCAGTAAGGGAGAGAAGATTCCAATTAGTCAAATATGAATTATTAAAGGGAACTGAAATGTGATTAACCCTAAACCCTCAAACACTTACGTAAGTATTCTTTTAACTTTCTTAGACAGAATTATTATACAGTCTCATACACAGGGTTAAATTCTGTTGGAATGGTATCATGTCATATGTCTGGAACACTCTGAAAGAGCTGGAGGCCTTTTAAGAAAAATGGTTCTGTTCCTCATCAAATGCAGAGAAACTCAGGTACCAGTCAGGTACCATCATATATTTTTTCATCAAAAACGGCTTCCTAAAAATGGAAAAGGTTAATGGCTTTATGCACACCTTGCATAAATGCATTAACACTCATGTCATGTTACCAAATACATTTTATCTGTACAGTGGTGCCTCGCAAGACGAAATTAATCCGTTCCGCGAGTCTCTTCGTCTTGCGGTTTTTTCGTCTTGCGAAGCACGGCTATTAGCGGCTTAGCGGCTATTAACGGCTTAGCGACTTAGCGGCTATTAACAGCTTAGCGGCTTTAAGAAAAAGGAAACAAACTCGCAAGAACTCGCAAGACAGTTTCGTCTTGCGAAGCAAGCCCATAGGGAAATTCGTCTTGCGGAATGACTCAAAAAACGCAAAACCCTTTCGTCTAGCGAGTTTTTCGTCTTGCGAGGCATTCGTCTTGCAGGGCACCACTGTAGTTTACTAGAGGATAAGGACTAAATACCGTTGTTCCTCTGGTTACGAACTTAATTCATTCCGGAGATCCGTTCTTAACTTGAAACCATTCTTAACCTGAGGTACCACTTTAGCTAATGGGGCCGCCCACTGCCGGCGCACGATTTCTGTTCTCATCCTGGGGCAAAGTTCTTAACCCGAGGTGCTACTTCCAGGTTAGCGGAGTTTGTAACCTGAAGTATTTGTAACCCGAGATACCACTGTATTGGGAAAGATCTATTGTGAGAGCCACTGTATTTCACTGAAGGTAGTGTTTAGCTGCATCTGGAAGTCTGAATACTGGGGACTTGGAGTCTATTTAGATGTTTAGGAGAATTCAGTGCACATGATGCATTCCTTGATTAACGTCAACATCCCAGCTGCTGAAAGCTTATGGCAGGGATAAAGTTGCTTGCATTCTGTGGTGCTATACTCAAATGGATGACATTATCTGCAGCTCAGGTCATGTTTTCCCACTCAAAATCTGGCCTTCCTAAATCAAGGGAGAGCATCTGAAGCCTCTCTGATGGCAGCAGTTCTCTAAAATCGTCTGAGCACAGAAATGCCTGACCTTCAGCCCTGAAGCACTATAGGCACAAAAAGGGTTTCCTCTTCCTGTCAAGTTAGGCATGATATCCTCAATACTATCTCTTCTGTTCCTATTCTTGTACTGTGTGACTCACTGCTGCCTACACAGCTGCACAAAGAGGTGAAGGCGGACTGCTGCTTTGCCTAGAGTGCTAAGCAAAATTACATGCATACCCTTGTTTGAGAGAACAGTTTGAGGCACTTGAAGAAGGTTCACCTCATTGGTTTGGACCGCAAGGCGGCATTAAATGAAAATTCATGTGGGAAGATTATTGATTAACAAGACACTAAAATTGGATTCTGTAACGGAACGTCATAAATGGGGTTCTGTTATTGTATAGAGTTTTTGTTCTTGCTGAGTGCTGTAATCTGTTGAAGCTGTGGAGAATACAGTGGTACCTCGGGTTACATACGCTTCAGGTTACACACGCTTCATGTTACAGACTCCGCTAACCCAGAAATAGTACCTCAGGTTAAGAACTTTGCTTCAGGATGAGAACAGAAATCGCGCGGCGGCAGCAGGAGGCCCCATTAGCTAAAGTGGTACCTCAGGTTAAGAACAGTTTCAAGTTAAGAACAGACCTCCAGAACGAATTAAGTACTTAACCCAAGGTACCACTGTACACTGATCAAAATTACGGACCTATAGTTTAAAGGAATGGGATGTTGGGGGAGTGACCAAAAACATTCATGGAGAGAAACGGGGGTCTTAATTAGTTCATTAGGCGAAAGGAAAGCTGTTTTATATGTGTTCCAAGTGGACAGAAGCGCTTGCACGTTTAATCCTATCAGGTATTGCAAAACCTTTCTGCAATAACAACAGTGCTATGGTAACGTGCCGAAAGCTGTGGGGCTGGTTTCTATAGTTGGCTAAGTTATACAGCAGAGAACTCATTTAGCATCACTGATGCATTTTGGCGGCGCTCCTGAGTTGCTCGTGGCTGGAGGATTCTTCGCAATACCCACCCCCTCTTGTCTGTGGAACAAATAATTATGGTACAGGAGAGACACACATTAGCAAGTTGTAAGCGACTGAAGCTGCTTGGGAGTTTTCAGAGAGTTAATCTGTTTGGAGCTAGAGTCACAGCCGCGAGTACGTGCAGCTATGTGCATGCCCTCCACTATGTGGAAATGTTTATTTGGCGCAAGGTGTCGTCCTTAATACATAAACGTAATACACACGTTGATCATTTGGCTCTGCCTGCCTTTCCACCCATATGCTGGAGTGCATCCTCCATCATTTAATACGGAGTAAGTGCCAGCCAAAGAGGAGATCAGAAGTGCAGCTTGCTGAATGCAGACCGTAGCAGGTGCTTCAAGATTAACCTGCTTGCAAAAGGAAGCTCCTATTAGATTAACTATTTCTGTGGCTTAATTAACATGTCACAATTATTTTCAGAAGCGGCTCTTGGCAGTCCACTCAATACCACAGAAATACTTTTATGTTGCAAAAACCAAAGGACTGATCAAGCTGGCTGCACTGATAGCATTATACTGACATCATACTGAGCAACATCTGAATACTAAGGCAAGTATTTTGATGCTGCAAAGAGGACCACTTCACTCTACCTCTCTAAACTGAGACAATGAAAATACGAAAGCTTGCTTGGGGACAAGCAAGTAACGTTTTGGGAAGGGGGCGAGTGACTACTTCATAAGTCTGCACAGTTAATTTCGAACACTCAAAAATATGGTGTCATTAAAATTTTATAAAAGCCTGCTTCTGAGATACACGCTTCCGCAGTTGATTACTTAACGCACGGGGAATAACCAAAAAACAAACTCCAATTAAGTGGCAAGAAAAACACTCCAAAACTCCAATTCGGTTTTATGCTGCTGCAGGGCTGATTTTACTGCTGACTCATTGATTTTATTGTTGTTTACATTAATAGTTTTATTGTTTTAATTGTTTATACAATTAAATTTTATTGTACTGCTATGCTTGTTTCTAATGCAGTGGAGTCGGCTTGAGAACTTGGTATAGGCGAAAGAGACAAGCAATAAACTTAAAATAAAGAAACAAATAAAATAAACTCAAACTAAGTATCAAAAAACAAATTGCAAAGTGGCAGACACGACATCACACCCAGCATTAAAATAGCAATTTAAAATACTAATACCAGTTCCATGATTTATCTGAAACAGTGTTATATTCAGATGGCTGAATTATTTAGAACCTCCAAATTTGTTTCAATGGAAATATGTTTCTGCCTCTCACGCCTTCGGGCTGTGGCTGCGTAAAGGTAAAGGTCCAGTCGCGGACGACTCTGGGGTTGTGCGCTCATCTCGCTCTATAGGCTGAGGGAGCAGGTGTTTATCCGCAGACAACTTCTGGGTCATGTGGCCAGCATGACTAAGCCGCTTCTGGCAAACCAGAGCAGCGCACGGAAACGCCGTTTACCTTCCCGCCGGAGCAGTACCTATTTATCTATTTGCACTTTGACATGCTTTCAAACTGCTAGGTTGGCAGGAGCTGAAACCAAGCAACAGGAGCTCACTCGGTCGCGGGGATTCGAACTGCCAACCTTCTGATTGGCAAGCCCTAAGCTCCGTGGTTTAGACCACAGCGCCACCTGCGTCCCCTTAAAAGTAAAGGACCCCTGACAGTTAGGTCCAGTCACGAACGACTCTGGGGTTGCGGCGCTCATCTCGCTTTATTGGCCGAGGGAGCCAACATTTGTCCGCAGACAGTTTTTCCGGGTCATGTGGCCAGCATGACTAAGCTGCTTCTGGCGCAACGGAACACCAAAACCAGAGCAGCGCACGGAAACACCGTTACCTTCCTGCCGGAGTGGTACCTATTTATCTACTTGCACTTTGGGGGGTGCTTTCGAACCATACACACCCTATATTTCAAGCACATTCCATCCACAAAAAAAGAATCATGGGAACTGTAATTTATTGTGTCCTGGAATTGTAGATCTGTGAGGAGTAAAATACAGTTCCCAGTATTCTTTTTGGGGGGCAGTCATGTGCTTTAAATGTATGGGGTTCACAGCCTGTGATAGCGTAACTGGATAACAATGAATAAGCCATCCAAAAGCAGAATTTATGCAGCTCAAACTTCAGATGGGAAAAAGTTTTCTAGATGTGCAGAAACTGCTAAGGAGAGAATGATTCTTATACTGGGGATTTGAACTGAACCCAGTCTGTTGTAGAATCACTGGGTGAGCTTTGGTACATCACTTCCTCCCCCAAACATCCCAGGTTATCCCCCGCTCCCACCTCCTTGCAGCTCATTTCATTTTATTTCATGGATGCCCTGGATGTTGTGTCATTCTGAGGTGAGGAGAAATTCTGGGACAAATTCCAAGAATGCCCCTGAAAAATAATAATCATATGGGCCACTTGGTGAAATAAAATGGTAGTTGTCATTGCAATATTATGTAAGAGATGAAACTGGAATTTTCCTTATTTTCTTCTTCTTCCCTCCATTTTTCTTTTTATATTGAGTCTATTAAATTGTAAGCTTGAAAACAGGGCCAGTGTTGTTTGTAGGTATGAAGTTTTTTAAAAGAAATTTTAAGCACTTTCTAAAGAATATTAAAGTAGCTAAATTCACAAAGGCATAAGCAAAATAAGCTTGCAGTTATCTAAAACAATCCCATGGAGTAAAAGACGGCCATGTTCCTGTTATTCTCATCTCACCCGAAATGGAGTGTTTATGCGACTTGTGAGGGTGTCCAGGATGTGCACATTCTCATGGCGGTGCAGCAAGATGAATCGGAGGAAGATCTGTAGTAAAGCTGGCTCTGAAACACTCCGCAAGAAGAGATCCAAATAGGCAGTTGTAGTCATTACTTCCTCCACAGTCACCTGGAAATGAATACACAAATGATTACAGACCACATCAACTTTGCCGCTCTGATTATACAGTCTATGTGACCTCCACAACGACCTTGCAATGGGATATATAATAAGCAGAGTTTGTTTGTTTTCTGTGGGTCTAAGCCAGCATACATAAAAACAAACATCGGTGTGCTAGTTTGAGTATTTTGATTAGCTAATGATAGTGGCAGTGCTAAGCTAGGAAAGATGGATGCAAACAACCGAACCATTGCACAGTTATTTGGAACATTCTCTTCCAGTACTTGACTTCCTCTTGAAGATGCTGTTTGCTAAACACCAAAAGGTCTGCTGTTTGACATTCAGAGAAGGTGCTTGCAAGAGATGCATGGTTTTATAAAAATCCTCCTGCTGCATTATATGTGCTCTCTACTTTTCCTGACTCTAGCTTTGCCCATACTGTGTTATGAAGAAAAATCACACTTTTCCAATCAGTTGGAACAAATTCTTGTGAACATGTTTCTTCCAGTTCAGTCAGTCACACAGCACACCTATTTCTTTTGTCTGCTACGGAAGTCAAGGAGCACAAGGTAGCTTACGAAAGCTCACTTTGTTTGCAGCAAGCACGCCCTCCATGGATTGCGCCACTACATGTTGCCACTTGGTTGCTGCACTAAGAGACATCGGCAGATTTAGAAATCTAGCTAGCTGAGGTTTACACCAATAGTGCCTGGTCCCAGAAGAAAAAACAGATTTGTTGTAAATGCCCCAAATAATGGAATTTATGTACTAGCTATAAACTTTCAATTACACCTCAGCTTCTTGTGGTGAATGTTCCGGTTTCTACTAGTGAAACAAGTTACTTTGCTAATGCAGTCCCTAGAAGATCATTCGTCAGTAGGAGTCTGATATTTTAGGTCCAGCCTTTGTGTTGTGCTCCAAAGGGTGCAAAGTCAGCATTTTCAAAAATAGTTACGTGCAAGCTTAATAAGCTTAAAAGCAGAGATACAAATACATACTAGTCTGCCTATATGAAAAGGAGCATTAACCATCTTTTGTTTAGCATTCTTCATTGGATAAATGAGGAGGGGTTTTTTTTCCTCCTTAAGAAAGAATCAGGTAAAGGAGAGACTCCAAGCTGTCATTTAAGAGCTAAGACGATTTGGAAAGTACTCCAGTAAATGGTTGTGCATAAAAGGCGCTCTCTCTCTCTGTTTTTTCATGCAACGCATTAGCTGTTTTGTTAAGCAGTTTAAAGATTGTAATCAAAAACATACGTATTAACATCAAAGACCTCAACTAAAGAAAACTTCTTGTTAACACTATGTTTCCATTCATATTTACATACCAAATAGCATCTAACGACTAACCTGTGGACTACATTTGCTTCAAAAGTTTGTGCTATTACTTCTGCAGCATATTTAGGCGTTCACAGTCATATGATTAACCACAAGCTACCACAGATGCAACATGAGCAGTTTTCATTATAGGTGCATTCCCCACCCCCCCTTAATATAAGTTCAAAATAGAAACAAATAAAAGCACAACCAACCATAAAAAACCTGATCACCTCAGTCTTCCTCCAAGTTACATTCATCCTCTAGAGCCACCGTTATAGGCTTCTCAACTTAAGCAATTTCAGGGAGAAAAAGACCATATAATGTATTCTGTACCCTGCATATACTAGATTGACAGTCCTCAGCAATACATTATTTATGAGAGAGGGATGTACACTCAGCACTCTCCAAATTGGCTTGAGGACCTGGTTCCTGAGCAAATAAGCTTACAGCCTAACCTTGATTCTAACAGCAGTGTATACACATTTTTAAAAGCAGGAATGAAGAGCTGAGCAGGCCTGGGCTTTGGTTGCTAGCAGTTCCCTATGAGATATATATGTGTGTGTGTGTGTGTGTGTGTGTGTGTGTGTGTGTGTGTTTCAAACCTTATTGAAATGCTCTCATATACACAACAGATATTATTTCACTTAGCCAGGTGAGAGGGCAAGCAGGAGTTACAGAGGCCTCAGAGCATTTAAACCTGTAAACGCAACTTCAGGTGAGGTCCTGATAACCCACAAATTCAACAACTCACAAAAGGGTTTTCTACACTAACGTGCCTTGTTAGAAGCTGCCTTCAACATGAATAAGCAATAATAACAATACTCAAGATCCTTAAAAAAAGGAAGGAGATGAACAATAAAATCACCAGAACTTCAAAGAGGAGTGTAAGATGCAACTTTTGTTGGGATAGAAGTCAACAGCTACAAGATGAGCAAGTCCCTATGTGGACATCTTTAAGCAGGAAACTGCACAAGACCCTATTTGTACATAGAGAAGAACACACCACAGAATACAGCAGCCTTCTTAACCTGGTGCCTTCCAGAGATCTGCACTGCAACACTCATCAGCCTCAGCTAGCGTTGCCAATGGTCAGGTAGCATGTAGTGCTAAACACCTGGAGGGCACCAGGCTATAATGAAAGGGTAAGACATTCTGCAGGAGAAACTTTCTAACAGTTTGGAGGAAGTTGTGTTGTATACATAAAGGTTGGTTGTCTATAAACGTTTTTAAAGTAAGGTAAAGGGACCCCTGACCGTTAGGTCCAGTCGTAACCGACTCTGGGGTTGCGGTGCTCAGCTCGCTTTATTGGCCAAGGGAGCCGGCGTACAGCTTCCGGGTCATGTGGCCAGCATGACTGGCGAACCAGAGCAGGGCACGGAAACGCCGTTTACCTTCCCACTGGAGCGGTACCTATTTATCTACTTGCACTTTGACGTGCTTTCGAACTGCTAGGTTGGCAGGAGCTGGGACCAAGCAACGGGAGCTCACCCTGTCACGGGGATTCGAACCACCGACCTTCTGATTGGCAAGTCCTAGGCTCTGTGGTTTAACCCACAGCGCCACCCGCGTCCCTTGTTTTTTAAAGTACAACTGTACTTTTCCAGAGAACTTGCAACAGTGGCTATCTATTACAAAAACTTTTGAAATGGAAATGCTTGCACTGGGGAATTTCGGGGGGAGGAGGGAGAGCCAAAAGCAATATTGAATGCAAACACGGGCCAGCCTCTTGTCACCACTGCTGACACAGCAAAGGACTAATAGAAAAGAACAATAGGAATAGCAGAAACAGAAAATGCTGCAGCAGCTGTCATGGGAGAGGAGGAAGATTTAGGAAATGGGCTGAATTCGCCGTTCCCAACACTTTAAGACGGGAGTGGCCAAAGTGTGGCACATAGTCAGCATGAGAAGGAAGGACTATGACATGCCTGGACAGGACTATGAAGGCTTGCGCAATATGCATAAATCTTAATTTCTGCAGGGTCAAGCTTATGAAACTACATTCATAAGGAAGATGGGGGAGGGGACAGTGGGTTTTTTACTGTGGGAGATTAATGTTTTATTGACCTGTTTCATATTCTTCAGTCACAAAATGCCTGGGCAAAAAGAAATGTTTTCAAATTCATCCTGAAAGTTAGTAATGATGGAGACAAACACATCTCGTTAGGAAGGATACTCCACAAACTACAGTCTGGGTCAAGAGAATCCTTTACACATGTAGTAGGAGCTTTCTGCTCGCAGAACAGCACATTTGGATTCAACACAGGCTACAACTGAAGTGCGCTAACTTTAATTTACAAGGTCTGATCAATCACGGTTTACACCAGCTTCCGCCAGTCTGGTACCCTCTAGGTTTTCTGGACTGCGATATCTATCATACCTGACCATTAGCTGTGCTGCATGTAGCTGATGGGAGCTATAGTTCAAAACATCTGGATAGCACGAGATGGCAAAGGCTTGTTTAGACATTCTGGATGAGGAGGGGCCTCCTCATCCTAATTAACCTGATCATAATTAACCTGAAGGATCATGTACACAGCCTGGGAATACTCTGGATCCAGCTTTGCTACTGAAGACTTAAGGTGATGACAGTGTGTATACAAATGGTTTTCATTTGTTGCAGCGATTCATTTATTTACTTACAGTATTTACAAACTACAGTGGTACCTCAGGTTAAGTACTTAATTTGTTCTGGAGGTCCGTACCTAACCTGAAACTGTTCTTAACCTGAAGCACCACTTTAGGGGCCTCCTGCTGCCACAGCGCCGCCGAAGCACAATTTCTGTTCTCATCCTGAAGCAAAGTTCTTAACCTGAAGCACTATTTCTGGGTTAGTGGAGTCTGTAACCTGAAGCGTATGTAACCCCAGGTACCACTGTACACTATGCCAGACACACCTGAGGCAGTGTCCAAGCTTTAAAAGCTAATAAAAGTCACTATACGCTATGCGACCAAGGCTGCAGCAAAACACTACCATTCCCATATAAAAACCTCAGCAGCAACAGAGCTTCTGCTCACTCACTGATAAAAATGGTTTTAAAAGCAAGGGAGTTTTTACTTGCTGGCAGAATGACATCAGGAATGTCCTTTGGGAGGATGTTTCATAGAGATGGTGCACTGTTGGGAAATAGCACTGATACTTGCTCAAAACAGTTTTACATGAGTGGAGAACTGAAAACAGAGGAGACCTTTCCCCCTCTGTTTGCAGCGGAACGGAGGGACCTATGGGAGGATACATCCCCTAAGGTGTGCCAGCTATCCCCTTACATGGAGACCTTGCCATATTCATTCTCTGGCAGCCCTGAGGATTTATTATTGTAATAAAAGGGCTAGCTTTGATTACTGCCTGGAAGCTGCAGCAAATGCTGAATACTCTTGCAATTTAGGCAGCATATAATGTGGACCAAGTGAGTTTCCAAGTACAAAAAGTTAAAGCCTTATAGCCTCAAATGCAGAGTAGCTATGGTATGCCTTCTATCAAAAGAGGGTCATGTTTTAAGATATTCCAAGGATGACCCAATCCAGTGCTATATTCCTGGGAGGGGCAGCTTAGGGAGCCCTGTAGATCTGCACCAAATTGTAATCTGTTACATTATGTTGGGTCTGTTACCTTTTCTTTCAGCTTGTGGTAGCCTTAAGTCCATGCTTCAACTTTCAGTACTTTAGCTTTTTACACTAACTTTCAAGACCTTGGGCTGCATGGGTTTTTTTCCCCCTTCCCACTTGCTGCATTTTATCTTATTGCTAAAACTAGTACTGAGTAACTTGTTTTTACAAAACTGGTATTTAATTTTTAAAATATATGGACTCTATTTCTCAGTCATGAGAAAGTTGCTTAGATAAAATGACATCTGCCTTGAAATAGAAATGGCTTTAGCCAAGGGAATATAGCTACAAAGATGTAGTAGCCCTAGAAAAGGCATCATATATGTGCTGTATTAGTACAACTGGAAGCTGGCTACTTTCAGACTGTTCATTACAGTACCTTCTGCTTAGCAAAGCTCACAGAAAGTTCTAAATTCAATCTCTGGTATATCTAGTTAAGAGGGGACAGCTAGTAGGTGATAAGAAAGATGTCTGAGATCCCACAGAGGGACCATCCATCAGATTGGATAATATTGAGCTAGATTAACAAATATTCCAGTATACACAGCATACTAGGTTCCACCTTTTCCTCCATAGTCTCTGTGGGCATGCTGAGATGAAGAGCGCACGGAAGCAGAAGTTGATGGTCCAGATCTGTTCACACACACCATATCTCTAGTAGCAGTTCACACTTCAAAAGTCACTTAACACATGCAAGTTCCAAAAGAAAATCAAAGTTTGTCCTATCTGCCAGCCCTCTGGTTTCCAGCTGCTGCTGCTGAATGCCAGGCTGACTCTTAAGTAAGACCACTCTCAGCCCTGATCTGATTATGGATGAGGAGGCTGATCTGGTCTGTATCGCTGAGACCTGGGTGGGTGAGCAGGGTGGAGTAACTATAAAGTAATTACAATAAACAAGACTGCAAGTGTATTTTGTAGGCTGAATTTCAAGAGAATGGAAACTCCATATTTATCCACCAGCAAAATGAATACCAGAGAAAAATGGGACAAACTATGGCCTAACAGTTATACAGCAGCCTCTGTCATTCAAAATTCAGTATTCTGAAAATCAGTGCATCCTCACCAGATTAGAATACTATTATAACGTGCTTCCATTTAATTTAGTAAGTTGAAGGGGAGTGTGTGCTAGAGATAGAAATTGGGTGAGATCTGGAAGGTCCTTTTTTCTATTTTATCCATTCTATATATATAAAAAATCAGGTGGGTGAGAGAGATAGCTAGAAAACACCATCAAGTCAGTACAAATTACTTGGTGATTACAAATGGTTTGGTAACATAAAAAAGAGTTGTCCCAGAATAGTGAAAAGGTGTTCCTTATCTGGGTCAGCCAGAGACTGTCTATCCTGAATGCAAAGGTCATTATTGTGTAAGTGTCACCTGCTTAGTATTTAAACAAGTTTATGAAAAAAGCAAATAAAGTGAAGAATCCACATGCATGTTAACTCATTTATATCTGATTGAGCATTTTGGTTTCAGCCACCTTTTAGTTTCCCCTCAGATCCACTAGATGGCACACTCCAACCTTCTCTGTCCAAGATGTTGAAAAAGATACAGCAAATGACATTGCTAAAAATTAACATGTGATCAGCATACATTGGGGTAACAAGGGCAAAAAATGATCTAAGAATACCACCACTTTTAATTAAATCCAGTAAGGGATAAGAGTTATCAGCTGTTTGATGTCATATGTCTCTATGATAACAGCTACAGTTTTGGCTGGGGGGTAGGGAGGGAACCCCAAACATTCTTTTTTTATTATAACAATTCTTATTGGGAGGTTCTAATAACTTACCACTGAAGTGGTTACATAATCATCCGAGCAGGTTTTACACCAATCCCTCTATTATTTCCCCCCTAACTCAGGAGGTCCGATCCACACAAAAGAAGAATTTGGCCTTTAGTGTTGTGACACCAATGCTTTGAAATCTAATATTCTTGCGGAATATTAGATGAGCACCATCTCTGTTGTCTTTACAGTGCCTTCCTTTTTCAAAAAACCTTTCTAAGTTGAGATCCTTCCCAGTCTACATATGTATTGGAACTGTTTATAAGATGCTTTGTTATTGTTTTATAAATTATTGCTTGCTTCCCTGCACTCCTCTGGGAAGAAGCGTGGGATATAAATTTGATAAATAAATGTTATATAATTCTAGTGCTAGATTAGACAATAAGCCATTTACAGTGCAGTCTCGCTAATGTCTACTCAGAAATAACCTCAATTCAATAGGACTTACACCCACGTAAGTAATGATTACAGCTGCAAAAGTAGATTTTTTAAAACAAAACAAAACAAAAATCCATGCTGAAGTAAAAAAAAAACCACTGAGGTTGGTGGTAGCTCATCTCTGGAAGTGGCAGAAGTTCTAACTGAAGACATTCTGCAGATGTTAATATATTTCATACAAGGAAACAGAAGGCACTTTTAAAATTCTACATTAATTACTAGACAGCAAATTTTATTCGCAGGGGACGCTGTACCCTTTGACGATTTCATCTATAATTTGTCTTACCAGTAATGAAATGATCACAAGTTTCATTATAAACTGGCCTTTTGGACTTTGGTGTTTATTTTTCCTCCTTTCTTCATTTACCAAAGCTTCAGTTAGAAGAAGCATTGGTATTTGTACCATCTGGCCATATAAAATAAAAAAGTGCTCAAACGTACTTCCCAGAAGTACTGCTCAAGTGTTTCTTTTTTCTTTTTAGTAGAACTTAACCACTTAGAACAGGTAGTTCTGGTGTTCAAATCACACAGAATCATAGAACTGTAGAGTTGTGAGGGATCACAAAGATCATCTATTTCAACTCCCTGCATTTCTGATCCAGATGCAGGGAAGTCCTTTGAAGGTACTGATAATGCCTCGGTTCACATTCACTCCTAGGATTTATTTATTTTTCCTCATACCCAGAAGGAAAGTTTTGTTTCTCTGCAAGTACATAAACCATTTGAAAACACATACATAGACATTTAATTTTATTTGTACTTGTTTTGTGCCAACATGGTGATGAGACAAGAAAAGAAAGAACTCAAAAGTCTTGACAGGTAAAGATGACAGGACACACCGACAAATCCAAAGGAAATAAGGACACTTTTTCGGCAATATTAATAATTCTATTAATTATCTACATGGCAGGCTGAACTGAGAGCCTTTCAAATGCTAATGAGACTGTCACAGCAATCTCTCATTTAAACAGCTGAAGCGCTCATGCTGAAGCAATGCGACAATGCGCTGCCGAAATACCACTCCATGCTTCAGATGTGCTGCCGGTCCCAGGTTATGTTCTCCCCCTCGAGTTTGCCAAAGCATAACTTGATAAGATTGATGGATTGCAGTTGGAATATATCACAATCATTTAGGCAACACATCCAAAACATGTTTAAAATGGGAGGGTGTCATGGATCGATGCTGCAGAGAAAGAAGCTGTGAAGATATAGGGCAGATCCCTGTCCCTGAACTAAATCCCACAGGAAGGGGATCTGAGGCAAATAGTCACAACAAGAACCTTCCTCACAAAATAAAAATGAGCAAAGCAAATACTGACAAATGACCAGGTCCACTCAAGAGTTCTTAAGGAATTCAAATGTGAAACTGGGTGAGTGAGCAGAAAAATGGCAAAAGCAATTCAATGATACCTGCGAGGGAGATCCTAATTTCATGGATACTCTCATGGAGTCTGAACTGGCCGTGACTGACAAGGAACGAGACCTTGGGGTCATAGTACATAGTTTGATAAAAAAGATTGATCCAGCGTGTGACAGCTGTGGAAAAGGTGAATGCCATGCTAGGGATCATTAAAACGGGAAGGAAACTAAAACTGTCAGTGACATAGTGCTGTTATACAAATCTATGGTGTGACCATGGTTGGAATACTTAGTGTACAGCTCTGGTCACCTGATACTGTAGAACTGGAGAAGTTTCCCAAAAATGCAACCAAGGGGACAGAGCAACTCCTCTATGATGAAAGGTTACAATTATGCCTGGGCAATATCGATATATCGTCCAGGACTGGTATGTGGGGCAGACTGTGATGACAGCTTCACTCAGTGATATATCGCTGGTGAAACAGTCACCACTCTTGAGTACAGCTTGTTCCGTCCTCCGCTTCTTTAAACTGCTGCCCTCGCCTCAGCCAAGCAGTTTTACAGAGCTGCCAACCCTGCCCCCGCTTGCATGTGAGTAGGAGAGGGATCGGGGCTGCTCAGCTGGGGAGTACGAAGCCTCCACTTCCCAGCTGCGAGATCCCCGGCCCTGCTTGTACATGAGTAGGAGCGGGGTCAAGGCTGCTTAGCTGGGGAGCACAGCCTCCAGCAGGATAGGGTGCCTTTGCATGCCACACCTTGCAGACCACGCCCGGGAGGGTGGGATGTGTCATTCCTGCTAGGGCGAATGACCCCTGCACACCCGTGTGGGCAAAGGCGATGACAGTCAAATGCATGGAGCCTGACAGGTTCCATGCGCTTGGCTACTGCTGCTTGGTCCGTCTTCGGGGAGTGGATGGCAAGCGGACAAGGTAGCTCGCCCGTCCCCCATGCCAGCGAAGGCAGAGGGAGCTTGGCAAGGAGCCCCACGGTCCTTGCTGCTCCAGTGCGAGCTGCAGGAGACTCGGGACTGGCTCCGCTGGGGGCAGGAGCCTGTCCACCTCCCCCGGCTGAGCAGCAGGCTGAGACCAACTGTACTGGCCACAGCCCGCGAGGCGCTGGGGTGAAAGCTCCTCAGCTCCCACAATGAGAGCTGCAGCAGTTTCACCTGGCATCAATGGAGCTTTTTTCAAACCGCGATGTTTGGTTGGTGATGCACCACGATGTTGAAAGCCCAACGTCACCCAGGCCTAGTTACAACTTTGGGTGCTTTTTAGTTTAGAGGAAAGGAAAGTAAAAGGAGAGATAACAGAAGTGTAAAAAAATGTGCATGGTGTAGAAGAATTGGATTCTAGAACTCTGGGACATACTAGAACTTAATGGACCATCAGTGACTATTAGTTGCAGTGGCTATGTTCTACCTCAACTGTCAGAGGCAGAGTAGGGAAAGTGCTGTTGTGTACAGGTCCTGCTTACTGGTTTCCCATAGGACTCTGGTTGGCCACTGTGAACAACCATTTTAAGAATTATATCAGCAAGTCAATTTAAAATCAACTAGAAGAAGAAGAAGAAGAAGAAGAAGAAGAAGAAGAAGAAGAAGAGTTTGTATTTGATATCCCGCCTTTCACTCCCTTTAAGGAGCCTCAAAGCGGCTAACATTCTCCTTTCCCTTCCTCCCCCACAACAAACACTCTGTGAGGTGAGTGGGGCTGAGAGACTTCAGAGAAGTGTGACTGGCCCAAGGTCACCCAGCAGCTGCATGTGGAGGAGCGGAGACACGAACCCGGTTCCCCAGATTACGAGACTACCACTCTTAACCACTACACCACACTGGCTCTCAAATTCAAATATACTCACTTCGCTAGCAGAACTACCTGCCATGTTTCTCTGAATTACTATGATTTCAGCCAGGCAAACATTTTGTATTTGATTATAGATCAAATAGCAACTCGAGGGATGTGACCTTCTGCTGCTATATCAGCAGATGTCTAATGAGTAATTCAAGTAAAGAAACTGGGCTAAAGTAGTTATGCTTCGATTGGTCCATCTTCATCACACACGTAATATTCTTAAGACATTGAAAATGGCTGCTGATTTTTTTAAAAAACAAAAACATATGAAAAACACTGACCTTATGCAATGCTGGGGCCATAACTGGTACCAGAAAACCATTATAAATGTAATTCACAAGCTGCATCCGAATCAAAGGATGTGCCACCTAAAGAAGTGAAGGGAGAGTGATCATGGGATTTCAATCAAAAAGGCATCTAGAGTATCAAACTTAAGTTATGATTTAACATATTTTTCTGAAGTTCACAGAAAAATTAAATAGTAATAATAATTAACCTCTGATAAAAGTCTTCCAACCATCTTTACACAAATGAAGAGATAAACTATAGCTTATATCCTATGCACAGAACCCTATTAAATTCAAGATATGCTTACTTGTGTATATAAGCATATGTAGAACAGGGCGGTATATTTAAGGGAAATTGATTCATATGTAAGTAAAGATCAAAAGGCTCATATCCCTATGTCATACAATTTAATGGTGCAAGATGATAGATTAATAGCCACCCAAGTGTACATTGCAGCCTACTGAGGTCATTTTAGAATGGCCAAGCTACTATTAAATTTATCAAATTATAGTGAAGCAACAGAAAGACCATTATTTATGTTTCAGCTTTTCAATACATAACAACATTATTTCAATAATTCAAACAAACCAGCTTTTCCGCAACTACTATTCTGTAGTGAGAGAAACGCAGAAACGGACCATGTGAGGCACCTGGTGACTTTTCTGGCAAATACACTTTTTCAAAGGCTTTCTTATAATACAATACATTTAGTCAACTTCATAATAAATGTTTGCTATAGAACAGACAGCTTTCTGAATTTGGAAGTCAAAAAGAAAGAAAGACAAAATGAGGACCCTTTCCCCCCACATGCATCACTTTTGTAAAGAGAATAAAAACAGGAATTTTTCTACATTGCATATACAAACACTTCCATCCTGTATTTTCACTAATGAAACTGAGCAAAGTTGCATAACTCAGATAAAGCTATAGATACTGAACAGCCTTGCTGCAATAAGAATCCTAAGCACAGCATCAAAGAGATATAAAATGTGATTTTATCATTAGACTGGAGAAGAACAAAGACTCAAAAGAGCGAAAATCTAATTAAGAAATAATCAAGAACAAAGAACATGAGAAGACCAAACAGAATTTAATTTAGATTCGTGAAACATACTTAACCTCCTGATCAGCTCAACCACAATGAAAATGGTTCACAGCTTTTGGGGTGCATTTGTGTGCAAGCATCTAACTGTTATGAGAACCTGATCATAAACTAGCATAATTAGCCCAGACAACCACAATGTTCTGTCTGAGAAATAAATCTTTGATTTTAGAATCAATAAAGGGTGTTCAGTCAACCTTCTTTAGGAAGAGGGCAATGTTAATAAAAAGAAATATGTATCTGATTTATGAGGAATATTTGTTATGTAAATCACAATTATTAATACTTGCCCATACTCGCAAGAAACTTGCTCTCTCTTGAAATCAAGACCGAATAATTAATTATATGAACTGTAAACAATCACAGCATAGGGTTTGATTCAACTGTGCCCTTAATGTGGACAGAACGCCTTCTGTTCATCAAAAAGCATTTGATCTCATTAAGACCTCTGGTAACAGAAGGGAATGAAAACTATTTGCACCCATTTCTCCTTCCTCCTCCCATGCTACCTTCCCCACTGTCCCCTATATATATTTGGAAAGGAAGGAGAAGGATGCAGGGCGGAAAAGGAATCAGCAAAAATTGCTTTTTGCTCGCCTTTTGTTAGCAGAGGACATGGGATTAAAAATCCTCCAACAAATGGAAGAGCAGAAATGGACATCACCCACATATTTTAAAAGGCTGGTTTCATAAGCAGGCTCTCTCCTTGAGTCCAGTACCTGTATTACAGCATTGCAGAACTCAAGGGAGTTCATGAATTGGACAAGAGCTGGAGAAAGAAGCCAGTCGTCTTTCAGCAGACAGTGCCATTCTTCTCCTTTGTCTTCCAACTTTGTAGGCAAAGATGAGTATAGGCCACTTAAGCCTGTGGCTAGCACCTGAATTGAAGAACATAAAGGGAGGGGGAGAGAAAGCAACTATTTAAACATAGTGTTTGCATCATTGATAAGCTTTTCATTAAGACAGAACTGAGATTTCTTGGAATATAAACAAACAAGTTAAGTAAACAAACAGAACTAGTTGTTAAGAGCACTAAACATCAAAAGGAAGACACATGTATGTAAACTATCAACAACATGTGGGCAACACACAGTAGACACAGGACACTCAAATAAAATAGAATTTGTTGCTCTAGATGTTTATAACAGCTCAGCTTGCGTGATATATGGTTGCTTTAACACAAAAACGGAAGGTGTGCTTGCTTCCGCAATTTGTATTTTTCATCTGTTTCTAAAATATAAACTGTAGGTGTCAATGAAAACAACGTACTCACAGAAGAGTTTATGTGATTTGTTCTCACAGCCTTACCACCACCTTCTGCCTAGAGAACAGTGCTACTTCTGGAATGGATATACAAAATCCATGCTCAGTACACTAACCATAACTGTATGCTTACACATGTCAATCTATATTACTATGAATGCAATTGACCCTTGGACCAACACAAGCAAGACTTACTAAAAGAATACTAGGTGGAACATTGCAGGTTTTTCTCTGAATGTAAATACCCAGTCTAGGCAGAAGCCATAAAAGGAATTATGTGGTTTTTTTAAAAAACAAACATTATAGTTATTGACGGGAAGTGGTGGATGTAAGTTCTTAGCCTTATTCCAACAATCAATGCAAAGACATGGGAAGAATAAATATTACGAGTCATGCAACTTTAGTTTTACAAGAGCCAGTTAAAGCTATTCTACTTGTAAATCATTTTGAGTACTGGGATGATAAGCCTGATTTTCTAGAGGCACCAAGTTGAAACATTAATTTTTTTTTGATTGACAGGCATAAAAAGACTGCCAATGTGTGTTTCTCTGCATCTATTATGTTCTTTACTCGCTTATTCCATCACCCAAGCTACAATTAACAGAACTGTGGGGGTGAAGAGAAGCTATGGTCTGTCAGAGTAAACTTTTAGAAAGACTAACTATGGCAACATTCCTGCATGGTTGGGTTTTACGTTAGTCATGTAGACAATCCAATAAATACACAACAATTTTAGTCCCCAACGTAGCTAGTGCAGACAGCTACCGTTTGTCAGTAGTGGTATTATTGACAGTTGTCAACTTTCTTCCTATCCTGCCCCAAGTAACCTTTAAGTTATTTCAAAAGGAACAAGAAAAAGTATAATAAACAAAGAATTCTTCCCCAAGTATGATACACTGCTTTTCTCTTGCCTACTCATGCAGTTCCCAGTTAGGAAAATGCTTCAAAAGTTAAGGTAACCCCCAGCTTGCCCATGCAGCAATTTTGACCTTCCACTCTGCTTATCCTCTGTTTCTTGCATGATGTCAGCTCTGCACAGCTCATCCATCAGATATTTAATATAGTGTTGCAGGATGGCTGCAATCCACAGTACTCTAGACCTTAGCAGTCAGGGGGCTGCTAAGAAGTCCATAGCATTAGAAGGGCTGACCTGCTTTTTCAACTAGTTGAAATTTGCATAAGGGCACACATTCTGGAATGGCCTAAGGTTGAATGCTTGCTTCTGCACTCTAGCTATCATTATTTTAATTACAGGGGAGGGATTTTGACATTCAGTACAATATCACGCCAAGCTTTCTTTTAATTGAATCAGAATTTAGATTATTTTATTACATTCACGGGCAAATAGCAGTGAAAGAAATCCTTTAATCATTCTGTATTTTTTGCCTGAGTGAACGATGGATGCTAACCAGATCCCTGCGGCATCATTCTGATTTTTCGCGAAGGCAGTATAGAACTCCCCGAACTGCAAAGATCAAACTCACAAGACCAACACATTATGGGTCTTTAAAAAGTGAGCAGCCCTCAGGAGCGGACTCTGATATTTTATTATAGACTTGGGCTAGCTACCTTTTACACACTAAGACAATCATTCTAATTAGGAATGTGTTTTGTCACTCAAGGCCCCCAACTGTTTGAAGGTTAATACAGCTTGCTTTAATCTTCAGAGTAAAAAGTCATTCTAAAAATTAATTGGCAAATGTAATTATGGAAGTTACAGCATGGATCTAATAAGGGTATCTACCTTGGGGACAATTTTAAAAAATGAGTACTCTTTAGATGTATCAATTTAAATGAAGTCAACAAGAAAATGTCTATGCTAGAGACTTATTACTCAGTGCTTGCAAGTAAAACTGTAATCTTGATATACATTTAAAGAGATTCATTAGCAACAGTGTAGAAAGTTGTTTCATAATGTGTCATTCAGTTGTTTACATGCTGTGACCCACGTTGTCACTCTCGACACACACTCCCCCAGGAGGATCTTTAAAATAATGTCAAAAAGGGCTGAGGCTACTATTGTGTTAATTTTAGACTAAAACTTTCCTTAACTATGCAACTTATTTTGAGCCTATCCAATTTCATTTCTTTGTATACCAGGGCAGTGGGGGAGAAAGAAAAGCATTCTCAGATATTTGGACCTACTTGCCTGTTGTCCTTGCCAACAAAGGTCCATATAGTTAAAGCTATGGTTTTCCCAGTAGTAATGTATGGAAGTGAGATCTGGACCATAAATAAAGCTGATTGCTGAAGAATTGATGCTTTTGAATTATGGTGTTGGAGGAGACTCTTGAGAAGATCAAATCTATCCATTCTTAAGGAAATCAGCCCTGAGCGCTCACTGGAAGGACAGATTGTGAAGCTGAGGCTCCAATTCTTTGGCCACCTCATGAGAAGAGAAGACTCCCTGGAAAAGACCCTGATGTTGGGAAAGATGGAGGGCACAAGGAGAAGGGGACGACAGAGGACGAGATGGTTGGACAGTGTTCTCGAAGCTGCCAGCATGAGTTTGACCAAACTGCGGGAAGAAGTGGAAGACAGGAGTGCCTGGCGTGCTCTGGTCCATGGGGTCACAAAGAGTCGGACACGACTAAATGACTAAACAAAGCCTGTTGTCCTGGAATAAAGGGTGCCACATCTCGCCTCATCACTTGAAGTGAAATGGGAAGTGCCACCTTCCCTTCCCTACTGCCACCTCCTACCTGCTCTGCCAGTACCACGTGCCCTGCTGCTTGTGGAGGCAGTGGGGCTTCTGCCACCTGAGGCAATGGTCTCACCCTGCCTTATGGCTGGGCTGGTACAAAAAGTACGAGGGAAGGTTTGGATCCAGACATAGTTGAAACGGAAAGCAAATCAAGTCATTACCAATTTGCCCCATTGATTGCAGCATAGGAGCCAACACCTAGGGGACAAGATCCCTTTGCCCCACCCCTCTAAAATATTTGAAGGGGCCAGGACCTGCCAAAGTTGATGGGCATTACCATTCAGACGGTGTGCATGCGCCACATCTTGTGATCGATTATGCGAGGTGGGGCCTACCTGGGGCTCCCAATATTTCATTCAAATTGGTACCCCTGGATTGCAGTGGGAACTAATTTCAACTAACCTAGCCCAACCTAACAACACTCAGGAACAAGCTGCATCAGGCAGTTGCACCAACTGTTATCATAGCAAGATCAACTGCAAAGGATCATAGCAAGATCAACCGCAAAGGATCATCTTCAGTTCAACACTTTGTTCCAGTTATCAGTCTAATCTGGCCACCATTAGAAACACAGATACACAATTAATCACTTCATTCCAGCATTATCAAAGTGCTCTCCCTCTCTAGCTCCTTTCCCTGCCTAATTTTTTTTTGACTGATATGAACCACTTTCAAAGTATTTGTCTGAAAAAGCCAGATACGCATATAATAAATAAATGATGAGGCAGCAGGTCAAAGGATAGCAGGAACTGAATGGAGGCAGGAAGCAGAAGCAGCAAGTGTGAAGTTAGCTTGGTTTGAACACTGCTAGTTTCTGACTAGAAAGAATAAAAAGGATTCCTTTGGGAATCACCTTCCACGAACTCATAGGAACTTATGCAAGGTGGCATGTGTGTCGTTGTGATAGGTAGGTGGTGCAGCAGAAGGAAAACAACTAATTCTTTACTTCTGTGAGTTCAGTAAGATTAAGTTGAAGGAAATAGTTTGATTTGTTTAAAAACGAAATGTAACTAGCTTAACTGAAGCATAACTGGAGAGATTTTTGAAAATTTCAACACTTTACAGTTTTAACACCTAATGCAAATGTTTTATTCAAAAAACTATCTGATCTTCAAATGGCACATTATAATATCATGTTAACGTTGGTATACTAATACCAATGTTAATTAGACCCAAATGGCCACCTAAATATCATACTTTGATACTTTGATATTATCCCCACTAAATGGCATGTTTTTAGTCCCTAATTTGTTCATTTTGCTCCTGATAAGTTTTCTGTCGAGGAGCAAATTATAGTATAAAAATGACCACAATTAAATACAGACTGGTTCAGAAAGATATATCCCCCTGATACCACCACTTCCCACTTCTGCAAAAACGTAACAAAATGTACCAAATAAATTCAGTTCTGCTTTGTTGGTGGGGAAAATATCAAAAGGGGGGTTTCTTTAGAGGGTAGGGTCAGAAGAAGCAACTTACCGGACAGAAGTAAGTGTTTTCTACTATATGGTTAGCAACAACATTGTTTTCTGCAGAAAGTGACATTATAAAAAGCAGTGCATCACGAGCCTGTTGGCCCACAGTCCCTTCTCGATGAATGAAAGGAATCAAGAGAGAGAAAATTAGGAAGTTTGCAGCTCCTTGGTCCTCACTGGTATGGAAAAAGAGTTCTAAAATAGATGGATCTTTGGCTAGGATTGAGCACAGCTGGTTGAGAAGAACCACCAGCTCAGCTTCCACGGCTGGTGTAGTAGTTCCTGAGCAAGAACTCAGCAACATCATCAAAGGTTTCAAGATGGGCTTGTGATGCAGCAAGGGCTGGTGGGACTGAGTGACAAGCATTTCATACATCTTCAACTGTTCGATTTTCATCTCGTCAGTGAACTCCCGTCTGAGACTCCAAAGGAAGAGTTTCTCCATGATATTTTCGGTAACAACAAACTCCAGGATAGGTCCCATGGCAGCATCTTTTGCTTGCTCTTCAATTAACAGGAAGAGCATGTGTTCTACATAATTCTGCACAGTGCTGGCCTCATCAGGAGGAATTGCCCCATATTTTGCCTGAATATTTTTCAAAGGGTCATGCTTCTCTAATATTTTCACCACCTAGAGAAACATGAAACACATTCTCGTTATCAGAGTGAAGAGGTTCTTAACTAACCTTTTAACTCAAATCCTATTTTTCACTAAACCCAGTCTTCAAAATTGCTAGACTGAATCAGTGTTTTAAGCTCCCAATGTAAAAACATCTATTGAATAAAAAAATCTATTGAACAAATGCAGCAAAGTGCCTCTCAAAATGGACCTCAGAATGGATTGCAGAGATTAATAATTTAATCAAGTAGCAAACAACTTATAAATTAGCAATAGGAATTAATTTATGAAAGCACATTTAAACAGCTCATACACTACTGTATCTAATGGGTTTGTTAAAATATTATTTATTTAACGTATTTATATTCTGGTCTTCAACCCCAATGGTTCTTTAATTGCCTCGTAACATTATGTAGCAAGCTACCACTGATCACTATCCTTGTAAGTAAAAACATTAAAATTGGGAGTGCTGGCCAACCAAGTTGCAAATACCAAATTCAGTACTAACAATGTCTTTTGCTAATTCAACTTCTGGGAGAGCTGGGTAGCTGAAGCCATGATTAAGTGGCATCATTTGCTTGTATAAACGCTAAGAGGGTGTGTTAGATCAATCCCCAACATTACAATGGAAGGATCTCAGGTGACAAAAACAGAGGAAGGCAACCTGACTGTAGACATGTGTCAGTCAATGTGAACAACACTGGATTAAAAGAGATCATTGCCTGGTGCTGTAAAATGCATCTCCTTAGTCTGCACACCTGCACAAAGCCTGCTTCAATAGGATTTAAGCAGCCTAACCATGTGCAGGTTTGCATCCAATGCTAATATATAATTGAGCCTTATCTTTAAAATCCACTGGACCGTCAAAGCATGATAATTCAAAGTTATATTCTAAATTTTATCTCCTTTCATTAAATCTAAATCTCCCAGCTCTTTCTCTAGCCTATCCATCAAACAGAGCTATGCCACTTTATTATTACATGTGATGTTAACTAAATAATGGAGGAGCAAGATTCTACCATTTTCCAGAACAAGAACAGAAAATGCACTTGAGTGTTAGGGAACAGACTGCATGCTGTGTATTGGCAGTTAAACCCAACTTCCAATCTTTTTGTTGTTTCTTGATTGTTGTTGTTTTGGAATGGATTCTTACCAGTGCAACCAACTTTAAAAACCAATTGAAGAAAAGCTTCCCTGAGCTACTTTACCTGTGCCCAGTGAGTTTTAAACACTATCATGCAGGTTTCTGGGTCAACTCCTTCGAGGCTCACAGCCTGATGCTTTTTCCTGCCACTCGCACCTGTGGACATCATAAACTCTCCAAAGTTCAATTCTATGAGGCCATATTCAATTTCCTTTGCTCTCTTCTGCTGCTGATCACTGCATCACAAGTGTCAAGTCTGGAGAGCATCTTTGATCTGCAAAGAAACCAAAATCAAAATTCATAAAGAAAAAAACATATGGGATTTAACAGCAATGTAAAGCAACTTAGATTTTAAAAGATGTACTGGGAATAATGTGATATTATACACATGGCCCTGGATCTCTTGCAACACAAGTCTGCATCTTCTCACTTCTTTACAGTATTACATATCCCTGGCGGAAACCAGCAGAAGAGGGATATTGCATTCATCTCTTGCTAGTGGGCTTCCCATAGACATCTCGTTGGACACTATGGGATACAGGATACTGAACTAGATAGACAGGCCTTTGGTTTGATCCAGAAAGGTTCCTCTTACATACTTTATTGTTTTACTAGATTAACCCATGTTTCTGACAAAGTGATCATTTCTTGATTCTGTGCTCTTTGCAGCACACCATAGTCAGAAGTATGTTGTGGGAAAGGTTATCATTCCTCCCCTGGGGGGAAAAGTATGGTGAAGGATGTTTATAACTAGAATGGGGTCCTTGGCTTAGAAAGGCAAAGAGCTTTCGATAGGCTTCTGTGGGAGCTACTAATTGGAAGAACACAAAAGCAAATTAAAGCTAAATTTGGTACACGTGAAAATACATCATGCCTTTTCCTATATTATCCTTGGTAACTAAGCAATACTAACAACAAAAGCTGAATACATATGCAAGGTTGAGGGCCTTTTAAAAAGATTTCTGACAAAAACAGCTATTCATTCAGAAACACGACCTTTTTTGTTGTTGCTGTTGTTAGTAAGAGCAAACTGTGTGAAATTACAGGATGTGAAAGAGCACAGGGTGCCCACACTGTGGTTTGTACCAATGGTAAAATGCCATGAAAATAAAGAGTAGTTCCTACATGTAATCAATGCATCATTTTGGTCAGATAAATGACAGCATACCACCATCCTGGTCACATTCACACATAATGGGAAACCATGTTTTTGCACTAGTTATAATGAGCCTGAGCCAAGCCTTGGGTTAGTGTGCTCCCCTGCTCTTCATTCTCCTCCCACACAGCCAGGAGAAATAGCCAGGATTTCATTTCACAAAATCTTTGCTTGTTGTGTCATAGTTTATCACAAACTTTTATTGAATAAATCAGCTTCATAGCCCATGAAACTGACCACACACATGGCCATGCAACAATAAATTCATTAATCGAAGGTGCTGCAACAGACTAACAAGAGTTAGATTCTTGGACTCCACAGACAAGACAAAACTTTATTTATTTATTTATTTGTTTGATTGATTGATTGATTGATTGATTGATTGCAAATTCGGTTGTAGCACATGGTGCTAGCAGTGTTATCTGGTTCTTTGCATTTCAGAGCAATTAATGGGAATGGGTGAGGGATGTGTTTTGCTACCCAAGTAATACATCTTAGGACTCCTGCTCCATATATAGTGGTCCACCTTAATTACTGTGCTGCTTAACAAGTATGGAAATTAAGACAAATTATGCTGATTTCAGAAATGTGCTTGACATTATGAACAAACCAAAAGACCTTTACAACTGCTGGGAAGTAAATATTAACTGCCTTATCATGCTAATAATCCCCCCAAAATAACTTTTCGCAGCAAAATTGTTTGCTGCGAATGGCACAGCCAACATTTGGTTAGATCATAAAACCATTCTGCAACTAATTCCATATGTCTCTCTAATACAAGTGTGGAGAACCTTTGGCCTTCCACATGTGGCCATGCTTGCTGGGCCTGATGGGAGTTCTGCTCTCATCTTGGAGGACCATTTCTGCAGTTGATACTGGCACTACTGATGGCGCTATCGATTTCCACAGGATTCTGTATTGTCCTTTGTGCTCTTTAACATCTAAGATATTGCTGGGATAAGTCTTTCTGAAATTTGGGGGGAGATTTTATCAATTTACTGATGGCACCCAGCTCTATTTCTCTTTGTCAGATTAACGTGAGGCAGTGAATGTGCTGAACCAGTGCCTGGAATCAGTAATGAGTTGGATGAAGACCAATAAAAAAGCTCAGTTCCGACTAGATGGAAGTTCTGAGAGTATACAGTTCATCTATTCAGGGAGATGGTGTTCTTTTATACTATAATAGATTCTCATATGAGCTAAGTGCAACCAGAAATATTTGGAGAAGGAAAGAGGCAGGTAATTTAACAAGGAGTGATCTGGACAGTGGCAGGGTGAGCAAGAATACAATGAGAGAAAATGTTTTCTTCTCAATAAGTGTTCTACTGAGTGGGATTGTTTTAACAAGTAAATTCAACTTTATCACAGAGGGGCAGAGTGTTTTCACTTATTCAGAGCCAGAACAAAAACAGAGGAATTCCCTTCTGTACACTAGATTCCCAGTTATTTTGAAACTAAATAGAATGTGGATTACAGCCTCCCTTCAGAGTTTCCAGAAAGGTTTGCATGATTGTTGCATTTGCTGCAACAGACCAAAAATAAGAGTTGTATGGCTCTTCTAGAGATTAACAAATTTATTATGAAGTAAAGTTTCATGGACTACTGGACTACAGTCTACTTCATCATGAGGCTGATCAAATGGATTGACAAAAAAAAAATCAATTATACATATGTTCACTTTAAAGGTGCCACAAGACTCTTTGCATTTCTTCACCACATCGCAATATTTTGTCTTCCATTGCAATCTTAACTCTTCCTCACAGCTGTTTCCTGTTAAACATGTGTTCATTGTAACCTGTTCCCATCCTGATAAACCATGGTTCATTGTGATATTCAAACACAGTAGCAATCAAAAATCCTTTCAATTTATTCAGTCACAACTGCTGAGGAATATTTATTGTGCAAACCAAGATTACAGTTCTGCAGACTCAATTGCATAAGGTATGTCCTTTTACCAAAATACTAAGTTTGTTTATGGGGGGGGGGGGTTTCATCCACCAATTTGAGCCACTGCACCTGCTTTAAAATGAATTACAATTTGGTTCACATTTTCAGTGAAATGTTTTTCTCCAACACATTCAAGTATAAAGCAGCAAGCACACACAGATTTTGCAAGGAAATAGCAGCCCCTAGGAGGATAAGACAAGTAACTGCATGAATTCTTTCACAAATAAATCTAAATTCAGAAATACTGTGCCACAGGGGTTAGGAAAACACATGTGCATGTCAAAACTCTCTTTCTCTTCACATTGTCTCACATTCATCTTTGGATATGTTCCTCTTCAAGTTCTTTCCACTGCTTTCTGTATCCACATAAGCCCTACTGTTTCAGATTGTCCACCCCATAACCTAGGTGCTTGTGCCCTTGGTCTTAAAATCGTAGAGTCTCCACACTAGCACTGCATGTCAAAGCTAGCCTCTAAATAATGTCTGATCAGCCACTTAGACTATTGATATAAGAAATGGAGTTTCTTTCACACTCCAACTAAGAAAGGAAGCTGGGTTTAATTGGTTTCAGATTCCTGTAAAGATTTGTGGCATTACTCTCCATCTTGGTCATCCAACAACCAACAACAATATCTACTGGGTTTGGGTGACATGAATCCAAAGTTTCTGTCTCTCTTTACTTTTTATGAGAGTTGGGTTGAAAGGTGGATTCAAACTCCCATCAGTCCCAGATAAACATGGCTGATGCTCAGGTGTGATGAGAGAGTCCAACAATATCTGGAGGACCATGGACAAGTCTGCTGTAGAGGCATAGCACATGTATCTATCTTGAAAGCACAAAAAAATGTTATCTAGTACCATCTTAATTGCATCTTTAACAAATAGCCAAAAAGCATTTAATTTTTAACAATGTTCACAATTGTAAGATGTGCAGGACTGCTACACACTTCCACTTTTTAAAGGGGCATTGGAATACTTGTGTAAAAGAACAGTTTAACCCTTAAGATTCATTTGGAGGCAATTTTAGAGGTATGGTACATTGCTGAAAATTGCCTCCTTTCTTGTTCCAGTTGATTCCCTTCCATCAGGTGAAAGTCACCGCTGGATAATATTATATGCTCTTTTGTTCTATTGTCTTTAGGAGAATTACTGTCCAATAGCTTTTAACAGGGTTTTATCTGAAAGTAAGTTAAAATATGCTGGTCAAGACAAAATAAATTTGAGCAACTGCTGTACTTGTAAACCAGCCTAGGAGTGTTAGGAGAGTTAGGGCACAAATTGGTTGTAATTCAAGGACACGGTACCTCATTACTTGGAGGCACTACAAATTCCAATGGCACAAGAGTTCATTTCTGTTGGAAACAACTATTAAACAAAATCAGAATACAAGTCCTGTATAAATGCAACTGGCTCTGTTACATATTGGCTCTATGATATATTGGGTGGCCTCCTTGTCTGAAGATACTTGCCCTTAGCAAGCTGGCATGTGAATTCGTAAATCTGTGGATATCCACCTAATACTCCCATCTGTACAGAACAACCATTTCTCATGAATGCTGGCAAGTTTCGAATCTGAGGCAATCCAGGATGCATGCAAGTTGAACGGACACGGGGTTGCCATACGTCGTCTTTTACATGGGTATGTAAAATGGCATTCACAATAGCGATCCATAGTCAAAAGTAGAAGTCGGCAAATGTGTCTTTTTGGCTCTTCAAAATATGGCAACCCGAAAATGACATGAATGCTTACCCAGGAGTTATGCTGTTCATAAGTTCATTGATCCCACTAACATTAACTACCCCAGAAGAAGCTTTAAATTTAATAAAGGAATACAATGTTTGTTAAGGCACCCATCTCCTTACTGTATCAGGAGACAGTAGCAGCAGATTATTGGACCATTACAAGCAGCGCACAGCTCTGTTTAGAACTAATAAGTGAAACTTGCAATTCATTATGCTGGTTAAATATGCACATATACCTTCTCTCAATGTTAAGCCTAGAGTGCAATCACTTCCGTTTTAATGTTAAATTTCAAATCACAGTAACCTTTATTATAAGCACTATTAATAATGCTTGAAAAGTTTAATTTCAAAGGATAACATTAAACTTTATCAAGTGAACAGTATATTAGAATCATGCTTATTTGTGCAACTATTGCTTGAATAAATGGAGCAGTTATTGGAAGGGAGGGAGGGAGGACAGTGTCTTGCTAAAAGTATTTGCTAAGAATGCCCAAGATTATTATACAGAATACAGAACAGCATATACCGTGTATACAACCGAATAATGTTTGGTTTCTTATTACTAGTAGTTCATGTGTGGCTTTGCTCTTTCAGAATATTATATCAGAAAATACATTATATTTTAATCCCCTTCTGCCCTCCAAGCAGCCAACACTGCTTCTTTCACTCTAAATTCCTTTTATCCTTGTAAGGTAGGTCAGTTAGAAAGAGTGAGTGGCCTGTGATTATTTTATGAATAATTAGAACAATTATTTTTAAAAAAGATTAATTAGTGGGGTGGGGAGGTTAGCTGTGTCTTTTGTAGACATGGTCTTTCCTAGGAATAATATTTTTAGTCCAGGATGTGAGTAGATGCAGTAGTCAGCAGAGAGGTCGCAGAAACATAGAAGCATGGCCCAAGGCCAGAAGACATGATGTAAGCAAGATTCAGGGGCGAAAACTAGCAGCCAGATAGGATTAAGACCATCCATATAGAAATATTTATACTTTCATGAGATTCTGTTCTTAAAGAGTCTGCACAGAATCAAGGCAGGGATGAGTATAAATCACATCCCAAGTAAAAAAAGGAAACAAAAACAAGATAGGACCTAGCCCAGGAAAACTAGGGAAAACATGTAGTAGGCAAGAAAACAGGGCAGGCAGCAATTCAAGGAAAAAACCCCAAAGAGATACAAGACTAAAAAGAAACACAAGCTCCATGGACAAGCAGGAAGCTTAAGCCTGCTTTATTATAGTCACTTACGAAGAAGTATATCCCACCGCACTCAGAAGGCTATACTGTGAGTAAACATGCATAGAATTGCACTGTTAGAAAAGCACCACTTCTTATATGTTGTGATGGACAAAACCAGGGCACCGAAGTGTCAGCAGGAAGTCTTAACCATCACCATTCTGTATTATACTTGTTTAGGAAAGGTCACATAGCAGTTTGAAGATTGAGATTTTCAGTATATATGGTTTCAGCAGTTTGGGGAAACTGCTGAAACCATATATAATGAAAATCTCAATCTTTCCTAAATGCCTTAAGTTTATTTGGCAACAAACCTGAAGATAGGGGCCTTGCTCACTGGATTTTGTAAGTACAGTGGTACCTCGGGTTACATATGCTTCAGGTTACATACGCTTCAGGTTACAGACTCCGCTAACCCAGAAATAGTGCTTCAGGTTAAGAACAGAAATCGTGCTCCGGCGGCGCGGCGGCAGCAGGAGGCCCCATTAGCTAAAGTGGTGCTTCAGGTTAAGAACAGCTTCAGGTTAAGTACGGACCTCCGGAACGAATTAAGTACTTAACCCGAGGTACAACTGTATTTTGTAAGTCACCCATTTGTAGAAGTTTTAAATGAAAATTTAATCAGATATGGTGTTGAGGCTGAAAGGTCCACCAAACCTGCTCTCCATCCCTTCCTGTTTCACTGTCACCAATTTACATCTAATGTCGACAAAGTAAATAGAGAAAACCATTATTGCCAAGGGTAGGAAGTGGCTTTTTTAAAAAAGAGTGAAAGATTAAGAAGGTTATTCTGAATATAGGCTACCTGCTGTCTGCATTTATGGCTATCAAGCAAATTTGGCTCACCAGAACCAGACTCAACACTGAGCCAGCACGGAAAATGAATCACTCCAGGCTAAATTCTCCATCCTCACCAATAAATTTCCTGAGTCTAGAGATCCACATAGTCAGAATGACTAATATTTGCATTAAGGAAATGTATTGCCATAGTAACAGAGACACTACACAGCTATCTACCTGCCACAGCCTGCTAAATTATTTAGCATGCCAATACTACAGTGACACTGTGTAAATGATCACGTTCATTAACGTAAGCCTCTGCACTGGAAAACTGTAAACACATGACATCAAGATTGATTGCTATTTATTAAGAGAAAAACCCAATTGCACTGATGATGTTAAAGCAAAAGGTATAGCGCTGGAAAGGGGTCGAGGAGATAATGGAAGGTCAAGCTATCTTAACAGTATGAACCATGTTATCTTAAAGTGCTTAAAACTTGTCATTCCTTCCTCACTGAGCCAACAGTTCTGAAAAATTATAAGAAGTCAGCATCTTGGCCAGCATATGTCAGATGCAGAACAAGTGGATTTTTAAAAAAAATCTAATTATTATTTATTTATTACCCTCCCTTCACTCCAAGGTCCTGGGGCAGATAAAACACAATATTTAACTCTATTTAAAACAACTTACAATCCCCAAAATAAGGTGGGTCCTAAAACTATATATCTCAAGTGCCAAAAGCCAGGGTAAAATGTGCATCCTCAGCATTCACCGGAAGCTGTATAATAAAAATGCCAGGTGTACCTCTGGGGTGGGTTTCCACAGCTTTGGGGCTGCCACAGAGAGTGCCCTCTCCTGGGCCACCACACCATGAGCCTCTGAAGGTGGAAGGACTATCAAGAGGTCCCCTCTGCTGATTTCAGCACCCTGGAGGGTCTGTAAAGAAGCCTGAGTCATTTAGTGTTTTAAACACTAATATGAACACCTTGAATTGAGCCCAGAAATGAACTGGCAACCAAGCGCAGTTATATAACCAAGGGGTTATATGAGATCTAAATGGAACCCCAGCCGGTAACCTGGTGGCTGCAATTAGGACCAACTGAAGTTTCCAAGTCATCTTCAAGGGCAGCCCCACATAGAGCACACTGCAAAAATCAAATCTGAAAGTTAACAGAGCCTGGAGTACAGTGGTCAAATTATCTCTTTCCCAAAGGCAAGCTGGTAGCTGGTAAACCAACCAGAGCTGGAAAAGGTACTCCTAGACACAGAGGTCATCAGCCAGGAGCACCCCCAAACTACAAACCTGCTCCTTCCAGGGGAGTGCAACCCCATCCAGGGGAGGCCACCTCCCAGCCATGAGAATCTGGAACACATAATACCTCTGTCTTTTCAGGATTCTGCTTCAGTTTATTGATCCACATCCAACCCATCACCACCTCCAAGCACTGGTCTAACACCTGAACTCCCTCTCCTGATTCAGATGGAACAGAGAGACAGAGCTGGATGTCATCTGCACACTGATGACACTTCAAATCTGATGACAGCTCCCAGAGGCTTCATATAGATGTTAAATGGGAAGATAGAATCCCGTGGGACAATTCCCATGGTGCTCCCATGACAACTTTCTGGAAACGACTCTGGAGGTAGGGGTGGAACCACTGAAGTTCAGTGCCTGCAACCCCCACCTCCCTGAAATGCTTCAGAAGCATACTATGGTCAATTGAGATCATCACTGATGTTCCCAAAGTATGCAAAAATAAAAAGCATTTTAAAAAAGGGGGGAGGCACCATACCAATAAAAACTGAATGTGGTCAGTGGCCTCTAGGGCCAATGGAACAAAAAATGGAAAACCAGAGCTTAGTAAAATGATGTGTCATGCTTGATCCCTCTACAGTTTATAGAATGCTGAGAAAGTCCAGAAAAATTTGGTGACTGGAACCTGAACAGGGGCACATTTACTTTTAGCTAACACTTCAGTGTTATAAACTTAATTCACACATACTGGTGCTATTATGTCAGTACTCCAGTCAATACATAACTCTGTTATGGAAAGAAGGTTTGTAGGTTGCCTAAGAGCAGATCATGCAAGGCACTTCTTGAACAAGTCACTGATGGACTACTAAATGAGTTTCTGGGATACCATGGCACTGACCTTAAGATAACTAATAGAAGCACAGTAAGGCACCAGGGATTATTTGCAAAATTGAAGTTATAGGTCTTCGTGGACAAATGAGACAAGAGCTTATGACCATTTCCTCAGTATACAATGCTAATCTAACTTCAGTGGGACAAGTTTATCTGTGCTGCAGCATCTGAAGTGGCAACAGAGAACCAGATTCAACTAATCTGATGTGCTAGAAGATAACAGTACAAGGACTTCTGCTAGCACACCCCCCCAAAATCTGTTCTGGAGGGTCAGGAGAACCCTCAGAATACTACATGGGCGAGCAGAGGGGATGTCATTCTGTCAGGTAACGCTTGCAGTGACAGAACTATCGCATTAGCACAACACTGAATTCCACCCTTAGTGATTGATGCTCTCTGATGATGAGCCAAAAGCAATTTCTCAATAGTTCTATCTCTGGTTGAGAAAGGGAGGGAGTACAAAGAAAGGGAGATGCTATTAGAGCATGGTCTCCACAAAGACCAAGAAGTTTGTGGCTGCATTTATGTACAGGATCCTTTTAAAGTACGTAAGATTATAGTCCAATATAATTCTAAAACATCTCTAAAAGGTCTGTGATTATTTAGTTTAGGATTAGCCACAATGTGATCTTCTTTTAACTACTGAAATACATACGGATATGATTGGAAAGGATACTTAGGAATGAATTCATTTATATATAATAAGTCAAAACTCAATACGTTTTTAAATTCTATGTATTATTTTAGCACTTTAAAAAATGGGCTCCTCTTGGTTTTCCATCTGAGATTAATAGTCCCGTTTTGTTCTTTAAATTCAAAAAAATCTTTGTAAACAAAACAGGGTAGGGCACACTTTCTCTTCATCTGGAAGAAGAGTCCTTCCCATTTAATTATTCTTCAGCCTGCATGTTTTTTTTATTCCACTTTTTCTTTCAGTAAGTCTCTCTTAGGGCCTCTCATATGAAAACCTGTTCAAGCAAATAAACAAAATAAATACAATATGCAGCGTTGGTAACCTGCCAATCTGAGCGCTGCTCAAGTGAATGTCTAAATCTAAGCACACAAGTGCAGTTCACTCACTCAGGAATAAGCCAGAAGTTAATCTCCTGTAGTCTTCTCCAAAGTTGGAACATTGTTAATTTACGCATGAGAAATCCTATAGTCCACCTAACTATAAGCCAGGAATTCACATACTGTTTTTAAAAAGACATACAATTCACTTCTTGTTTTGTATTTTTAGAAGAGCACTTTGTACCAACCAACTGGGCAGACTGGATCTCAGGAAGACTGAAACCACTTGAAACTTTCGGTCCTAATTTTTTTTTTTTAAGGTTTTCATATAGAGTCTGTCTCTCACTATACAGATTTTGCATATGGTTTGCTCTTTATTTAGTTTGGTTGCCTTACAAGCCTTACCTTCTTTGTTTCACTAATTAATTAATACTTGTATTTTTCAGATAAGGAGCTGAAATTGATAGCTACTGGCCTAGGTCTAACAATTTTTTCTCTCTCTACCCTAAACCCAGTTCATGCCTAAGGCTTGCATGAAAAAACGTGTTGGAAGTGCTATTGATCACATTTTTCACTTTTGTGAACAACTTTGAAGTGTTAGAACAGTGACTCTGTGTCTTAGAATAGACCAACCAAACAACCAAATCTGTGTGGATACATACAGGCCATGAAAATACTGAAATGATCTCAGATTGAGCAGCAATATTCAAGAGACAATGTCATCTGACAAAATTGTGTCAACTTTTTATGAGCAAATCTTGTTGATGCCTTCCAGCAAATTGTCACAGATCTCAGGCCCTATTTGATAATTTCTACAACACGGGTGGCGCTGTGGGTTAAACCACAGAGCCTAGGACTTGCCGATCAGAAGGTCAGCGGTTCAAATCCCTGAGACAGGGTGAGCTCCCGTTGCTCGGTCCCAGCTCCGGCCAACTTAGCAGTTCGAAAGCACATCAAAGTGCAAGAAGATAAATAGGTACTGCTCCGGCCGGAAGGTAAACGGCGTTTCCGTGCGCTGCTCTGGATCGCCAGAAGCGGCTTAGTCATGCTGGCCACATGACCCGGAAGCTGTATGCCGGCTCCCTCGGCCAATAAAGCGAGATGAGCGCCGCAACCCCAGAGTCAGTCACGACTGGACCTAATGGTCAGGGGTCCCTTTACCTTTACAATTAATAACTACACACAATCAACACAACTTGGCTGGGTTCACAGTCAGTGCAATGTGGCTAAGAAAGTTTTGGCCAAGGCAGGTAGAGATTCATGTTAAGAATTCAGAAGAATTCATGGAAAATTTGATCACAAGAGTGCTCAAAAACAAAAAGTTGAATATACGAAAACTCAGTGTCAGGAACTGGGAAGAGAGCCAACAGCTTTCAACTACACTTTAGCCATCCTGACTGCAAGTACAAAATATGTGATCAAAATATACAGTAAGTGCTCCAGAATGAGCTTCTGGATTGTAACATCTCTCAACAGGGCCAACATCTCTTCCATGCTGTCTAAATTAATGTTAAACAACATCAGAATCAAAATACCACTTGGATCTACAAGGAACAGGAATTTTCTGGAAGAGGCAGGAAGCGTTAAGTTTCAAACTGACTGATTACTAAATACTTAGAAGTCGTACAAGGACATGTTTCTCAAGACTACATTATTTTTACTGACAGCATACTTTTACCATTTAAAATGAAATGTTGCTTACAGCACAAGCATATTCAGTTTCATAACCAGTGACATTTTTGAAAAGTTCCAGTTTCAATTTCTTTTAACAGCTGTCATCCATAAGGAGCAGGAATAGACAGAACACCAAGTAGGAGTTCATCTGATGATACTTTTGTGAATCTGGAATACGGAAATTATCAACAGCCTAGCACTTCTTCATCTGCTCTTCTCATTTTCCCATGCAGAACATCTGATCCAGCCAAACAACATTATCATCCGTATCTAGGATATCATGCACAGATCAAAGCAGCATTCAGCCAGCAGCAGGTTGTTTCATAAATGTCAAAAGGAGAGCACAGAGCCTCATTGTATATTACTGCATATAGTAGCATGAGCCATTGAACTAGATATCAGATTATAATTGAAAACTGCTGATCTGTGTATTCTAAAAACAAAACACATACTACAGATTTCAATCAAGAATTCTCTCTGACAGGAAAAGCATATGGACATCTGACTCACTAAATCAAATTCATCAGAAGACTTTACAGCCAAATTCCTTTATATAATAGATTTTTCTCTTTGCTATGTACAGAATAATCTGTTCTACTTCATAGCTTTTACAGCACGTCTGCAAATATTCCCATAATCCTTGGACAATTTAATCTAGTGTCCAGATGGTTTAAATCTCACCAATCTAACTGCTTTGCTTTTGGAAAACAAAATATATTGTCCTGTGCCAGTAGTATAACAGAAGCACATACTGAACTATCCAATGCATAATTTTATAGCCCTGTTCCACAGCCAGTTTTTGTTGTCATCTATATCATTTAGCAGCAAGCTCTGAGAGACTGCCTGTAGAATGCAAACAGTAGGGTCCAAATTTCAACAATTATTCTGTATATCTCAGCAAAGGCCTTAAATGTTAGTTGGGGGGGGGGGAGGATTTCATTTTTAGAAATAATTCTTAGAATTTATATTTGTTTATTTAATTAATTTCTAAAGCAGCCTTCAATAAGTACGGTGGTACCTTGGTTCTCAAACTTAATCCGTTCCAGAAGTCCGTTCCAAAACCAAAGTGTTCCAAAACCAAGGCACACTTTCCCATAGAAAGTAATGCAAAATGGATTAATCTGTTCCAAACTTTTTTTAAAAAACCCTAAAACAGCAATTTAACATGAATTTTACTATCTAATGAGACAATCGATCCATAAAATGAAAGCAATAAACAATGTACTGTAGTCACACAATCAACCAATCAGTAGCTGAACTGGGTTCCACACAGTAACAAAAACAAAACAAAACAAACCACAGAAGCAAAAACGCAAAATAAACTGCAAAAACAGAGACCTCAGTGTAACACTCAAAACAGAAGAGTGGCACTCAAAATGGAAATGTGGCACTCAAATCAGAAGCGTAACACTCAAAACAGAGCATGTTCGGGTTCCAAAAAAAGCTAGCAAACCACAACACTTACTTCTGGGTTTGAGGGGTGCTTGGGTTCCAAGCTGTTTGAGAACCAAGGTACCACTGTAATTCCAGAGCCCTAACACAGGCTGCTCTATGCAAGCATAGTCAACACTGGGTCTAGATAGGGGTTAATAAGAAAATAAAAAATAAAATATAGCAGACTGAGTACTGTAAATAAACGTACTGTATATCCAAGACCAGAGATATACTTGTATTCAGCAATGCTTGGGCAGAGCAAGGGGGCGTGACCAAGCACAGGTAAGACTGTAAAGTCTACGTCATTGGTCACAGCCCTGGAGAACAGGAGAAGAAGAGCGGCCGCATCTGACATTCATTTGACAAGGATGCGGTGTGCCCCAGGTACCAGCACACAGAAGCGGGCAGGTTCTTACCCAGTACGGCACAGACAACACAGAGGCGGCCAGGGTGCAGGAGAAAAGAAGAACCGCTTTCGGGCCGCTCATCCCATCTCCTCTGCAGCTGCCCACCTCTGCTGCTCGCAAAAGCAGGCATAGGAGCCGTGTTTGGGAGAGGCACAGCGCAGCGCCTCTCCCATCCGCAGCTCCTGTGCCTGCCCTTGCGAGAGGTGGGCGGCGCCGGTGGGACCAGCGGTGAGAAAGGGCTGCTTTCGGGCCACTCATCCCTCCGCCGCTCACCTCTGCCGCTCACAAGAGCAGGCACAAGCCGCAGTTGGCAGAGCGGTGGGCAGCACCCCTCTGAAGCCAACCAGCCCTTTCTTGCCACTGGTCCTGTCGCCGCCGCCTCTCGCACCATAGGTAGGCTGGGGGGAGAGAGAATCTGCCTCCAGTGTGTGTGTGTGTGCGCGCGCACACAAACACACACACACACAGTCCGGCCCGCCACACAGTCTGGGGGACGGTCAACCCAAAAAAGTTTGCTGACCCCGGGTAAGTGGGACCCTCACTCGAGTATAAGCCGAGGGGGGGGGGGGGTTTCAGCATAAAAAATGTGCTGAAAAAGTCAGCTGATGCACAAGTATATACGGTAATTACTTTTACAATTTAGATACTCCATTGCATCGCAGAGCCTTTATGCTATCTCATCTAAATGCATTCCCTTCATCTGTTTTGTTCAGAAGATTTCAAAAAAATCCCCTTCCAGAACAGATGCTGCTCCTGTAATAAGAAAACACCAGATACAATACACCACATAATTTTGGATTGCCCTCTTCTCGACACCCTTCACAGAAATCTCCTAGTGACTCCTTTACAGCTTAAAATATCGATTCACAAAGAATCTGTAATCCAATATTTGTTGAGGGATGATACTCCTGAAACTACCAAGATTGTTTCAGGGTATTTAAAGCTAAAGCTAAAGTTGCCTGATTTATTCAATGGTGGCTATCTAGTGTTTGGATTATCAATGTATTTGGATGACTTTCTATGATTTTATTGTTTAAACTTATGCCAATAAAGGCCAATAACAACATATGATAAATCTTTAATCCTTTTCTATATTGGTCCTGTGTTTGTAAGTAGCTTGAGCATCACCCATGAGCCTTAAAGGATTTGCATACATACATTTATGATTCAGATGGTGAGCCATTAACAGCAATATGCCCAAAAGAGATTGATTGGGAAAACAGTAATCATCATTAGTTACCTCTGCCTTACATCATTCTCCTTCCAATTGCTATGCAAACACTAACTGTTTATTCCTTGGTTCTTCTTTAAAATTCTGGGTCTGTACAGTATGTTGGTTCTTCTCCCCTAAACAATACCCAACTTGCAAATCAGAGAAATGGAACAAGTCATAAGAACAGTGAAAGAAAAACATATGACATGTTTATCCATCGTATATATCATATTTGTTGGATAGTTAATTGACAGTATTTCTCCACAGAAAATAGTAGAAGACCCATTAATGCTATTCTCAGGTCAGGATCCAAAGCACTGCTTATTGCTCAGAAATTAATTGGTTAGAGTTCCCATACCATTTCTCTCTGCAGAATAAAACAGAGGACTTGAAGAGATGCAGGGATACTACTGAAACATAGAAACACCAGCATGCAGAATGCTCCAAAAATACATGCAATCTAGAATATCTGTCTGTTTCAGTATCTTGTAACAGACAGAACTGAAAACCAAAGTACAGGCACCCTCCATTCCCACCTTCAAAATATTGCAGTGCTTGCCTTTGGCTTCAGCTAACTATTCTACCGTACTATGCACCATTAAAATGCAAAGAGCACTCTCTTGTTAATTTTTCACTTCAGGAAACCGCAGCTCTTCTTTGAGAATTCATTTAGCAGAAGCTCTTAGAACAGCCTTTCTTTAATTATATCAATTCATCTTTCATTTCTACCAGATATACAGCATTCATTTGCAACTCAATTTATAAAAGAATTTAACCTTAAGAAACACAAAGGAAAGAAAAGGCTTTCTGGCCCATATATCCTCCTACCTGACCCAATGCCTAAATCGATCACTCATTAATCAAGTTTCTTTTAAGGTAAAAATCTGCCTATGAAATCTGTAATTCCAGATCTGTAGCTCCCTGCGGCAAATAGATTTGCTATAGTATAATCATGAAAAATATAACTTTATAGGAGCCAAAAACATTAGAATCAAACAGACACACAATCCACACTTTTCCATTTTCAAGGTAAGCCAAATAAAATATATACCAGCAACTTGAAATGAGACAAAATGATCATTATTGTGATGCCACAGATATATATATAGCAAAAATATGCCAGGCCTGAAGATAAATTAATTTTAAAAATGGCATGCAAGGAAGAAGCAAATTAACTACACATCAAGTCTACAAGTCTACCCATTCATCTCAATTTTTCCTATGTGTGAGTCACAAACATAAGGCATATCTCATGAACATACATTTCCATGTACAGGTTTTTATCAACATGCTTTGCATAAAAACTGGGAAGGTATCAGTTTCCAAAAAAATATTAGCTAGAGTCTAGAACAATCTTGCCCAACTTTTGGTCTAAGACAGATGGAGGGTACTAACTCCTATCAGACCCAGCCAGCGCAGAACAGCCCAAAACAGCTAGAATGTACCAAGTTGGGAAAGGCTGATTTAGAAGTTGTATGAGAAGCATGATTGATTAGGTTGTTGGGCTATTCTGGCAACTTCGCAATTTCACATAAATTCCACCCATTACATTTGTAAGCAATTGAAAAGGCAAATGCCTTCCATGCCACTAACTCTAGAAAATAATGGTGCAGCTACATAGCTTTGTGTTATGCCAACAGGCCTAACTAAACTGAAATCTAATACAAAGCATTATGTGGCCTCATGCCAAGATCATCCAAGCAACAAAATCTGGATTTGGTTTTGCGCATGGGTTAGAAGCCCTCATTCGACCTTGCATATGTGCTTTCTTTATTTACTCCACCAATCCTTACATCTAAATCAAGGTAGAGAAAAAAATGATTTGCATTAAAAACAAGTTAAACACACTGGTTTTTTAAAAAAGTTGAACAACACTGTTCCGGGAACACTTAAATCTGCCTGCAACCAAATACCTATTTCTTTATATTAATTTAGAAAGGGAAATCATGTACGCCTCGTCAATATTTGTAAACAAGAATGTCCTATGAAATAAAAGAACTTTGGTTTGCTTTATCGGGTCAAAAACAAGACACAACTTTTTAAAATAAACGTGGCATAGTTTTACTACATATAAAACATCGATAGAACATGGTTACAAGAGTCCAACAGCACATAGAAACTTGTGAATGATATCTTTGTTTAAATACTGAAAGGACTTAAAAGTTTACTATAATAAATTGATACTTGGTGGTGATGGAATGGTTGAATGTTAATTGCTGTTCTTTGTATTAATAAGTAAAAATAATAATATTGGGAGGGGGGAGCTGTGTGTCTGCACATTTCCTCCTCTCTTTCCTTGCCCATTTTAGCAGAAGGTAGGCAGAAAGAGTCATATTCTCTTTAGTTCTGTACGTGCATAATGAAAATTACCTTTCATTACTGGACAGAAAAGATACAGATAGGTCTCAACATGTGCATACTCCTTCCTTCAAACAATCAGCTTTGGTGTTGATATTCTGGCTTGTTAAACCAGTTTTCCATGATATCCAAACCAGAAAAATATGGTTAAACCCCTGCTTCATTGTTCTCTGATGTCCCACAAGAACAGCCAGAAAGGCATCGAAGGACTTGCTTTTGGTTATATACACACACAGAGACGCCTTCATTATATATTTTTAGGCGCCAGGAGACAACCTTCCTCTTCAGGCCTTTGACTAATTAATATTCCACAGCCTTTTAAACGTGTCTGTGGGAAGGGAGGGGTCATTGTTTTGCTACGTATTTTGTTTTAATTCTTTATTTGTTTTTATCCTGTATTTTTTCTGTGAACTGCCCTGAAATCTTATAATGAAGGGCAGTATATAAATACAGTGGTACCTCGGGTTAAGTACTTAATTCGTTCCGGAGGTCCGTACTTAACCTGAAACTGTTCTTAACCTGAAGCACCACTTTAGCTAATGGGGCCTCCCACTGCCGCCGCGCTGCTGGAGCATGATTTCTGTTCTCATCCTGAAGCAAAGTTCTTAACCTGAAGCACTATTTCTGGGTTAGCAGAGTGTGTAACCTGAAGCGCATGTAACCTGAAGCGTATGTAACCTGAGGTACCACTGTAATAATAATAATAATAGGAACAGATGAAGAACAGACTACAACTCAGTATCCTAAGAGCTACTCCCCATTAAAAGAAATACAACACATTGCATTCAACCTGCTTTTGCTTGCCATTTTCAGCAAACAGGAAATGGAAAAGCCACATGTGCAATTTAGTGGCATGGCTTTTCCAAGCAGGAACTGAAGCACTGAACAACTTACACTGGCGGTCCAATCTTTAAAAAGATAGGATGTGTACCTGTAATAGCTGTGGCAGCACAAGACAGATAGGAAAGGAGGCCATGATAGTTTATCTTGTCCTTTCTTAACAAGAAAGTCAAGGCACCATACATGGGGTTCCCATTTTATCTCACAGCAACTTTCTGAAGTACATTAGGCTGACAGATAGCAACACGCCCAAGGCGACAGACACAATGAGCTTCTTGGGGAAGTGGGAATTTGAACATTAATTTCCACACTCAGGACAAATATTCTAGCTACTTGCACTAGCAGAATACCTGTTTTCTACTTCTTCGCTCACCAGGGAAGTAATTGCTATCAGAGACAAACAGCAGTGACGTAATGCATAGAATTTTCCATTGAAAAATTTCTAAAACATATCATCTCCAGTGCTTTATTCTGCTGCAGAATTTTCTTTTCATACCTTCATTAGTAGCAATGACTAAATGAATGTCAGTTGCAAATACAATATTAGCCAAGCTTGGCAGTTTCAAAGTTGTAACTAATATTTTTTTAGGTGATTAATCCTAACCAGTATGTGAGTTGCATATCATGCACAGTTCTTTGGTTACTAAACATTTATTAGTATCTCAACAGTTTTCAGTTGCTGAGGTTTTTTTTCTTCTTCAACGTAAACAATGTAAAGGAAGTAAACGCTAATGTCTTTAAATATTTACAAGCAGTCTTCTAGCAAAAAGATTCTACCTAACACCGCATTAAGGATGTTTTTAACTTTCCCTCACTCAAATATTTCAGGTTGAATATCTGTAGTGTACTGGGACAAAAAATTAACATGAGGTTCCCAAACTGTGATCCATGAGCTTCATTCACGTGGTCCATGGTGTGTCTGTGAATTTGTGGCTGACAATGTGAGACAGAGCATCCAATGCATTTAATATTCATATTGATCTTATTGTATTTCACTGGTTTTTTATTTCTTATATTGTATTATACCGTTTGAGTTTTGTGGAATTCAAATTATGTATTGTATTTTATTGTACTGCAGTTTAGAATTCAAATTGTAATACCATAAAATAAATAAAAGAAGCTATAAAAAGACATCTAAAATAATACAGCGTCTAGCACAGAGTGATACAATTGCTACCTTCATTTAGTGGTTTGCTAAAATCCTTAGCAATTTTCCAGTGGCCTGTGGAGAGGAAAGTTTGGGAACCATTGCTCTAGGGCATGAGAAAATTTTCCAGCGAAAGCTGTAATTTTTCATTCCAAATTACACTACCCACACTAACCTACTTTAAATAGTAATACTTTCCACAAAACATTTCAATTCTCCCCCCCCCCGAAAACCCACCTATAGAGCTCAGTAGCAAATTGCATGGCAATATTTTAATTAGACAGATTTGTCCTCTTCTATTGCGTAGGTGGGTGGGATTTTTTTTTTAAAAAAACTCTGCTGAAGCACAAATGAGCTCTCACTGAGCAAAGCAAACAAAGATTTGTGGATGTTTCTTAGCATCTTCATGTTCATATTGGTTCATGTTCCTAACTTGTCAGCAGAGCCGGATTTAGGTTTGATGAGGCCCTAAGCTACTTAAAGTAATGGGGCCCTTTATATGTCCAGCTGTCCTTTGTCAACAACAAATTGTCACTGTTTAGGAACGCTTTGGTTTGGGAACAGACTTCCAGAACAGATTAAGATTGAGAACCAAGGTACCACTGTATATAGAAATGAGCAAAGCAGTGATATTTTAGGGAGCAGGCTAGCAGGCGGGGCCCATTACTTACATCATGGGAGCCTACTCAACACAAAACACTGTTGCTGTATATAGGTTTTATTTTGCTTTTTATCTTATATTTTGGAAATGTACATCCAGGTGTGTTTTTTCTTTAATTTTCTGGGGGCCAAGAGAGCAGGGCCCTAAGCTATAGCTTGTTTAGCTTATACGTAAATCCGGCACTGCTTTTCAGCATGGTGGGAAACTCCAGGTTCAGCAGGAATCACCTAGACAACTCTAGTCATTAAGACAGCATCAGGTCCCTCAAAGCCATAACATGCCCTTGAAGTCCCTACATTACACCTCCTTGCCAACTCGCTGCAAAAATCAGATTTCTTTCTCTGTACTGGCCACACTTCCTTTTTTACGCACTCTGTTGTAATTATTTTAATCTTTCAGTCTCCATCCAGTAAGATGGTACCTGTTCAATAGCTATCAAACATCAAAGGAGGTAAATGCTTATGAAGCGTATGTCTTAATCAACCTATACAAAAGCAGCTAGAGGTTAATTTGATTACTCAGTGCAATCACTCTAATTCAGTAAGAATGATTACAACATTACAGCCGACATCAAGTTAGGGCTATTATCTTTGGAGGCCGTCTCAAGAACCAACCTACAATGTTGTAAACAAATATGCTAACCAACATCTATTATAGTAAGTTATAGTTTTGTCCCCTTCATGGATCACTGCCTTGCCGTGGCGAAGGGGCTTGAAGAACTCAGAGAAGCTATGAACTATGCCGAGCAGGGCACCCAAGATGAACAGGTCATAGTGGAGAGTTTTGACCAAACATGATCCACCTGGAGTAGGAACCGGCAAGCCACTCCAGTATCCCTGCCAAGAAAACTCCATGGACAAAGACAACAGGCATATAAAAGTTATGACGCTGGAAGATGAGCCCCTCAGGTCGGAAGGTGTCCAACATGCTACTGGGGAAGAGCGGAGGACAAGTACAAGTAGATCCAGAGCTGATGAAGTGGCTGGGCCAAAGCCGAAAGGACGCTCAGTTGTGGATATGCATGGAAGCGAAAGGAAAGTCCAATGCTGTAAAGAAAAATATTGCATAGGAACCTGGAATGTAAGAACCATGAACCTGGGTAAGTTGGATGTGGTCAAAAATGAGATGGCGAGAATAAATATTGACATCCTGGGCATCAGTGAGCTAAAATGGACGGGAATGGGCGAATTCAGTTCGGATGACTATCACATCTACTACTGTGGGCAAGAAAGCCGTAAAAGAAATGGAGTGGCCCTCATAGTCAACAAAAGAGTGGCAAAAGCTGTACTGGGATGCAGTCTCAAAAATGATAGAATGATCTCGATACGAATCCAAGGCAGACCTTTTAACATCACAGTAATCCAAGTTTATGCACCAACTACTGGTGCTGAAGAAACTGAAATTGACCAATTCTATGAAGACTTACAAGACCTTATAGAAGTGACACCAAAGAAGGATGTTCTTCTCATTATAGGGGATTGGAATGCTAAAGTAGGGAATCAAGAGATAAAAGGAACAACTGGCAAGTTTGGCCTTGGAGATCAAAATGAAACAGGGCAAAGGCTAATAGAGTTCTGTCAAGAGAACAAGCTGGTCATCACAAACACGCTTTTCCAACAACACAAGAGACGACTCTACACATGGACATCACCAGATGGGCAACATCGAAATCAGATTGATTATATTCTCTGCAGCCAAAGATGGAGAAGCTCTATACAGTCAGCAAAAACAAGACCTGGAGCTGACTGTGGCTCAGATCATCAGCTTCTTATAGCAAAATTCAAGCTTAAACTGAAGAAAGTAGGAAAAACCACTGGGCCGGTAAGATACAATCTAAATCAAATCCCTTATGAATACACAGTGGAAGTGAGGAACAGGTTTAAGGATTTAGATTTGGTGGACAGAGTGCCTGAAGAACTATGGGTGGAGCCTCGCAACATTATACAGGAGGCAGCAACTAAAACCATCCCAATGGAAAAGAAATGCAAGAAAGCAAAGTGGCTGTCCAACGAGGCCTTACAAATAGCGGGGGAGAAGGCAAGCAACATGCGAGGGATCGTGAAAGATACAGGTACTGGAATGCAGATTTCCAAAGAATAGCAAGGAGAGACAAGAAGGCCTTCTTAAACGAGCAATGCAAAGAAATAGAGGAAAACAACAGAATGGGAAGAACTAGAGATCTGTTCAAGAAAATCGGAAATATGAAAGGAACATTTCGTACAAAGATTACCATAATAAAGGACAAAAGTGGTAAAGACCTAACTGAAGCAGAAGACATCAAGAAGAGGTGGCAAGAATACACAGAGGAATTATACCAGAAAGATATGGATGTCTCGTACACCCCAGGTAGTGTGGTTGCTGACCTTGAGCCAGACATCCTGGAAAGTGAAGTCAAATGGGCCTTAGAAAGCACTGCAAATAACAAGGCCAGTGGAAGTGATGGTATTCCAGCTGAACTGTTTAAAATTTTAAAAGATGATGCTGTTAAGGTGCTACACTCAATATGCCAGCAAGTTTGGAAAACTCAGCAGTGGCCAGAGGATTGGAGAAGATCAGTCTACATCCCAATCCCAAAGAAAGGCAGTGCCAAAGAATGCTCCAACTACCGCACAATTTCACTCATTTCACATGCTAGCAAGGTTATGCTTAAAATTCTACAAGGAAGGCTCAAGCAGTATGTGGACCGAGAACTCCCAGAAGTGCAAGCTGGATTTAGAAGAGGCAGAGGAACCAGAGACCAAATTGCAAACATGCGCTGGATTATGGAGAAAGCTAGAGAGTTCCAGAAAGACATCTACTTCTGCTTCATTGACTATGCAAAAGCCTTTGACTGTGTCGACCACAGCAAACTATGGCAAGTTCTTAAAGAAATGGGAGTGCCTGATCACCTCATCTGTCTCCTGAGAAATATCTACGTGGGACAAGAAGCTACAGTTAGAACTGGATATGGAACAACTGATTGGTTCAAAATTGGGAAAGGAGTACGGCAAGGCTGTATATTGTCTCCCTGCTTATTTAACTTATATGCAGAATTCATCATGCGAAAGGCTGGGCTGGATGAATCCCAAGACGGAATTAAGATTGCTGGAAGAAATATCAACAACCTCAGATATGCAGATGACACAACCTTGATGGCAGAAAGTGAAGAGGAATTAAAGAACCTTTTAATGAGGGTGAAAGAGGAGAGCGCAAAATATGGTCTGAAGCTCAACATCAAAAAACGAAGATCATGGCCACTGGGCCCATCACCTCCTGGCAAATAGAAGGGGAAGAAATGGAGGCAGTGAGAGATTTTACTTTCTTGGGCTCCATGATCACTGCAGATGGTGACAGCAGTCACGAAATTAAAAGACGCCTGCTCCTTGGGAGAAAGGCGATGGCAAACCTAGACAACATCTTAAAAGCAGAGACATCACCTTGCCAACAAAGGTCCGTATAGTAAAAGCCATGGTTTTCCCAGTAGTGATGTATGGAAGTGAGAGCTGGACCATAAAAAAGGCTGATCGCCGAAGAATTGATGCTTTTGAATTATGGTGCTGGAGGAGACTCTTGAGAGTCCCATGGACTGCAAGAAGATCAAACCTATCCATTCTTAAGGAAATCAGCCCTGAGTGCTCACTGGAAGGACAGATCCTGAAGCTGAGGCTCCAATACTTTGGCCACCTCATGAGAAGAGAAGACTCCCTGGAAAAGACCCTGATGTTGGGAAAGATGGAGGGCACAAGGAGAAGGGGACGACAGAAAATGAGATGGTTGGATGGTGTTCTTGAAGCTACCAGCATGAGTTTGATCAAACTGCGGGAGGCAGTGGAGGACAGAAGTGCCTGGCGTGCTCTGGTCCATGGGGTCACGAAGAGTCGGACACGACTAAACGACTAAACAACAACAACAACATAGTTTTGTCCTAAAATTATCTTATGCTCTAGCTTCTGGCGGGTGGAAAATCAGCTTTCGTTACTGCACAGAAAAGCTAGAGATACGGCTCCATGTGCACAGATTCAGGTTACCAAAGATTTATAATTTTTGAAGCACGTGTTGCTCTGTTTCATTTTTAAAAGAGCTTTACAGCAAAAGTCATGTTCCAATATAACTTTTCATCTACAAGATATATTGAAGTTGCCATTCCAACCACACATACCAAAAACAGTTTCTAGAAACTCTCGGAAAAGATTCTAGAAAATCAAATTCAGATCATAACAAGGCAGCCATTTATTTTATTTTATTTTTTAAAAGAAAAATGTAGTCATACATTTACAATGAAAATCTGCCTAAACTCTTTGGTCACATTCTGAAGGCAATCTTATTTCACACACAGCATTGTACGTACACTGAATAACAGAAAAACTGGTTTTTCTTGAACCTTCTAAGCAAAAACTGAAACTAGACTGGAACCGATATTCACTTCCCTTATTGTCCCTATTGGTTATTCTATTGCAGGATTCTACCGGCAGGTCATACTTCTTGAAATATATTTGTGCCTGCACGTATTATTAATTTAGTCCACAGTTCCCTTCACAGACAAGCTGGTATGCCTTTGCTTGGATGAACCACAGAAGCACGATGATATCTTCCCTTATTTCTCCTGAGCAAGAAACCACTTTTATTAAAGAAAGGCTTGACTGCAGTCTTCTTCAAGCTCCGGGGAGGGTCTCCTCACAAGCCGGAGGCACAGCGGGGCTTTGCTGAGGCTGTTCAGCAAACAACACTTTATGACAAATTTATGTGGCTGGATGGAAGGCAAAAGATCTATACTAGTTATGTTACTTTTATAACAGAAATACACCACTATTAGACCAAGAAATGTGGACTAAACTAGGAAACTTACAAATCTCTTGGCTGCTACTCCATCAAATCCACACTTTTTTTTTCTTTTTTCTTTGGCTAACCTAATTACCAATAAGGCAGCCACAAGATTACTAGCCCATCTGAAAGATCTGTAATATGGACAAGGCCAAGGCCAAGGCCCGGTATAATATTCGCAATCTATAACATTATACTCAGTGCATAAGAGAGTTCATTCAACCCTATTATACATCAACAGGAATGAGGTTTTGGCTATGAACATGACCCAGATCAATGGAACAGACTCTGGACAAAATAAATCCCTTCAGCAATAGAAAATTAACCCTAACACTCATATATAGGTGCTATCCCTAGGAAGCTAGCCATGATCCATCTTGGTGCTTCACCACATTGCTGAAGGGGCTGCTCCAGACCCAGCACACATCTCCACATGTGGCAGGAATGTACAAAACTCCAGCCTTTCTGGAATTCGTAATTCCAAGAAATTAATAAAATAATGAAACAACTGGAAGTCAAACCATAATTAGCTTTATCAAATATATTTCAAGACAACAACCTAGATTTACACAGTGTAGAATTAATAAGCCATTTATTACTAGCAGTGTGACAAACCATAAGCAGACACTGGAAAGCCCTTTCTGGCACAACAATAAACAATTGGTACAAAACAGTTTAGGAAACAGCATTCCTTGAAAGATCAACAAATAAACTATGGCGGACACATGGATGGATCAAGAAAGATGGCTTTATTCAAGTGTGGTTTAATTTTATAACCTATGCCAGTATTCCAAAAAAAGGAACAATCCCACCCATCAGCATTTGGCTCAATCTGATTGATCTAAATTTAAATTTAAATTATTATCTTCACTTTGAACCATACATTGTAGATATTGTTGTTATTGTTTAGTCGTGTCTGACTCTTCGTGACCCCATGGACCAGAGCACGCCAGGCACTACTGTCTTCCATTGCCTCCCGCAGTTTGGTCAAACTCATGCTGATAGCTTCGAGAACACTGTCCAACCATCTCGTCCTCTGTCGTCCCCTTCTCCTTGTGCCCTCCATCTTTCCCAACATCAGGGTCTTTTCCAGGGAGTCTTCTCATCTCATGAGGTGGCCAAAGTCTTGGAGCCTCAGCTTCACGATCTGTGCTTCCAGTGAGCACTCAGGGCTGATTTCCTTAAGAATGGATAGGTTTGATATTCTTGTTGTAGATATTACTGCAAATTTATTATGCTATTTTTGTGCTATACAAACGACATGAGAAGATTTGGTCTGTTTATTTGCATCATTTATTACTCATATGATCCTTGCTCATAAAACCCAATAAAAAGGTTATTCAAAAATAAAGGCTAAATCTACACAGAATCACATGGTCATTTTAATTTAGTGTGTTAGCAACCCAAGTCTAAAAGCACTTCACTATGACCTTCTGAAAAATCAAAGGCTTCTGACTTTAGGCCAAATGACTTAACAACTGTAAATGTCTCATGAGACAAGAGAGGTGAGAAAGGAGGAACTTGAAATTGGATCCAAGCCAAAGGTCAGGAATGTACTTATTCCCTCTTGGCTGCACACTTGTCCTGGCAGCATATAGGGAAGCACTGCTTTTTTTTATCCAATGTCAGAGCAGCAGCTTTTTGACACAATGCACATTATCTTTGATAACAGTTTTGAAATAACATTTTTGGTTCACTTTGCCTGGTGACACTTTCCACATTGTTGCAAATGAAGGATTTTAACAGGTATGTAAAAAAGCAGCTCAATTATTATAACTAGAGGCATTAATCAATTCCCTCACCATTATCCTTCTCCAGAAAACCAAGCGTACGTGACTTCACAACTTTAGGTGCTGTATATTTGAAGTTGCACACACTTGGGTGACTTCCAGTGCTGTCACACTGCTTGCAGAATGGAAGGAGAAACTCAAGGTTGCAAGGGGGGAAGGACAGAAGCAGCGAATTTCACAGCATCCACCAGTGTGATGATGGATATTGCCCAATGGAATAAAGCCGCTGTTTTCTATGTACAATCGTCATGAGAGATGCCAAGTCACCAACTGAATCAAATCCAGTATGCTGCCTTACTGTGTATTAGCTTCATTATGCTCCTATCATAAATTAAAATTTGACTTAATATGAGTAACTTTACAGTTTTTGTCCATCAGCTCAGTGGGAAGAATATTTTGCACATCCTAACCACTTATTAATATATAGCGGCAGTGACCATTTTGTGCGGGGAGTCTGTTCCTGGAGCCCGCACACATTAGCGGTGTGCATTACACCCCTTTAGACGTCAGCAGAGCACACAAAAGCTGGTTACGCCCCCATTCATCCCTCTTCCAGGTCCAAAAGGACCCACACAATGGTGGACACACCTAAAATGGCCACCACTTGTACTTTAATACAGACCTGTGAGACATAAGCCATATAAATTCACAAATTAGCAAGTCCTATTTCTTTAATGTCATATTTCTAATAAAACATTGTGCTAATTTAATAAATGATATTGTGCTAAGTGAACAGTGCACAAACTGACATACGCTATGATGTCATATATTTAACTCAATAGATTAGTGTTAACTCATTAAAAAAAAACCCTTTTAGAACCATTTACTGGTTATGAATATTAGGCTACATTCTCACAAGTTTATGTAAGCACTGATAAGTGATGGATACATAATATAATTACACTAGTCTTGTACAGTATTAAATTACATTTTAATCACTTGCCCCCAATACCCATTTGATACAAAGAAATCACAATTTCAATTGAGGAAAGGCTGAATTTTACGGCTATGGATTCAACCAGCGAAGTTCCAAACTATTTCTAAATGTATCAAAAACAATAAACTATTTTTTTATATACTGTAGGTAACATGCAAATATTCTTCATAACTTTCAAATGACTATCTAAATTTCTAGAAGTATCCAAAATTTACCTTGTTTAGTTACAAAGGGATTTCAACCCTGTAAATACAGTATATAAAAATTTACTTGGCAGTCAGTCCCTTAGGGCTTCTGTCTGCGTTGACACACACAGGAATGCACTGTAAATATTTCATATTTTAAAGAGCCAAACCTCTGAACATATATTTATCACTTCCGTAAGCATCTTAAGACTTTGAGTTGACAGTTAACATACCACAAACTCAAATAATGAAGGCGTGTTTTAAAGTGCCTTCCCTGTGTGCTGTGTACTAAAATGAAATTTGGTGGAATGACTCAGAATATTGCTAGCTGGAAATTCTGCATGTCTCTATCTTCATTAAATGAGTCAGTAATCGTCCAGTCCCCTCTTGTATGTGGGATACATATAACTGGCTATTTAGATGGTATGCTTGTCTAGTATTCCAGCTGCAGCGTGGAGACACAACTGAGAAATCTCTATAAATCATATTTAATAAGCAACACCTCAAGTGAACTTTTCTTGTGGTTTTCAAAGACTTCTCCACATTTTTAAGCTAGGCAGGAGGATGTGTGCAATAGCAGAAACTAACTGCCTCCAAACAAAGAAGGTAAGTAAAACGTTTCACAGCATACACAGAGAGAGCTAAAATGTGTTCAACTGTGTACAGAACAGAAGAACAGGTATAATCTTGGAGATACTGTGGGTTCAAGTTCCAGACCACCACAATGTCGCCAAATGCGAGTCAAACACATTTTCTGGTTTCCCAGTACATATAAAAGTTATGTTTATACTACACTGTAGTCTATTAAGTGTGAAATAGCCAGGCATGTCCAACCAGATCGCGATCTACCGGTAGATCCCTGGCTGATCCTGGTAGATCGCGAGACCCTTATCGATCGTGGGATTAAATAAAGTTTACCCAAAGTTAACAAATAAAAGCTGAAGAACTCTGGGCAATCCTCCGCAAAAGAAGCTCAACAACTTTGGGCAATCCACCTACCCCACGAACGTTCCCCCTGCCTCCAATGGCAATGGGTAGATCACTGCCAGTTTTTTATACTGAAAGTAGATCACAGTCTCTTGGGAGTTGGGCGTGCCTGATCTAAGCCTTCAGCGAGTCGTAATCTTCTGGCTGATGGAGGGCACTACCTTGATGTTGGTAGCTGCTGACTGATCAGGCACCTGCATCCTCACAAGGAGCAGCGGGGCAGGCTCCTGCAGCCTTGTCTCCAATCCACCAGCAGCACCAGCAGCTCCTCCAGTGCTTTTGTAAAAAAAAAGCACTATCTATGATGCACAATAAAACTATGCACAATAAAGTGAGGTATGCCACTATATTTATCTCATGAGCCAATTTGTGCATATATGGACCAAGTGTATTATCAGTTCTGTTTCATTAAGTAAATTCACTTTTTTTAAAAAAAAATCCCTGTTAAGGCACAAACCACCCTTAATGTTATTAGCAGCCAAATATCATCAACACTTGATAGCTGTGTATAATGAGAGGTTGTTGTTTAGGTCCAGTAACTGCATGTGGTAGTATTCCCATTAGGCCTGAAGTAATTACAAGAAATTTAAGTGAGAACAGAGGTTAAACAACCTTATACCCTCATGTTTATTCTTCATAACAAGGCAGAAATCAAGCTGTTCCTGTGTTTCATTTGCCCTGTGGTGTAAAAATATATACAGTCTTCACAAAACTTCCATCTTGCACCTACTAAAGACAGCATTTTAAAAGATCTTGGGTGGAAAGTGTTGAATGTATAATTAATATCAGTATACTGAACAATTCTGAGATTCATATTTTAAATGTACAGTGGTACCTTGGTTCTTGAACATAATCCGTTCCGGAAGTCCGTTAGACTTCCGAAATGTTTGAAAACCAAGGCGCGGCTTCCGACTGGCTGCAGGAGCTTCCTGCACTCAAGTGGAAGCTGCGTTGGACATTTGGCTTCTGAAAAACGTTTGAAAACCGGAACACTTACTTTCGGGTTTGCGGTGTTCAGGAGCCGATTTGTTCATAACTAAGCCGTTTGAGAACCAGGTTTCCACTGTATTCAGCTGAAAACCTTTCTACATTCAAGTATGTGTCATCTTTATTCACCTATATTTTAGCAGATGACAATGCAATTCCCCAGTTGTATCAGATGGAGAAAGGTAGGACTGTCTTACTCCAGACAGTAAGAGTTCCTTTGCAATTCCCCATTTTAAATGATAATGTATTAATGTCAATATTATGCCTCCTAAAACTGTGGAAATATAATATAACAACAAACAACAACAACAACAACAACAACAACAACAACAACAACGCATTCTAAAGGACCAAGCATCTTAGCAGGGTCATAAGATTGCTCTACTGGGATAAAATTATACACACACACATTATGGAGTAAATCCTACTGAAGTCAATAAGAACTGCTTCTACCTAGTAAAAGTAAAGGGACCCCTGACCATTAGGTCCAGTTGTGGCTGACTCTGGGGTTGCAGCGCTCATCTCTGACTCATCTCGCTTTATTGGCCGAGGGAGCTGGCGTACAGCTTCCGAGTCATGTGGCCAGCATGACTAAGCCGCTTCTGGCGAACCAGAGCAGCACACGGAAATGCCGTTTACCTTCCCGCCAGAGCGGTACCTATTTATCTACTTGCACTGTGTGCTTTCAAACTGCTAGGTTGGCAGGAGCAGGGACCGAGCAACGGGAGCTCACCCCATCGCGGGGATTCGAACCGCCGACCTTCTCATTGGCAAGTCCTAGGCTCTGTGGTTTAACCCACAGCGCCACCCGCGTCCTTACCTAAGGACCCGCTTCTACCTAAACATGCACAAAATCAGAATCCAAGCCCCCGCATCCCAAAAAAGAGAAGTCTCATGGTATTAGTGGCATTATTTATCATTCATTCCTCACATTATATTTAACTATTATTTGACCTTTATACTGCCCAACAGTTTTGAAAAAGCATAGCAGACTATTAATCTATATTTCTGTGGATTATTATTATTTTAATGGTTTGGAGTAAATCCTATCAATCTTGTTGGCAAAAATTCCCCAGAGTGATTTCCCGAAGGGCTTTGAAATGAGAAAGAACTTTGTACTGACTAAAAGCAAACTAGTTATAAAACCCAGCATTTTGTTTCATGAGATCTTCACCCACCCCTGCAAATCTAATTTAAGGCAAGGAAACACGGGGGGGGGGGGGGGAGGAAAGGGGAAATGCCAACTGTCTTGTATTGAAACACAATACCTCATGCGCTTTCTCCCATTTACAGATTGAAAGCAAATTATTATATTATATTATATTATATTATATTATATTATATTATATTACAGTGGTGCCCCGCAAGACGAATGCCTCGCAAGACGGAAAACCCGCTAGACGAAAGGGTTTTCCGTTTTTGAGTTGCTTCGCAGGACGAATTTCTCTATGGGCTTGCTTCGCAAGACGAAAATGTCTTGCAAGTCTTGAGATTTTTTTTTCGCTTTCCCCCCCCTTTATCTAATCTGCTAAGCCTTTAATAGCCTTTTAGCAGCTAATCCCCTAAGCCTTTAAGCCTTTAATAGCCGCTAAACCGCTAATAGCGCTAATCCGTTAAGCCGCTAATAGGGTTGCTTCGCAAGACGAAAAAACCGCTAGACGAAGACTCTCGCGGAACGGATTAATTTCGTCTTGTGAGGCACCACTGTATATTTATACCTAGTCCATCTGGCTGGGTTTCCCCAGCCACTCTGGGTGGCTTTCCCTCAAAATGGCTGCTTTTCTCTTATATTACACCCTTGGGGATGGTCAAAACTCAGTGATAAAGGGGATCTGCTTTACATGCAGAAGGTCCTGGGCACAATTCTCACATCTCCAGGTAGGGTTAGGATAGACTGCCTGAAACCCTAGAAAGCTGTTGCTAGTCGGCGTATAGAACATTGAACTAGTCTGTCAAACCAATAGCCTGACTCTGCATAAAGTAGCTTCCTATGTTCCACATTGATGTTAGGAACTCAGATATATAAACTAATCACCAAACGGCACCTTAAACCTAGGTTATGGTCACTACAACGGAATGCCTAGGCATTAGGTTTTTTTGCAATAACATTTATTATTATTATTATTATTATTATTAATTTCATTTCTATACCATTTGTAGAAGTAGTTTACAACACATTAAAACATCAAATAAAAAATTCAGAATATTGTAAAACAAATTCTGGAAAATTTTGCTTTCCCCATTTTTTGCTTTCCCCATTTATTTACCTACTTAATTTATATAGCTGCCCCATAGCAGAAGTTCTCTAGGAAGCCAGTGTGGTATAGTGGTGAAGAGTATCAGACCTGGACCTGAGAGACCAGGGTTCATATCCCCACACAAGTCATGAAGCTCATTGGGTGACCTTGGGCCAATCACAGCCTCTTAACTTACCTCACAAGGTCACTGTAGGGATTAACTATGGGGGGAGGGATGAACTATGCACTCATTGGGGAAAAAGGTGAGATATAAATGCAATAAATAAATTCTTCTGTTTACCTGTTTAAGAAAGCTGAAGGGAACAGCCACATGGAAATGTCAGTCGTCAAACTGGCATCCAGAGATCTCCATATTGTTGCAACTAGACCAGTACAAGTTGCAAAATGCACCTGGTGAATTTCTAACACTGACCACAGCACATTATAATTGCTACAATAGGCAGAAAAACCATTAAGTGTTCCACCAAGACCCTCAGCAACTTTCAAAAGGCCCAATGGTGGGGGAAATTGGGAACCACTGTCCTTTGAGAGTGTTAATCAATGTGCAGATTAGGATAATCCAGTAGGCACTGTGTACTTAGACTACAAGTCCCATCATCCCTGACCATTTCCATGCCGGCTGGGGCTGATGAGACTTGCAGTCCAACAACATCAGAGGGACCAAAAGTTCCCCATCCCTGGGCCTGTATCAAATAAGAATTGCTTCTCGGTAACCAAGTAAGAAAAAGCTAGTCTTTGCAGCTTGAATAATAAAGCGGGAGAGCTGATGGGATGCTCTGCTGTTCAACGCAGTGAACACCAGTGTGGTTCAGTGTTGAACAGTCTGCTGTTCAACGCCAGTGTGGTGTAGTGGTTAAGAGCGGTAGTCTCGTAATCTGGGGAACCGGGTTCGCGTCTCCGCTCCTCCACATGCAGCTGCTGGGTGACCGTGGGCCAGTCACACTTCTTTGAAGTCTCTCAGCCCCACTCACCTCACAGAGTGTTTGTTGTGGGGGAGGAAGGGAAAGGAGAATGTTAGCCGCTTTGAGACTCCTTAAACGGAGTGAAAGGCGGGATATCAAATTCAAACGCGCCTTCCATCAGCAGATGGGTACTAATTGGCTTCAACTCCAAGATTCCAGAAGCACAGATTTAGAGGATGTTATTTGCATCCTGGCTTTGGGCAAATCTATTTTCACATCCCAACCATTTTGAAAGACAACTTTGTAGAGAAAATGCTATCCCTATGCAGCTGTTGCTACACAATTATAATACCACTAAGCAAACTTCAGATAATACTGCACTGAGTATGAATGGTGGCAAACTGTGACAGTTACTCACTACATTTGCCACAATAGAAAGGTAACATAACAAGCTGGAAATTTTCCTTTGAACCATTAATCATTTCAGACTAAAAGAAGACTCCATCAAGGAACAGGAGCTACATTAAAGAGGTTTTCCATAAGCAGTTGGAATAGCACAGTAGTCCTATTCTGGTAGGTATCATGGCATGTGAAGCAAGAACATATTATTTAGGTTGTGATCATGGTTGTCGTTCAGTCGTCTTAGTCATGCTCAACTTTCCGTGAACCCATGAACCAGAGCATGCCTTGGAATGTCTTCTCAAAGCTTCATCTTTTGACCATGGAGTGTTCATGGCAAAATACTGGAGTGGGTTGCCAGTTCCTTCTCCATTAGGCTGTGATACAAAGCAGCAAATTCCATTTAACTCAGTGGTGCTTACTTTCAATACACTATTCTTAAAGGGACCCCTGACCATTAGGTCCAGTCGTGGCCGACTCTGGGGTTGCGGCGCTCATCTTGCTTTATTGGCCGAGGGAGCCAGCGTACAACTTCCGGGTCATGTAGCCAGCATGACTAAGCCACTACTGGCGAACTAGAGCAGAACCCAGGAACGCCGTTTACCTTCCCACCGGAGCAGTACCTATTTATCTACTTGCACTTTGACGTGCTTTCGAAATGCTAGGTTGGCAGGAGCAGGGACCGAGCAACGGGAGCTCACCCCGTCGCGGGGATTCGAACCACCGACCTTCTGATCGGCAAGTCCTAGGCTCTGTGGTTTAACCCACAGCACCACCCGCATCCCTACACTATTCTTAGGATCAAGGAATTAAGCTTGAAATTTCTGTAGCTTTCTTTACATTCCTGATAACATGCCATGGCAGGCAGTTTAGGAGAACAGTCAAAAGTTCAGTAGTTAAAGCGAAGGGAAAGGAGAACTGCCAAAAACACACACCCAGAATTACATTGTATGAAAACTGCTTTTCCCTAAACTGGACAGTAACTTTGGCCTTTTCAACTTATCCAACTTTACTGTGACCCGTACTGAATCACACCAGACAGGTTAAGATTTAACAAGCGAAGTTGCTCACAATGATAAATCTGGAATGCTGTCTGTCTGCAAGGCCATGTTCAGTTGCTGAGTAATATACATTTATTTCCTTTATATTTCACCTTGTAAATGTTTTACACAAGATGGTGTGTGTTGCCATTACAAGTAAGTTTGTCCAAGGCCTCTGCACTCAGGGCTTTTCAAATGCAGGTTACACACCCCATAGACAACAGACAACCATTTTCCTCACTGAGCCACAGTTCCAGAATGGTGTAACTCTGGGAACTGTAGTTCTGTAACATGAATATGGGTATCTCCTAACAAGTCTTACAAACTACACTCCCCAAGATTCTTTGGGGGGTAGCCATGACAGCTATAGTGATATAGGGTGGCAACACAAGAACGGGCCTTTTCTGTGGTATCTCCCCATTTGTGGACTGCTCTCCCCAGGGAGGCTCGCCTGGCACTTTTACTACATATTTTTAGGCGCCAGGTGAAAATGATCCTCTACAACCAGGTCTTTGGTGGATTAAACAATATATGGCTTTGGAAATGTGTTTGTAGGTTGGTTTTTGTTGTTGTTGTTGTTGTTGTTGTTATGTTCTGCATCTTGTGGGAGTTTTTTGGGGGATGGATTATGTTGTAAACCGCCCTGCAATCTTCAGATGAAGGGCCATATACAACTTTAATAAATAATTATAATAATATAGTGCTTGAAATATATAGTACAGAAAGAGCCTGACAGTGATCATTAAAGTAACGCAAAGGTCCCCAAAAGGAGTGTGGAATGGGTGGAATGTGAAGCTGGCTGCCTCCTGAACCAGTCATATGATTGCTTTGTCAGGTAGCCAGCTGCAGTAATGTACCCAACTGACATTTTTGGCATATTGCTCCTCCAAGGGAATTCAGATCACAACTGGAAGTTCCAAGAGGAAGCCTTAAGGGTTTCTACATAGTAAATATTGAGGATTGGAGTGGAAGTCCTCAGAAAGCACAGGCAAGACAATGGGTGATGAAAACGGTAAGGACAGTGGCTGGCGCAGAAGAAATAACTCTGAAATATAAATACCTCTGCACAAGAATAGCAAAGTTTTTACTTTTCAAGATAGTCCTGTTATTGAAAAAAAAAAAGACACTTAAGACTGGAAGCCCCAGCCATATGAAGTACTGCAAAGAACCGGCAACACATAATCAAACTGCGCTTGCAAGAAAGACAGAATCTAAGACGTTATAGTAGCATGAGAAAGCAAGGCAATCAGAACAGCACAGTAGGTATTTGTGCTTTCAACAACTTAGATTGACCTTGCTTGACACGGCACTAAACCATGACTTAGTGCTACATGAACGAGCTGTAGGAAACCTCAGGCTCATAGTCTCACCCATCCCTCAACAAGCATGCTTTAGACCAGCCTACATGTCAAATACTAGAAAGTCCTGAAACCTTGTCACAAGGTTTTCTGCATCAAGTAATGATCTCAGATTTACTGTGATAACAACACAAGAATGTCCTGGGAAATCATTAAATCTAGATAACGATAATGCGTTCAAAGGCTCAGTTATCATTATTTGAAAGCCAGATGGCAGAGTAAAGGCACAATTTTAAAAGCTGTGGCTATTCAATGCAACTGGTTCGTGACCTTTAATATTCCTATTAATAAAATGCAATGCTGCTTAGGATCAAGTTTACAAATACTAAGCTCTTGCAAATATATTTTTAGACAGAAAGTAGACAACAACATCTAAACACAATCACGTGTCAATTAGTGGAGAACATCATCACTTATGGATGCCATTATTACTAGTTTCCTTAATCCATGCATGCACCAAGGAACTGGAAACAAGTGATCAGTAACCAACTTCAAGTCAAACAACATTCTACCAGCCAAGTATTGTGATCTGCCAAGTGCTTCACAACTTGCCTTTCTGTACAGTACTATAGTTTCAAATAGACAGCAAAAACAGGAGTTTTGTCAAGACTCTGATAAACCAACCTACATGGCTGACTGCTTAGGTCACAGACTTCACACAGGCCAGCCAGTCTGTGTCAAATCAGACTACAGGTATCCAAGAGTATTAAAAGAACTGGCAGATGTGATCTCAGAACCACTGGCAGTCATCTTTGAGAATTCCTGGAGAACAGGCGAAGTCCCGGCAGACTGGAGGAGGGCAAACGTTGTCCCTATTTTCAAAAAGGGAAAAGAGAGGACCCAAATAATTACCGCCCAGTCAGTCTGACATCAATACCAGGGAAGATTCTGGAGCAGATCATTAAGCAAACAGTCTGTGAGCACCTAGAAAGGAATGCTGTGATCACCAATAGTCAGCATGGATTTCTGAAAAATAAGTCATGTCAGACTAACCGGATCTCGTTTTTTGACAGAATTACAAGCCTGGTAGATGAAGGGAACGCAGTGGATGTAGCCTACCTTGATTTCAGCAAGGCATTTGACAAGGTGCCTCATGATATTCTTGTAAAGAAGCTGGTAAAATGTGGTCTTGACTATGCTACCACGCAGTGGATTTGTAACTGGCTGACTGACCGAACCCAAAGGGTGCTCATCAATGGTTCCTCTTCATCCTGGAGAAGAGTGACTAGTGGGGTGCCACAGGGTTCTGTCTTGGGCCCGGTCTTATTCAACATCTTTATCAACGACTTGGATGATGGACTCAAGGGCATCCTGATCAAATTTGCAGATGACACCAAATTGGGAGGGGTGGCTAACACCCCAGAGGACAGGATCACACTTCAAAACGACCTTGACAGAATAGAGAACTGGGCCAAAACAAACAAGATGAATTTTAACAGGGAGAAATGTAAAGTATTGCACTTGGGCAAAAAAATGAGAGGCACAAATACAAGATGGGGACACCTGGCTTGAGAGCAGTACATGTGAAAAGGATCTAGGAGTCTTGGCTGACCACAAACTTGACATGAGCCAACAGTGTGACGCGGCAGCTAAAAAGCCAATGCAATTCTGGGCTGCATCAATAGGAGTATAGCATCTAGATCAAGGGAAGTAATAGTGCCACTGTATTCTGCTCTGGTCAGACCTCACCTGGAGTACTGTGTCCAGTTCTGGGCACCACAGTTCAAGAAGGACATTGACAAACTGGAACGTGTCCAGAGGAGGGCAACCAAAATGGTCAAAGGCCTGGAAACGATGCCTTATGAGGAACGGCTAAGAGAGCTGGGCATGTTTAGCCTGGAGAAGAGGAGGTTAAGGGGTGATATGATAGCCATGTTCAAATATATAAAAGGATGTCACATAGAGGAGGGAGAAAGGTTGTTTTCTGCTGCTCCAGAGAAGCGGACACGGAGCAATGGATCCAAACTACAAGAAAGAAGATTCCACCTAAACATTAGGAAGAACTTCCTGACAGTAAGAGCTGTTCGACAGTGGAATTTGCTGCCAAGGAGTGTGGTGTAGTCTCCTTCTTTGGAGGTCTTTAAGCAGAGGCTTGACAACCATATGTCAGGAGTGCTCTGATGGTGTTTCCTGCTTGCCAGGGGGTTGGACTCGATGGCCCTTGTGGTGTCTTCCAACTCTATGATTCTATGATTCTATGATTCTAGGTAACTCTTCCACCCCCCAGTTTCACAAAATTAAAGAAAGCAGTTAAGCAATTCTATGTTAATCAATATATTTTTTAAAAGGAATACTGTGGTTTTAGATGCTCATTTGCTGAAACAGCTTTTCTATGCCTTCTTCACCCCAGTTATGTGCCTAGAATAATAAAATGACTTCGCTCACATGATTTCCAAAAAACTTATTTAACTAATGTTCCCCTTATCTCTAATCTCCAGTCATACAATATACCCAAAGAAAGAAATTAACAATCTATTTTATCAAAATAAATCATAGTGTCATGTACATGTTTACTCATAACCAAGGCCTACTTTGATAGCTATGAATCAAGTTACAGCCTAAACATGTAAGGACCCTTCACTCACTCACAAGCTTTCTTTTCACCCAGCCAAACTTATTTGATGGTAAAGATGCTTAAGCTTGTGCCTTAAGATTCATTAGGCATCAAACTGCTGAAAGTAAAACTTCAAGCTTATTTTAAATGTTGTAATGAAGAACTTCACTAAAATGTATCCATGTGATGACCTTATACGCACCTAGAGGCCAGGATCAAGATTCGGAAAGCCAGCCAGAAATCAGTTTTTAGGTACCCATTCTGAGGGAAAGGGAGACAGGGCCACACAACCTGTTGAGCTATGAGTGAATTTACATGTTTAACAGAACCCTTTTAAGTGTCTCCTACAGAACCCTAGAAACATCAAAGTTTCATACTCAAACCTTAAGAAAATAATTTGGACTGCAGGGGTCTGAGCACTAGTTCACTTGTATACATGCAAACTTCACATCAGCCTTCACAAACCTAGTGTCCTGGGTTGGGAAAGTCTTCCATACATGGACTCACTGCATCTCTCACCACTATCTGCAGCTCTCCTCTGCTCTCTAAGCCAGTATATCTGCTAGCAGAGGTTCATGCTGCATGCAACTGATGAAACAAATATGCATGCATTTTTAAACAACTAACCTGTATATTCTTTGACAAACTACGGGTACTATAAATTATTCCTAGATCACATATTACTTTGCTGTAAATCATACTGGCTTCAAGGAAGGAAAACAATTGTGTAAATGGGATCATTCCTTGCTCATAAAATGTTTGGGAAATGTGCATCAGATATCTAGTTCCAGGAAAAGCCAAAACAAAGATAGTTGATATAAAAGTGCAAGAAATGAGGAAAGAAAGAAAAAAATCACTCTAAGCATCATTTCTGAAAAGAGCCTTACTTTGATCAAAACAGCCATCTCTATGGTAAGCGGAAACTCTTTTCCCTCTTAGCCAAAAAGATAAAGGCGATTAAGCTGGAATTATTTCCCAGTGACCTATATAATTTTGTCAGCTTGCCAGTTACTATTAGTGCAGGCCATCTAGGGATGGAATGGCAATAACCACAACCTAACCCTTTTCTGGGGGCAATGGGAAAGGGTCGATCCAATCAATTTTAAAACAGAACAGTACTGTAATTATTAGCAGCGATGTGAAGTAAACAAAGTTTGCTGTAACGTGTCGCTACCTTCCTCTAGCTAAGAAAGTCGCTTCCCTGTTCGCCCCTCCCACAGCAGCAGCATCCATTCCCCAACAGGGAGAGGATTAAGTTTGTTAACTCAAGAGAGAGACCGGTTTCGTCTGGGCAGAGTTTGACAGAGAGAGAAGACTTTTGAGTCATCTGCCGCTCGCGTTCTTACAAAACCCGAGGCAAGCAGCACCCAACCCTCCCTCCTGCATTTGCAAATTGCAATGCTTTGTGCGGACGCCTCTTGCAACCAGGCAGGCTGACAATTAAGTGGGGGAGGGAGGGAGAGAAAACTCCCGGGTTCCAAACGTTTTCCGAGAAGCAACAAGTGTTTCAGAAATACTTTCAGGCACGGGAGGAGGAGGTGAGGGAGAAACCCGACAAAGGCGGGAAGACCTCACAAACCCTCTCCAGGCTTTCTTTTCTTTTCTTCCTCCCTTTTCAAGCTTTGCAATAGGCGCGCCCCTCCTCCTCCTCTGAAACCTGAACTGGCCCATCACCTCTGGGAGGCACAAGAAAACGCCGCACGCAAGCAAGCGCAGCACCCGGCTCCTGCCTAGGCCGCAGTGGTAATTCGAGGTCAAAACGGCGTCATTCCCGGGGGTCGCAACCCACTCCCCATGGGAGCAAAGCATCCAACAGCCCGGCGCGACCCCTCAGTCCGGGAGTGAAGAAACGCGACAGTCCTCTGAAGAAGAAAATTCCTCTCGGGAGAAACACGTGGGTGGGAGAGCCGCTGCCACACCAGATTAACACTAAAGAATTAAAAGGAGCGAAGGAATACCTGGGCGGCCTCGAGCGCCTCCTCGGCAGTGGTTTTGCTCGGCGGTGGTGCTTTATCTAGAGTAGTGAGCCTCCCATGTCCGGAGAGCAGAAAGTTTTCTCCTCGGCGAGGCGCGAACCGCCCGCTTCCCCCCGACGCGCACACGCTCCCCCGAGCGGGTTCCCTGGGAGTTGGCTGAGCCGCGCGCAATCCTCTGGGCGCCGCTGCGCTGCTGCCTCTGGAGAGAGAGGCGGGGAGGCGCTGCTAACAACAACAACAGCTCCAGCAGCAGGTAAATCCCTCCCTTGCGCTGGAGCAGCCGGCTTTGAGCAATAATCCTCCAAGCACTGGAGGGAAGGGCGGGGGAGAAGGAGAGGCTGCTCCGCCGAGTCCCTGCCAGCCCCTCTCCAGAAAACAGAGTTGGAACAACAGCAGTTTGACGGCGGACGGGCGGCGCAGAAATGGAGAAACTGGGCGGGCGGCGGGGTGCGTAAGGAGGCAGCCAGCGCGGGCTGCAAGCGGGCCTCGGTTTTTGGGGCGTGTGAGTCACGAGGAAGAAAGAGCTGGAACATGTAACGTGAGTGTCTTCACGCACCTCTGGGGCTTAACTTCCTGAGCCTTGATTTCCACCCGGTTTTAAGGACCTGGCCTCTGCGGAGTCCCATCATGAGCTGCCTGCTCGCTCTGCTTAGCTGCCCTGAGCTCCGCGCAAACGAAGCACCTTTCTCCTGACGCCTCGGAGCAAGTAGGAGGTGGAGACCTCTCTGTTGTTGCCCCTTCGCCCATTTAATATTTCTGGTTCCTTCCAAGTCTGCAAAATGTCAAGGAGGTTCAGGGAGGAGTATCGTCGCTACAATAAAAACTCGCATTACACGGACAGATGGGATCCAATGCCAGCTGAAATTCGGTCACTAAGGGGCAACAGAAAAAGGGAAAAGAAAAAGGATTGAGCTTAGTGGTTTGATATAATATGATTCGACAAGTAACTGTGTAGAGCAGACATCTCCAAACTCAGCCCTCCAGATGTTTTGGGACTACAACTCCCATCATCCCTAGCTAACAGGACCAGTGGTCAGGGATGATGGGAATTGTTGTCCAAAAGCCTCTGGAGGGCCGAGTTTGGGGATGGCTGGTGTAGAGCATAGGATACAATTCAGGCAAAATTAGGAGCTTTCAAGTACCACGTAAATCCCCTGGCAAGATTATGTCTACAGAGTTCTCGGCTGTCCATGTGCATGATCCAGAAATCCTTACAACAACCATGTGAGGTAGGTGGGACAAGGGCCTTTCCTTGCTCACCAGCAATAATGAGAAAAGTAAAGCAGGATTCCTGTGGCTAATGAAGGTAGCAGAAGTAGCGGGGACAGCTAAGATGGCAAGCGTAGACTTTCCCTTTTTGTCTCAAGCAGTAACGAAAGGTTAAGAGCATAAGGAAAGCCCTGGTGGATCAGACCAAAGGCCCATCTCCTCCAAGATCCTGTTCTTACAGTGGCTAACCAGATTCCTATGGGAAGGCTGTAGGCAGCACAAGTAGCTGTTGATAGACTTGTTCCTCCATTAATTTGTCTTATTCTCTTTAAACACCATCCAAGTAGGTGACCATCATTTTACATTTTGTGGGAGCAATTTCAATAGTTTAGCTTGGTTATTGTGTGAAGAAGTTTCTTTGGTCTGTCCTGAATCTTCCCACACTCACCTTTGTTGGATGGACCCAATTTCTAGTATTAGGAGTGCCATGGGGGAGGTAGAGCAAGCCCCCCCAAATTTTCAAGTAGGGCTGGGCCTCCTCAATATTCTGCAGCCTGCAGCGGGCCCTATTGGGCCTTCCCATGGCTGCAGTCTACCTGTGGCCACAACAGGTTTCACAGGGCCTACCTGCAACTATCCCTGCCAGGGCTTCCTGCAGCTGCAATGGCCCCCGCCAAGCCTACTCGCAGCTGCGGCAGACTCTGCCGGGCCTTGCCATAGCGGACACCGCCGGGCCTCCTACCACTTTATGTGTCTAGTTTTGTGAGAGAGAAAAGCCTCTTTCTATCCTACCCAGTATCTTCATGCCATTCATGAACTTATAAACAATTATCATGCCCCTCCTTATTTGCCTTTTTTCTAAACTATCAAGCCCCTAATGCAGTGGTATCTTGGTTTTTGAACGTCTCCATTGACTAATGTTTCGGTTTTCGAACGACGTAAACCGGAGGTAAATGGTTTGGTTTTCAAACACACCTCGGAAGTCAAACATGCCACACGGCTTCCGTATTGAGTTTTCCGTTTTTGAATGTTTCGGAACTCGAACGGTCTTCTGGAACAGATTACGTTCGAAAACCAAGGTACCACTGTATAGTGAAAATGTGCAGGTCACCCAAAAATGTTCAGGTCACCCAATACTGAATAGCAATTGCTCCCTTGCTGTAACCTGCCCTGGGACATTATGGTGAAGGACAGGCAAGAAATCTAATACATAATAATGATGATGTTCGTAATCATAGACATTTCAGGGTGTCTCAGCTGCTGAAAGTATTTGAGCATGGATTTGCCTAGAAGGTTTAATGAAGTAAAATGTAAAAATAAGCTTATTTTTTAGAAAATCAGGGTCACTTGGCATTCAAATGCACAAGAAAAGAAGAAGCAGAATCCTGTGAATATTTCCTCAGAAATAAGTCCCATAGTAAGTAAGTAAGTGATTATAACTTCTAATTTGGTTAAAAACAAATTTTCTTTGTGCCAGGATGAGGTAAAAGAGACAAGACATAGTTGCCTAACATTATTATTTATTTATTTATTCCCCGCCATCTGGCTCGGTTCCCCAGCCATTCTGGGCAGCTTCCAGCAAAATATTAAAATACAATAATTCATCAAATATTAAAAGCTTCCCTAAACAGGGCTGCCTTCAGGTGTCTTCTAAAAGTCAGATAGTTGTTTATTTCTTTGACATCTGGTGGGAGGGCATTCCACAGGGCGGGCGCCATTACGAAGAAGGCCCTTTGCCTGGTTCTCTGTAACTTTGCTTCTCACAGTGAGGGAACCTATAGAAGGCCCTCGGCGTTGGACCTCAGTGTCCAGGCAGAATGATGGGGATGGAGACGCTCCTTCAGGTATACTGGGCCAAGGCCATTTAGGGCTTTAAAGGTCAGCACCAACACTTTGAATTGTGTCCGGAAACATACTGGGAGCCAATGTAGGTCTTTCAAGACTGGTGTTATGTGGTCTCGGGGGCCAGTCACCAGTCTAGCTGCCACGTTATGGATTAGTTGTAGTTTCCACGTCACCTTCAAAGGTAGTCCCATGTAGAGCACATTGCAGTAATCCAGTGATTAATGGTTGCTGTTGCTCTTTGATAAACGGAGCAAGGAAAGTAGTTACCCTATATTAGCAAGCTCCATCTTCAATGGCAGACTTTGGGCTCTCAAATTGCAGCAGCACCCTGTGCTAAAATTCATCCCCTGCCTCTCGCACTCCGTTTTACACCATTGTTTTGCTGCCCCTGCAGCATGATGCCCCATGTGCAACCACACCAGTTGGGCTAACCTAAAACCTCCTCTGTCGTCTTCATCTGAATTTTTGAGACTGGAGAATCTTCTATAGTTAGAAAACTTCCTGGTAACATGGACCAATCAGTGTCTCAGGGACATGCTTTTGAAGCCAATTAGAGGGCATTATGCTAACACGATTTCTATTGTCCATGCTTTAAAAAGGACGTGTTCCGATGTCAGCCATGGGTGTGGCCAAGTGGGGGCAGGGGGAGCAGCTACTCCCCATCAAGTAAAACAATAGAAATACTTAACTGACCAATCACATAGGTTCTGCCGCCCCAACAAAAGTCCTGGCTATGCCCATGATGTCAGCCAGAACTAGGAATGATATAATGACTAGTTTTGACTGCAATTAGAAAATTCCTGTGTTTGTAGACACTGAAGGTTAAAGGGAAATAACTAGGCAGGGTGGGGAACTGAATCCAGAAGAAACGTGACACAGGCAAAGGTGTCATAAAGGATATCTTATGTACTGTTTTGGATTAATCTACTTAACAAATCGTTCTTTTACAGTTCTGTCAATGGCTCTTTTTTTCTTTTCTCAGCGTTTCAGTTATTGGGCTTATTTCCCTTTTACTCTTTGTACACTTCCTCTTGGCAATTTGGTTTCTTTTTTTGACTCTCAGTATCCTACTGTCAATATCTAGCTTTTCACCCTTCCCGCCCCCATTTCCTCTTCTCCTGCTGTTTTTACCAATATGTCTAATCTATATCTGCCTGGATGTTGGATTGTTATCTCAAACTTAATATCTAATATGTTTTCCACGGAGAGCAACAGAAGTTGCATTCCAAGGAACTAATAACATTTCTACTTGTGGCAGTCGGGCTACAGGTGGCACAAAACTGGGGGGGGGGGGTGGAATCAGCAAACTTGCAACTTGCCTTATGGAGACAAAAGATATGGACAGTGGCATTAATGGAGAAACTTACAAAATCTATGAGAGCTCTAAATGGAACTCAAGACTCCAACTACAGTGGTGCCCCGCAAGACGAATGCCTCGCAAGACGGAAAACCCGCTAGACGAAAGGGTTTTCCGTTTTTGAGTTGCTTCGCAGGACGAATTTCCCTATGGGCTTGCTTCACAAGACGAAAATGTCTTGCGAGTCTTGAGATTTTTTTTCGCTTTCCCCCCCTTTTTCTAAGCCGCTAAGCCGCTAATAGCCTTTTAGCAGCTAAGCCGCTAAGCCTTTAATAGCCGCTAAACCGCTAATAGCGCTAAGCCGCTAATAGGGTTGCTTCGCAAGACGAAAAAACCGCTAGACGAAGACACTCGCGGAACGGATTAATTTCGTCTTGCGAGGCACCACTGTATTGCACTTCTTTTATTACTTTCCTGCCTGGCAATCCATCAAATTGGCATACTCCATCTATACATGTAAAATTATACTTTCTTCTCCCTCAGTGGGTGAGAGGGATGAGAACTGTATTATTATTTTTGTTACAAATGTCTATTGATATACAGTGGTACCTTGGGTTAAGTACTTAATTTGTTCCGGAGGTCCGTTCTTAACCTGAAACTGTTGTAACCTGAAGCACCACTTTAGCTAAGTGGGCCTCCTGCTGCTGCCGCGCTGCCAGAGCACGATTTCTGTTCTCATCCTGAAGCAAAGTTCTTAACCCGAGGTACTATTTCTGAGTTAGTGGAGTCTGTAACCTGAAGCGTATGTAACCTGAAGCGTACGTAACCCGAGGTACCACTGTATTAGCACAGTTTTGATGCTTACTTTTGTAAAAACTGAACAGAAACATTTTAAAAACCTTAATATATGCAAGCCTAATGTTACAATCCTATACACCATTTCCTGGGAGGAAGCCCTAGTGAACTTATTGGGACTTTCTTTTGAGTATACATGTATAGAAGTGCGCTGTGGATGTATTGTGTTTCTCCCTAAATCAGGG